CGTGCTGTGCCAGTTGCCCACCAAGAGGCTGTCGCTGGAGGTACGTCTCGAAACTGGAGTTCGACAGCGTCATCACCTACAGCTACAACAAGGCCCAGGTGCTGCTGGGCTCCACAGAGCGCATGTGCCAGGCGGACGGCACGTGGAATGGGGTCGAGCCCGAGTGCAGAGGTACGAGCAGTTATCAGGGAGCGCGCCGGTGTGGATACGTACAGGATACATTTCGAATGCTCTACGTGTGGGGGTGAAGGTGGTGTCAGCTCCGAGATCCTGATTTACAAACAGCGTTAAGCATTAATCCACACCTCCCATTAGCACGGTTGTCTGCGTATGGTGCGAAAGAAGTTCCACATACATACAGCGGGGCTGACCTCGGAACCCGTCACGATGTCATGGAGGTTACGACACTAAACAGATTGTGGGGGGCTGATGCTCCCCGACTTCTCTACCCCTTCCTCTTCCCCCCTCCTCCCGCCGCGCTGCCGCCGATCGAGTCATCGGCCTCGCTGCCTCCACGTCCTCTCTGTGAGGCATGACTCGTGGCTGGCTCTCGGCCACCTGGGGTTAGCCACGCACTCCCCGCGTACACACCAGCACCACCACCAGCAGCACCACATTAATGATGGTAGGGTTTGCGCGTTAATTCCCAGGGCAATGGCACACTATTGATGACAATGCACGCGCGTTAATCCCCGACAAAACACGCATGGGCGAGCGCAAACACGTGGGTACAATGGTGAACGCACACCGACGGAAATAGGGTACAAAACCCGGGCGCAACGAGAGGCTGCTGCACGCGTTTCACCCGTTGTTCACACCTGCCCCACCCTACTCCCAGCACCCCTCCACACCCACAGAAACCACACGTCGGTATTTTATGCTAGAGTTTTATTTCCGGCGCGACTGCAAGTAAATGCTACGTGACCCGGAGCCGAAATCCCCCCAGCGAGCAGCGTCTCACCTGCCTGTTCCCAACCCTCCTCGCCTATTTCGAATTAAGCCCACGTGGCGTCCTCACGCTATTCCTCACCCCTTTGACGTACTCACGATCGTGTTGGGAGTCGGAGAGGCGAGGATGCTGGAGATCCCTGTCCCGTGTCGTGTTCCAGCTGCGCTCGGCCGCGTCTCTCGGATGCTCGAATAACTGGAAGGCTCGTGGCGCGGCTCGCTGACTAAAGAAGACTGCTCTCGTTGTCCTCTTTCCGCCCTGTATCCTTTCCCACATCAAAGAGGTCCTCGACGAAGCTGGGCGGTCTCCTCAGCCAATCAGAGCGCCTCCCCTGCGTGCTCCATCAGCTAATCCGGTGTACCGGATGTTCAGCCTGTTCCGCCCCCCCCTACCTGGCTCAGCCCCCCCCCCCCCCCCACGGTGCCCTAGTCCATTGTTTACACGCTTGCCTTCTTATTCGTGTTGCTCTCTGGGAGCTTTGCTCCCCCCAAGGCCCCATTCCCTTGTGCTTAGTGGGCTTGCCGTGGCCATACAGTTGTAAGTTAATTCACAGCGCCGCAGTGCCATTCTAACTGGGGGGAATCTGCCAATTCCCTAGCCCCGGGAAACCGTAGAGCACCCCAACGAGGGGGCTCTCGGGTGAAAACCCAGAGGCCAGGTGACTCCCCCACGAGATCCTACGTGGGAGTATGTGTGTGTGCTCGTGTGAGGGCTTGCGAGGGGGCAGCAGCACCGGCAGAGCTGATCCGTTGCTGTAGCATTACAAGACTTACGCACCGCAAAGGTGCACACGTTACTCAATCGCCAAGCGATCCGAAACATTACAAAACTCGTATCTTTAAACTAAAATTACCCAGCTAACCTATGCCTACAGTGAACATTTCCTCAAAGGTTTTTTTGCAGCAAAACCTCTCGCAGCCGGATTCGAATGATGCCGTAGCTTAGAAGCCTGTAATACATGCAGCCTGAGAATGCTTCACACGATGATGAAACTCGAATTGCGAAGAAAATCTCACGTATAAAAATCATCATCATCATCACAATCCATGGGCAGATAGCCCGTAGGTGTTCACTGCACATTCCGTAATTTGTTTGTTTCCACTTTCCTCTGTCTTGAGCCAATATACTCAAGTCGTGTACATCTTTCTCGCACCAAACTCTTATGTCGTCAAGCCATTATCTGGTAGGTCTTCCTCTCTTTTCTGTTCCTTCCATTTTTCCCCTGAACACTTTTAATTTTCCTGTTGTACATTCTCCATGTGTCCAAATAGTGCCAGTTTCCGTCTCATCACTGCCTGCATCTGAGGTCTTATATGTGCAACCTTTTTCTTCTCCATTGGTCACTCTTTGGGTCCAGCTTAATGCATTGTTCTTCTGTAGCAATACGCACAAATTATTCAATTCCACAGCGCAGACAAACCTACACCCTTGTTGATATTATTTTATGTTCCTGATTATTAGCACTACGTTGGACTGAAAATACGTGCATCGCTTAAAGAATGACCAAGCCTGATTCAAAGTTACTGCATTGTCAAAACTGTCACACCCGTCACATTTTTTTATTCACAATACAGTATTTAGAATGTAAGATAAGCACAAGTATAATGTCTTATACAAATGACACCAATTTAATGTTTTTGTATAATTTTTCTGTTAGTACAAGCTGCTGAATTACAGTACATTTCATTTAGCAGTCCTAATCTCCCAAGAATAAAGGTCTGGCAATAAAATTTAAAGTCTGGAAAATATTCAACTGCTTTTGCATTGTCATTTACATTTTAGTTTGTGTCATCAATGAAGTTGATATGAAATGTATGAAAACAAATAACCAGCTTCTCAATGTGGGCATAACACGGCATGTGTGAATTAAAGGGTATGTAGATGGTACACAGGTGATTATTGTTATAATGGAACGTGACAAGGCTAAAAGTTCGAAAAGTAAAATAACACAGAACTCTGTAAAATCATGAGAAAATTACCTGAAACTGATATAATATCCGTAAAGAGAGCAAAATGGAACCAAAACACATTCTAGAAATACAATTCGTGGACGAAATGTCTACTGATCTCTGAGATAAATTCAGATACCCCACGAAATGAACCATATTACATAGAGGATAGCTCCAGGTATCACACCTGAAGAAACCACTGCCTTTTTTATAATAAAAAAAACTTTTCTTTTATTTTACCAGGTTAGACTCGGAGAGCTATACAGCTCTTTTTCAGAAGTGACCACAAATGATAGCTCAGCGAAGTGGATTACCGTGTGGAAATGTATAGCAGCCAAGTATTCTAAACCCCCATGTTGCTTCTAAAAGTGGATGGAAAAAAACTGGAGGAACGAGAGAAAAATCCACGCAATCATGGGGAGAACATACAATCTCCAAATATACAGTTTGAGAGTAGTGGTGCTGAGGCTAGCGCTGTGTGGGAGTGCGTGTGGGCATCGTAAGCGCACGTCGGGGGTGTGATGCGCGAAATTCCCTCCGATGAGTGAATCCGGAGCAGCCTCAGTCGGCCCTCATGTCTTGTCGAAACGCGCGGTGTGATGAGGTGGACGAGAGGGAAGAGGTCGTCGTGGTGGACCTCGAGCCCCAAAGAGTGAACCAACCACGTGTAATGTGGCCCGGCCGGCTAATAAAGTGTGCTAAAGGCCCGATGCGTGGCCAGGATTTAGATTATTTTGCTGTTAGAAATTTCCATACGATGAGCCACTTTGTTGAGCTACCATTTGTGGCCAGGTTGCTTCTGAAAAATAAGTGAATATCTCAGTGGGCTTAACCTGATAAAAAAAAAACCTCACAGTTTAGTTGTATTTGTATATATTTTAAGTGATTTGTTTACCTTTCCTATCTGTGAAAAAGCGCTTCATAGCTCGTCGGATTCCTCCAGTCTAAATATTCTGAAGGCAACCCTCATTCAACGTCGTTGCCGTGACGTCACCCGGTATATGTCTTATTAAATACAGTCAAGCTATTTCTTTACTGCTTTTAAAATATTGTGAGCATGACTTTTGAACATATATTTGTGCAAGAGTTGTTATTGTGCATGTTGTCGTGTGCCATATCGGCTTTAATAGACATTTTCTGCGTGTTAAACTAAGGTGCTAACAATCTGTTCAAATGCTATATATGTCGGTGCTTAAATGCTTCGGCAACTCAAAAGTACCTTGCATCACGTCTCATCTCAAACATTCGAAGGGCACCTCCCCAGTGACAGCTGTCTGTGCACCACAAGATGACTGCAAGTAGGCATTAGTCAACCAGTAGGGGCTAGGCATCGAATGCTCTTTTGCAAATTTGGCAACTTTTAATCATGATACAGGCAGAAAATGGCTTAGTCATTTTGAATAATATCAGATCTTTAATGTCCACTGTGAAGCAGAGAGCACGTATTTATGGTTCATCCACCTACAGTATTAACCAGAGCGGCCTGGAAGATTCCATCCCCAAACCTTTGGCAGAAGTGGCGAATACGCTATCATCAGTTCTACGTGCAGGAGTTGGACTGTTACAGCGCAGAGCCATGGCGGAATGGTGACATTTGGAAGCCTTCAGCTAGCAATCGATAAACAATTCTTGATGATCATGATGATGAAAAACGTATCTGTCCATTGACCTGTATTTTGAGCATTCGTTTTTCAAATGTTGCATTCGTATCATATATAAAATATGCAGTGAATCTATGTCACTATAATAGTGCGTGCATGCGCTTACAAAAGACGCATCAGCCAGGAAAAACTCGGGATCCGACGGTGTTCTGGTTTATGACTTCTGAGCTCCATTTAATATAACAATTTTATGTTTAATTTTTGTTGATCTGCCCTTCAATAATGGGTTTTTAATATTGAATGAATTGCACGCTCAACGCTGCAGAGTTGGATCTGCATTTCATGTTTTTACGTGTGCCATTAAAATCACATAAGATTTTACAACTGTTCAATGCAGACATAGTTTTAAGCAGTAGGTTTTTTTAAATATCACTTCTCTTTTGCAGGCAATACATTCCCGGCTTAATTTCATGACATTGTTTTTGTACTGTAGACACAAAATTAATTTAGCTTTTTTATTGATGAAATTGTAATCCAATATAGCACATTAGAAAAATAACACCATTACACTACAGTCAACGGATGTTGAACGACAATAAAATCATTGTACTATAAATCAACAGCTAAAATCAATTAGTTAAAATGACATAATTAATTTTTAAATCAGGAATTTCTGTGATTAATGAGGTTATTGTTCATTGTCAGTAAACGCTTGTTTAATTATATCAAATTTGTATATTATGGTCGACATGTTGCAGTTATAATTAGAATGTAAGTAATGAGAATAAGTCAATCTGGCCAACTGAAATATAGCCGTGTGCATTATAATTAGGAAATCAGTGAAGCCAAGTGTCGTGAGATGTTCTATCATAGGCAACATGGTCCACTACCGCAGTCATTCTCCCAATTAGTTCGCTTCGTATTGTCCTGTCTGCAGTAAAGATAATACCCAAATCTTCTGGAATAGGAATTGTTACAATTAAAGTACAAGTAATCGTCCACATTATACATGTTTTTATAGGTGAATCTCGGTGATAGCGTTGCTTTGACTTGTGACGGAGGCATCAAACAGAACCCTGCAGAGAGCAGAACACACGTTAGTCAATTCGCTGTTTTTTCAGTACTCATGCCCAGCCACGTGGAGATACCAAGCACGAGACAAATCTAGCTGCTGCTTTTGCACAATTAAAAAGCATTTGTCTCTAGCAATGACAGCTCACTCGGCATTAATGTTACGCACTTAGAATACTAGAATACTGCACATGCGAAATGGGAAACATTTCACTCATCCATCATCCCTCTTTGGGTGATAATTGAGGTAACCAACTTGTGGAATAGCAGCAGTGGTTGTCCGTTGGAGAAACTGGGCCCCACAATAGTAATGTGGAACTTCCACTACCCCCACACTCATTTGAGCAGGAAATCAAGCACACAACAACGTATAACATGTAAAATTAACTAACACAATTGGAGTTATTGTACAATTTATACTCCGGTTCTAATTAAGCAAAAATTTAGCAAAAACTGACTTACATTATTGGACGTGATAATGTTTCTTTTCAGGTGTTATTAGTTCACGTGATGCGTCCATGGACAGGAGCTACAATGTGCCACAAGCATTACACTTGCTGAACTTTAAACTAAATTAGAAGCTCTACTAAACTTTATCGTTTCCAGATAGTATTAGAAATGGTTAGGAGCCACCGATATTTGTTATAGCCAGAAGTCAAACTCAGATAATAGGTTCCCAGCCCAGTTTGCAAAACATTACACCATCTCCTCCCCTTGCATAATACCATTTGTCAAAAGCTAAGAAGGGTAAATGGGGGTATGTCTTACCATGTACATGTTAATGTGCATGTGTGCACATGCTGCTTTACATGCTGAAAATGTGTAACATGGTGGCCAAAAACGTCATGACCTCTTAGTGCTCTCTGCATAAGCTGCACCCCAAAACATGAGGTGATTTCATTCTGTTCAAGGTGGAAAATGTATATGATCACTAGTTCCAGCCAACTCCGCCCAGGTTAAATAATTCAAAAAATGTGAAATTTGGAGCAACCTAATGGGTTTCTTTGATTGAACCTGATGGCGGGACCCCGGGGTCCCATAAGCCCCCGGGGTCCCATAAGCCCCCGGGTCCCATAAGCCCCCGGGGTCCCATAAGCCCCCGGGGTTCCATAAGCCCCCGGGGTCCCATAAGTCCCCGGGGTCCCATAAGCCCCCGGCTCTCGCATGAACTGCGTTGCGACGTCATTTTATGTCTGTTGAAGGCGAACGGTACGGCAATCTATTCCTCTCGACGAGCTCTATATGATGCGCGAATCAAAGTTTTGTTTTTTCTGCGCATTCGTCCTCGCTCATGTGCTTGGACGACACGACAACATAATGATCTGCGCCAGGTGGGTCGCGGCGTTTATGTGCGTGGTGGGACGGAGTCGCCAAATTTTTTTTGTATTAATTACGAATTTGACTTCCGTTTATTCGGGACCCGGGTTCCCACCATAAGGTTCAATTGTGGAATGGTCCCTTCATGAATTGCTTAGCGTGGAAAGTGGCAAATTTTCCACAGAGAGTTCATCATTATGTGAAAAAACATTAGGTGGAATTATACTGTGACCATGTTAACTGGATTGTGGCACATGCCTTGTAGCCCTCACTTTCATTTTCTGCGAATTTGTTTTTCACAATGGCTTCTGAAAAATGCGTATGCCTCATTCAAGAATTTCTGCATGTGTAGTAAGTTCGAGGAGACGATGTCGAAGTTGAGGCACACTCTGTTTATTAACCCAGGGACAGGCACAATAGTTGAAGGGGTATCGGCCCCTTTCACCCGTACTATGGGAAACCCACCCTAGTACTAAGCCCTCTGTCCTGTTCCCCAGTCCTCCTCTACTGGGCTACGGGAGGCTGACTGATCTGGCCCTGGCAAGCACAGATCTCGGCACCAGCTAACCAGCCTTGCCCTGATAAGGGCAGCGGTCTGGAAGCTTTTGGGCCGCGCCGGTGGCTTACCCGGCTCGGCCCTTATAAGGACGGCGAGACTGGGGAGTCCCAGGGCCTAATCTCCGAGTCTTGGATCTTCACTGGTCAGCTTCGTGTAGAACTGCCTCGAGCTCTTTGGGTCTCCACCTTTTATAGGGATCACCTCCGAGGGCTGGGGGCGTGGGCAATAACGGATGCGGACGTCGGTGTGACCACCCGTGTATGTGAGTGCCGACACCCCTGTGTTTGTTGTCCGCCGTTTCTCCCGTAATAATCCCTACATCACTCCCCCCTGTACAGCTCGCAGCCGTCCCGGCTGCAACAATCCCTCAACCCCCAAGAATAAAGATTAACACAGTCAACACACGTGTGCCTCGTAACAGTAACAATAACAAGAACAAGTGTAACAACAACCGATGATCCCCTATAAAAACCCCCTCCCCAAAAATGCAACACATATACAGAACGCGGTTCGCCATCCCCACGCACAAGAAGCATCCATACACACACACACAAAAAATATATATATATAATGAGCGGGTTCCGCAGCAACGGAACAGGCGCGGAAAGCTATTCATAACAACCGGCGCGTTTTGGCGCGTGTCCGTGCAGCGGGCCCGTCACAAGGGGCCGGCTTGGTAGAGTCGGTGGCAGGTGTCGCATCTGCAGGTGCCTGGTCGTCCGGCTTCCCGGACGTGCCAGCGCCGACCCCCACGGGGGAGGCTGGCAGCCAAGAGGGCTTCAGTCCTGGGGCTCCTGAAGACGGGACAGTCATTAGCGGATCAGAGGCTGGCTGTGACCCCGCCCTCCCGGAGTCAGTGGACTCCCCACATGTTCGGCCATTTTCGTGAGAGGAAACGTGCGGAGCAAAAAATGGCTTTAACCGTGAAGGGTGCACAAACCACCGACGCTTCCCCCACTTAATGCGCACACATTGAGGCCGCATAACCTGCACAATTTCTACGGGGCCCCTCCATGGTCGCAACAACTTAGCCGAGGTGGCCAATGGCACCTGGGGGCAGTGCAACCATGCTCGGTGGCCCGGGTGCCATTCGTGCGTGTGTGTCCGGCGCGATCGCAATCTCTCGTTTTGTTTCTGGCGAGAGTCAGAGTTTTGCATGGCCGCCTGCCGTGCCTCCGCCAACCGAAGGATGTTAAATTTAACATGGTCCGCGAGTTTGGACTTAGCATGAGGCGCGGCAATCGTCAGCTGAGTCGCGACAGGCGGGTCAACCTCGCGGCCATACATCAAAAAAAATGGCGAGAATCCGGTCGCCGCGTGAGGAGCCATCCTGTATGCTGCCAGGACTCCCCCGATCCGTAGATCCCAATCGGTTTGGGACTCAGATACCTGGTGGGATAGCATGGACGTAAGAGTCCTATGCAGGCGTTCCACCATCCCATCCGTTTGTGGATGGTAGGGTGAGGTACGAATTTTCTTTGTACCCAGAAGGCCACATACCTCGTGTAAAAGGGTACTAGTGAAATTCTTTCCCTGATCGGTCAACAACCGTTCCGGAGCGCCCTTGTCGAGGACGTAGCCCTGAACAAAAGCCTCCGCAACGGCTGCTGCGGACTGGTTGGCGAGGGGCCAAGCCATAGGCCATCGCGTGAAATATTCCACGCCAACCAGCAGGTACTTATTACCCCTCGGCGTGGAAGGAAACGGTCCCAAAATATCAAGGGCGACCAGCTCATTAACCCGGGTGACCGAAATAGACTGGAGCGGTGGACTGGCTCCCTTTGCTGGCGGCTTCCGTTGTGCACACTGGGTACAGGACTGCAGCAGATCGTCCACGTCTCTTGCCATGCCCGGCCAAAAGTAATTAAGCTGGAGCATGGCAAGTGTTTTGAGGGTACCCAGGTGCAGGAGCCGTTCATGAGCAGCCCATACAGCCCTACCCCTCAACGTGGAAGGCACCACCAGCCTGTGACGGCGGATCGTCCCGTCCCAATGCATGAGTAGGCCCTGGCACCACCCCCATGAGTCAACGCCCGACTTCCCTTGACCTGATCCTTCTGCGCGACGTCGTAGCGCCAGGAGGGTCGCATCCTCCATTTGGAGGCGACCCCACTCAGCACTTGACAAGCCTAGTAGGGAATCTTTCCCTCCCCCCGAAATAGGACCAGCGTCCGAAGGGGTGTCAACTGCGGCCGCAAGAACCCGATCCCGGCCGTCACTTGCCGATTTGCAACGGCCCGAACCCAAGAAACAAGTGCAATCCGGAGCGATCGGCAGGCGTGATAGGGCATCAGCATTGGTGTGGCGAATCCCCTTTCGGTAAGTTGTCTCGAAATCGAAATCCTGCATGATCTCCAGCCATCGGGACAACTGCCCCGATGGCTGGTTAATTCGTAGGGCATACTGCAACGCCGCATGATCTGTACGGACGGTGAAATGCCGGCCGTACAGATATGGTCGGTACTGTTGGATAAAGAACACGATAGCCAACAGTTCGCGGCGGGTGACACAGTACCGCTGCTCGGCCGGAGACAATACTCTACTACCATAAGCCACAACGTGCTCCACGCCACCCACAATTTGTGACAGCACGCCTCCAATCCCGGTATTGCTTGCGTCCGTGTCGAGCACGAAGGGCATGGAAAAATCGGGGTAGCTTAACGGCGGGGCCCCCACCAGGGCATCCCGAAGAGAGATAAAAGCGGCGTCCTCCTCCGGCCCCCAATGAAATTTGACCCCTTTTGACGTTAAGGCATGTAGTGGCTTAGCGATGGAAGCAAAGTCCGCGACAAACCGGCGGTAATATGAAGCAAATCCGATGAAGCTTCTAACCTCCCCCACCGAGGTGGGAGTAGGCCAGGAGCTGACACAATGCGTTTTGGCGGGATCGGTTGAGATGCCTGACCGGCCGACGATGTGACCCAAATATTTAACAGATTCGCGCAGCAAATGGCACTTTTGTGGCTTGAATTTCAAATTAGCAGCGCGCATCTTGAGAAAGACGGCCCGAAGCCTATCAAGATGTTCCTCGAACGTCTTACTGAATACGATAACGTCATCCAGGTAAATCAAACACACCTCCCATTGCAAGCCAGCGAGGACCAATTCCATCAGGCGCTGGAACGTCGCGGGAGCAGAGTGTAATCCCATGGGTAAGCGATTGAATTGGAAGAGGCCGTGCGGCGTTCGGAAAGCTGTTTTGGGCTTAGATTCGTCGTCCAAGGGAAGTTGCCAAAATCCTGAGAGCAAATCCAAAGTGGAGAAGAATCGCGATCCCGCGAGGGCATCCAGCGAATCGTCCATTCGAGGAAGCGGATAAGCATCGGCCACCGAGATCTTATTTAATCGCCGGAAATCGACACAGAACCTTAGGGACCCGTCGTGCTTTTTAACCAACACTATGGGTGCACCCCAAGGGCTGGTCGAGGGAGAAATGATGTCAGATTTCAACATGTCATCTACAGCCGATTTGACATGATCCTTTTCGGCGGGACTTAACCGAAAAGGATTTTGGCGGATAGGAGCGTTGTCACCGGTGTCAATATGGTGGCGTAGCAATTTGGTACATCCGATATCGTATTTATGTTTACTGAAGACGTCGGAAAATTCTCGCAATAAGGCGCGTAATTTAGCACGTTGTGCGTCGGACAGGTCAGGTGACTCAGCACACAACGCTTCCAGCCAACCCTCGTCAGTGTCTGAGGCTAATCGCGTTTGAGAATCGGTGGCCACCTGGCCAATGATCGGCGTTTCCGCAGGTACCGGAACCGCATGTGCGAACACGGTACCCTGCGAAACCACCGCCGTCCGTGTCCCGACATTGAGGACCGCGATAAACGGGTCCCCATCCCCTTTAACAATAGTCTGGGCCGTCACCAGATCTGGCCCACTCACCCCGGCTCTAGATGGTCCCAACATAATGCCCCGGTCAGAGACCCCTTTATCGAACGGTCGACGCAACCGCAGGGGTACTAGCATCTGTGCCCCCGGGGGTACACGCACCGTCCGAGCAATGAGCGCATGTACCGTAGCACAGGCAGTATGCAAGGCAGGGGTGGAAGGCAGGAACGTAATACGTCGGCCCGATGGAAGCTCGATGCATCGCTGGTCAATCAGAATTTTGATGGGCAATTTGGCCAAAAAGTCTGTCCCCAACAGGCACGGAATAGCCAGCGAGGAGGAGACGAACACCGGGCCAGATAGTTTAATGTCCCCGATAGAAATTTGCGCTCGAATTTGGCCGATAATACCCAACAAGCCCCCATTTGCAGCGTAAAACGGTATGTCGACAGGGAGCAACGGGCGACTCTGAACGGGCAGGATATTATAAATCAAATCCGAAATGATAGTTGCCGAAGCTCCCGTATCGACCAGTACCCATACCTCCACCCCGTCAATATGCCCCGTGACAACGGACGACCCCGCCGATGCAGCCACGACCCGGTGAGCCAACTCGGACCATTGGCCCGGTTGGAGCGCCCTCCCCGACATGCCGCGACCCGACGCACCAGCACCCAAACCCCGAGAATCGTGTGTCGGACCTTGTGAGAGGAAAGTGGGTGTGTGTGCAGGCCGAACATGTGGGGTGCCATGACTTGCCCGAGGATGTTGTGAAGGCTTGTGGGGAGGGCCGTCCGCAGCTCCAGGTCTCGCTCCGCGCTGTCGAGGAGCCCGGTATCCGGACGCCACGTGGCCCCGGAGGCCACAATTGTAGCAGACGACGAGCGCTCCAGAGGACTTGGGCTGATCTCGGTGGCTCGGAACGTCCCGAGCCGGTCGCTCGGCAGATCGCCATCCTGCAGAACGATCCGCAGCGAAGGCCCCCTCCATTCCGGAAGAGGTCGCCGCCACGGTGTGTCGTGCAGCTGCCTTGTTTGCCTTCCTCCGCTGGGAGATGAGATTGGCGTGAATGTGCCTTGCAGCCCACAATTATGACATATCCGCATCATCCTGTGCTAGGATGATGAAGTCCAAATCGTCGGCCAACAGCAAAATTTTCTCGGCCACCATCGCATCGATCCCTTCTTCGTCCATACGCGGGAAAGCGCCTTTCGCCAATGACAGCAGAGCCGTGCGATAAGCAAGTGGCGATTCCTTGTCGCCCTTCTGCCGTTCATAGAAGAGCTGGCGACAATCGGAAGGCGGCCCATAAACCGTGGCCAGCAGCTGCAGCGCCGACTGAATCGTGGAGCGTGCCGACTTGGGTGCAGCGGTGAGGGTGCCCAGGGCATCGCCATCCAGCATCGCCGGGAGAGCACACAGCGCCTCGTTGTCCGACCAGCCCGCCATTTCTTGGTGGGCCAGGAACCGGCGCTGGAACCCCCCCCAATCGCCGTCGCTTGCTACGAATACCTGCAGGGCCGGCAGGCGTTGCTGGAATGTCGGCTCCGTCTCCGAACCTCTTGCAGCATCCGTATCGCGTCCCCGTACTGTACGAGTAATGGCGGACTCTAATGGGTGTCGCGCCGTCAGTGACGTGCTGGTTGGGGCTTGGTCGGTGCTGGCGTCCGATGGTGGTGACGTTGCAACCCCTGATAGGCAGCCACTGCGACCCGCCTCCGCCGATGACGTGGCGGCTGCTGACTGGGCTCCGTCCCCCACGTGACGAGCTGGGGCTCCTCCCTCTGCCCCTACTGTCTTTGTGGCGGGAATTTCGAGTCTCCTCTCTGTTGTAAAGGCGGGAGTTTCTGGCGGGCGTTCTCCATCTTCCCGCCGCGTCGCTCCTCCCGGCCCCAGGCGAGTTATTTGTTCCAGCATGGCGGCCGCTGCATACAGGAGCTCCGCCAGCCGCGAGTGAGCCAACGCCAACTCGTCAGTCGACGTCCCGGCCCTCTCCGACGACCCCGCCGATGTCGGAGCCGGCAGCGGTTGTGCAGGTACGTCGGCGGTGATGTCTTGCACCGCCCCTCCCTCATCGTCATCCTCTCCTGGGTCTTGGGCACGAGTCTTCCGTCTCGTATCCATGCTTGGACCACTTCCGACACCAGATGTAGTAAGTTCGAGGAGACGATGTCGAAGTTGAGGCACACTCTGTTTATTAACCCAGGGACAGGCACAATAGTTGAAGGGGTATCGGCCCCTTTCACCCGTACTATGGGAAACCCACCCTAGTACTAAGCCCTCTGTGCTGTTCCCCAGTCCTCCTCTACTGGGCTACGGGAGGCTGACTGATCTGGCCCTGGCAAGCACAGATCTCGGCACCAGCTAACCAGCCTTGCCCTGATAAGGGCAGCGGTCTGGAAGCTTTTGGGCCGCGCCGCTGGCTTACCCGGCTCGGCCCTTATAAGGACGGCGAGACCGGGGAGTCCCAGGGCCTAATCTCCGAGTCTTGGATCTTCACTGGTCAGCTTCGTGTCGAACTGCCTCGAGCTCTTTGGGTCTCCACCTTTTATAGGGATCACCTCCGAGGGCTGGGGGCGTGGGCAATAACGGATGCGGACGTCGGTGTGACCACCCGTGTATGTGAGTGCCGACACCCCTGTGTTTGTTGTCCGCCGTTTCTCCCGTAATAATCCCTACACATGTAAGGCGCCACACGTAATAAATATTCCAAGTGCCGGTGGAGTCAAATTAAAGTTTCTCTCCCGAACGTAAAGTGTGTGAAATTGAATGCATATGATTTACCACCACATGTGTTCCATGTAAAAGCCCGGGGGGAGCCGGGTGGGGCCCATTGTCCATCGTTGCATTGTAGATTGTAGCCTTCATATGGCTGTCGATTTGAGCATGTGACCCTCACAATATCTCCCTGTGTGAAAACATTTTTGCTTTTGTGCTGGTCTGAAAGACGTCCAAAGGGATCTATTGGTTGATCACAAGTACCTGTTGAGGAAAGCAAATTTGTAAAAAAATTAATCAAATTGGAAGATTAGCAACTTATTAATTAACAGGAATGTTAGTGACATTTTGCTCCGTAAGACACGGACACCCATGGAGCAGTTGCCCCCACAATTCCTTGAAAGGTGAGCAACACATATATACCGTGCCCCATAAACAGCCTTCACTGTCTTCCTTGGCTACTTGACACGATGGGCCCCCATCACCACCGATTCCCACAGCTTCAAAATCATTCCCACACACATGCAGACATCTCCACTGAATGCACCAATTTTAGCATTTGTATGCATCGCAATACCCAACACACGTATCTTACGTGTGAAATTGCACACATCTGGAGATATCACTTGGGGAAGCAATTATCATGCCACTCAGGTTTAACGTGGACAAGATCAAGATTTGAGCCATTCAGATCTCCAGAAGTCTAGTATCTTGGATAAATATAATTGGGTGGCCTGCAATGGTTAAGAGTATCTGTGGATACTTTCACCAGAACAATAGGTCTTCAATAAATAGGCGTAGCGTTTGTTGGCCACCCACCCCCTCATGCGCCGTGCCGGCCTTCACAAGTGCTCGTTGACAGGACTGGCCCCAATAGTCTGTCAAAAACTATATGATTATATGAACACTGTATATACATGTGTAACAGGTTCCGGAGACACTTGTAGAGGTAACTTCTTTATTACAATACAACACTCCAACAGTCCTGATACTCTGCTACAGCTTAGGTACACAGCCTAGCTACACTGCCTAGATACTCTACTCTGGCTACGCTCCGGAACTCGCCCTCACAAGGTCGTAGCGTCGGGAGTTCCAGAGTCCCAGCGCTGGCTCTCGCAGCATCCCAGGGTCTTCAGATGGCTGGTCGTGGGTCTTGGGTCTTGAGTTACAACTGCCCCGATCGTCCAGGGAGCTCCGCTTATATGCCCAGTCCCCAACGAGGGGTGGGGCCGTGTGCGCCACCAGACATCCCACAGAGCACACACAGCCCCCCCCGTTGGCGGCGCCCAGAGGCTTAAGCGTCTGGACCCCCTGGGAACCCAGCGCCTGGCGCCCAGGGGATTACGCGTCTGGACCCACCTGGGAACCCAGAGCCTACAGCAGCCCCTCCCTTCTTATGTCACTACATTACCCCCCTCTATGTAGCCTCCAGCCGTCCCGGCTGTCAATAATTAGAAAGTTTAAATTAACGAAAGGGAGAGAGAGAAGAAAAAAAAAAATACGCGAGCTTCAACAGGAAAAGAAAAGAGAACAAGAAAGCAACCATAAATACCATAACCAACCTGTACAACTCTACACTATATACAAGCATCAATCAACAAAAAGGTGAAGCAATGACACGTGAACAAACGACCCGCGGCCACCTAGCCCTCCTCTGGATCCGCATAGAAAACGGGGAATTAACAACAACAAATATACAGATTCCGACGCGTTGGATGCACAACCAACACCGGTAATCGAACCGAAATCACACAATCACCGCATGGATGGCAGGGATCCACACCACCCTGCCAGCCTCCCATCCGTCAGGTGGAGAGAAGGCGAAGACCAACATGTCGAGCATCCCTCTACACGCAGTTATCCGGACGTCTGTCTACGTCCCGGGTCGAGAAGTCGTACTTCAGGGCCGACCCATGTACTGGGCAAAGAAGTCGCACTTCAGGGCTGCTCCAGTATCTACATTTTAAAAATATATATATAAAATTTACATGACACAAACAAAATAAATCTGCCTGTTCCTGTCCATAAATGGTGGCTGCACGCATGAACCGCATCTCCAAAAGGCATCCCGTGCTTGCGTCCCCAGCAGCCCTCAATGAGGACCACCACCGACATTACATGTCAACCGTTTGCACCCCCCGCCTTTCCAACGTGGCGTCTCCATCCTAAAACCGCGCACGTCGGCCATATCGGGGGGGACTTCAACCCAGTCTCTCTCCAAGACTCGCATCGCAGCATATAGCTGTACCGACCGATCTGAGACCCAATCTCTCTCCAAGACTCGCATCGCAGCATATAGCTGTACCGACCGATCTGAGACCCAACCTCTCTCCAAGACTCGCATCGCAGCATATAGCTGTACCGACCGATCTGAGACCCAACCTCTCTCCAAGACTCGCATCGCAGCATATAGCTGTACCGACCGATCTGAGACCCAACCTCTCTCCAAGACTCGCATCGCAGAATATAGCTGTACCGACCGATCTGAGACCCAATCTCTCTCCAAGACTCGCATCGCAGCATATAGCTGTACCGACCGATCTGAGACGACCCATTGTTCACTCCCTGCACAACATGCACCCTAACAACTGAGGGATACAGTCCCAACGTAACGGGACAACTACACCTGAACACCACGAATCTCCAGCCCACTGTTTCAACGCGCCTCGGAGTGTTTCAATCTCCGGGCCGTCAGGGTGAGCCTACTGCTCCAGACGTACCACGGAGGGTCTCAACCTCCGGGCCGTCAGGTCAAGCCGTCAGCTATTCCATGACGGGACCACACTCTCCGAGCCATGTGAGCGCACAGCCCACTAGGCTAGACATGCCACGGAGTGTTTCAATCTCCGGGCTGTCAGGTCAAGCCGTCAGCCATAGCATGACGGGACCACACTCTCCGAGCCATGTGAGCACACAGCCCACTAGGCTAGACATGCCACGGAGTGTCTATCTCCGGGCTGTCAGGTCAAGCCGTCAGCCATAGCATGACGGGACCACAACTCTCGTGTTAGACACGCAACACCCGCTGGGACATCCTGGTCAGGATCTGCACCCCAAGATATTTGAGAGCCAGCATGACAATTCCAATCCTTGGCAGCATGTCACCATCTCAAGATAAATGCCCCATACAGTATATACATCGTTAACAATGACAGCACAAGCTATACATTAACAATCACGAACAAAGCTCAATATAAACCATACATTGTTAACAATCACAAGCAAAGTTTCGCACACACATTGACAACACTCACGAGCGAAGCTCCACACAGTTTACCCAACAACAGTCACGACTCCCCGACGACAACTAAGAAAATATCAACAAAAAAATCATTAATCCGGAGCGCGTAAATGTACGAAATGTCAGGGGCCTGGTCTCCCGACCTCAAACCTTTGGCCAGAGCAGCAAAGGCGGCGACCAGCGAGTCGGTCCATGTGCCGGCCCCGACGCCGGTTACAGTAAGAATGGCGCCCTCACTGTCCGGTCGCAGCGCTGATGACGCGGTATGCTAGGTTGCCAACAGCTGTCACCCGGCGGTGAGGGACGCAGCGCTGATGACGCGGCGTCGTCGGGTTGGCACACGCTGGGCCCGGAAGTGACGTCGCTCCCAGCGGTCACTGCTCCTCTGGTGGAAGTGATGTCATTCCCGGAAGTATCCCTCACATCCGTGGGGGGAATGGCAGCGGCGGGCTCGGGCGAGCGCCGCGCCTCCTCTCTCCCTCCCGCCGCCATCGGCCGCGAGCACCGCATCTCGCCCCGGAGGGAGGCGGTGGCGCAGAGCAGCTCTGCGAGGCGAAGCAGCGCCTCCTCCATCTCTGCTCCCGACGCTGGAAAGGGGACGGTCGGCGGAGCAGACAGCTGCTTAGCCGGCGGTGCGGCGTTGTTGTCGGCCGGCGGTGCAGCGTCGCTGTCGGCCGGCGTTGGCCGCCCCATCGCTGCCTGCTCCTCTTCATCGCCGTCAGGACTGAAGGTACGTGGTTCACCTCTTGTTTCCATTGCCACTTCTGACGCCAAATGTAACAGGTTCCGGAGACACTTGTAGAGGTAACTTCTTTATTACAATACAACACTCCAACAGTCCTGATACTCTGCTACAGCTTAGGTACACAGCCTAGCTACACTGCCTAGATACTCTACTCTGGCTACGCTCCGGAACTCGCCCTCACAAGGTCGTAGCGTCGGGAGTTCCAGAGTCCCAGCGCTGGCTCTCGCAGCATCCCAGGGTCTTCAGATGGCTGGTCGTGGGTCTTGGGTCTTGAGTTACAACTGCCCCGATCGTCCAGGGAGCTCCGCTTATATGCCCAGTCCCCAACGAGGGGTGGGGCCGTGTGCGCCACCAGACATCCCACAGAGCACACACAGCCCCCCCCCCCCCGTTGGCGGCGCCCAGAGGCTTAAGCGTCTGGACCCCCTGGGAACCCAGCGCCTGGCGCCCAGGGGATTACGCGTCTGGACCCACCTGGGAACCCAGAGCCTACAGCAGCCCCTCCCTTCTTATGCCACTACACATGTAAGTCATGATTAGTACATATACACTGCAAATAGGACCCCACAATGTGCCTAACGTTTAGTTGAAGCACCTTTATCGACTCTTTTTAATATGTAGAATATAGTTCATCAATACTTATAAAGTAGACGTGCTTTTTTATTTATTTATATTGTACGATCAGCCTGTGAATGAGTAATGCCATAACAATGTGACATATAGGGTCTGGCTTGTCTGGAGCAACTACACCATACCCCATATTATATTGGAGAGTAGTGATTCACATTATAAATAACGTGATTAGCACAACGACTCTTTGCCCTACAATATACTTTTATGTCTCCAAGGGTCAATTCCAATATGGCTCTCGTGGCACTCGGGGCACCATTTAAGAATAATTTTTATATTCAAAAACATTTATACTCTTGCAGCCGATATCATTATTCATAATCGCATGTTGAGTGGGTTAGGCATGCAAACAGTGGAACCTCGGTATACGACCACTTTGGAATACGTCCAATTTGGTATACGTCGTGTTTTTTCGAAAGAAAAAATGTCTTGGGATACGACGTCTTGCTTGGGATACGACGCGTTTGCTAGAACTTGTATGGGTCTGGATGAGTCACCGCGTACAGTACCCGCGTATGCCCCGTTCACGACTTAAACAAAGCGAGAGGGGCTGGGTGGCGTGGGGAAGAGGGGTGGGGTGGCGTGGGGGAGAGGGGCGGGGGACGTCGGGGGCTGCCCCCATGGAGGGTGGAGCCCCGGGTCGAGGCGCGCACGACGTGCGGGGTTGAGGCACGCCACGTGACCAGCGCAGCTGGCAGCAGCGTGGTCACGTGGCTTCTGTATGCATTTTAGTAATTAGTGTCTAAATTATTTTATACAACCCCATTAATGTACAATATGCCATATAAAATATCATTTATTTTCCACTGGAACGCATTATTTCCTTTCCCTTTATTTCTTATGGGAAAAATTCGTTTGGTATACGTAATTTTCGGTAGAAGTCCTACCTTCTGGAACGAATTAACGACGTATACCGAGATTCCACTGTATATGGTGCAACTCTGACTCCCTGGATGCCTCCATCGCGTGCCGAGGATGCTTAACATGTCTCAAGAAAAACGTCCTATCTAATGAAACTTGTTCTTCAGCTTCCCGGTGAGCTGCAACATTAATTATTGGTATTCTTTGGTTCTTTCGGTAAAGTCACGTAGGTAAAAAATGTAATAAAACAAAAATGAAAACAACTAAATTAAATCACGACGTTTCGGAGGCAACACAAGCTTCCGTCATCAGGTGGAACTGCCACAACAAAATTACTGTAGTGAGTAGAGAGAGCTATTTGTGACAAGCGAGTATATAGGGTAAGAGGGGGGGAGGAGCCAAGGAGGACGGAGACCACGTCAAGTGCCGGCCGGACGAGATCCAGGAAGTCAGAGCCACACTGGGATCTTAACTCAAAATATTTAGATAATGATATAAGCCCTATGACTACATCGACATTTGGCAAGAGTGTAAACCATTATCACTTAAGCTCCTTGTAAAACTGCTCTTTACATGATACAAGGGTGGTAACTTACGCTGACATGTAGGGGACTGTGAAGGGTACCACGCTTGATCTTCCCGACAGGTCTGTTTATCAGCACCTGCCACCATGTAACTGGATGAGAAAGCATAAGATTCACCGTCAGCATCATACTTTACATACACAAGAGGACAGAGGATCCAGGACGTTCAACTGCCTTAGAGATTACATGATTAGCGCATTTGGCAAAGAAGAAAGTCTGGTGCGGAGAGAAGACAATTCAGGGTTAGGGACGGTGGGAACAAAAGGAATTAAGGAGGTGCAAGAAAGACCACGCGGGGTGGAAGTCCTGGATTTCATGGAGAGATTCAAATGCTGGGCGGTGGCGAGGCAGAGGGTGGGGGTAGGGATTTCAACTGGTCGAGTAGCGATATTGAGAACGCCATATCTGTCAACTCCTCATCAGTGCCTACCTTATCACAGACCAATTCAGACCTTATTGGTCACCCGTGCCCTTATAAATCTCAACGTTCATCCTACAAAGTCCCATCACAAGGGAGAAACGCAAACAAATAGACAATTACTATTTTTGCCCGTATTGAAACGGGCAAAAAATAGTAATTGTATGGACCTGAAAACTCAATTTCCCTGTACAATAATACGGATAGACCGTATGGGTTGACAGGAATGGAATGCATGTATTTATGTTGAACTTCTTTCGCGTCGTACTTAGCCAACAGTGCAACGCAGAGGTGCGAGGGGAAGAACAACAAACTAAAATGCAAAACACTGTTGTAAAAAAATGTGTTTTCAATCCATATTTAAAGTGCATAGATCCAGTGGCTTCTTAATATCGGAAGGAACCGATTTCCAGATGGCCACGGAAGCCCATCTGAAACCAACTCTGGATGTAGTTTGATGGAATTGCAGAATGGCATGGGTAGCCAGCCAGAGCCAACAACGACGGGGGAGGTGGGAGCGAAAAGTGGGAGAATTGGGGAACAATCCTGGATGTGGAGTGCTAGATGGATTGAAGTGGCAAAAGGTTGGATAATGGAAGCCTGGACATGTGACTGCAGTATTCAATGCATGAGCTGACAAGGGCGTATGTGAGTGCAACAGCGGTGAAGCTTATAACACAATGCGAAATGTGATTGTTCTGGAGAATGGGTAGGCGTGATATGACAGTGCGTGTATGCAAAGTGCAAATAAGAGGTCAGAGTTGAGAAAGACATCAGGGTAAAGGATCCAAGGAAGAGATTTAACAATGCCGTTGAAGAGTGACAGGTAAAAACACAAGGCGTGGGTGTGGAGGAGGTGGGAAATACAATCACTTTATTGCAATCCATGTTGAGCTTTAGTTGGTGACAAGACAACAGTCGCGGTGAGACCGATATGTCAGAGATACTGAACTAAAGATCAATATCAGCAGCATAATACTAGAAGCCTTACTTCCAGATGAGGGCCCCAAGATGGAGAGTGTAGTGCAAGAACAGCAGTGGACCAATAAACTGGCGAAAACCAAGAGTAAATTATTAACCTTCACAAAACACCTACCAAACATCAAGCCAGCCACTGTGATAGATGAGAGGTTGTAAATTGAACAAGTAATGTGGCATCAGGAATCTCCAATAACGGATATTTCACATATTTAGGCCAGATTTGAAAGACATAACACTGAATCACTGTATTTGATGAGGCACTGTATTTTCAGCACTATCCAAACTCAACCTGTTTAGCTTCTGACATCTGATGAGATGTGGCACATTCAGAGTGAGCTGGTATCATAGACCACTTCAACAGGACTCTCTTACTAAAGAGTAAGGGCCATAAAATGTGACCTCTGGTGAATCGATACATCGCATTGATGCACGTTGATAAGGGGCCAACAATTTGATTCCTGCACCAACATTTTTTTCCCCATTTGAGTTATGAGGCGTGACATTTTTTTTAAAGCTTGGTATAAGCACACCTGGTGCATCAGTGGAAATGATGGGGCAATTTATTAAATCCCTCTGTCCATCCCGTAACATTTACAGGGTTCGCCGCAGTTAGTCGATTGGGAGGTCGTTTGCTACTTGTTTCAGAGGTTTGTGGTTCAATTCTAGTCGGTCGCCCTGGTTATTACTGCGGGTGTGTGAACCAAAAACACACACCATCTGCTTCAGTGTGCATTACACATTCCCTGACATTAAATGAAACAAGTAGCCATTGTGTGCCGGCTTCATGGTCTATTTTTGCCAAATTTGAAAAATTAGCCACTAACTTCTCAACTGAGATTCTACCGAGCAACATGGCTCTTAAAGTGAAACTATTGCAAACTGTGTCTGTGGCATAGTGCATTTGTGGTATCTTTGCACTAACAACGGCTCAAATACCAAATGTACAAAACTATTAATTATTATATACATTACCCTTTGTTGCATTTTAATGTGATGGAGCTCCCCAAGGAATGGTCATTCCCAATCCAGTATCCTTGCCATGGTTCGGATGGAGGTGGGCAATTAAAGACTGCACAGGATAGCAGAATACAATGATACATGACAGTCTCATACAATAGCGATTTATGTCATGTAATAACCTCATATATAATATCCAATTCAATATTTGTAAATGTATTGTGAATGAGTCTTGCAATTACAAATGTTTAACATTTCAAAAAGTTGTGACTTTTCCTTCTTGGTTCTTTCGGTAAAGTCACGTAGAAGACTTTCGATTTAAAGCTTTCGTGACTAAATCGAAAAGTTGTGACTTTGTTTAAAACTGTGCACTGTAAAAAAACATGTTTTTTAATTAATGTCATTTTGACAAGATTGTTAACCTACATTGTTCTAAATAATTGTCAATTCGCAGTTGTCACCAATATTTGTCGTGGTATTTTAGGACAAGGTTTTCACAACTGTTAATATTTTATAGCGTGCGTGTTTACTCAACCAAGTACGACTCAGGATAACTTAAAAACAAAATCGATGCAAGGCATGATAAAAAAAAACTATATTCTTTGCTTTGACCTCTCCATCAAATCTTATTATGCGTAGACTCATACATAGCCATTTTGTCAATCTCATACCTGTCGACCCATACGGTTTACCCGTATTCTTGTACAAGGAAATTGAGTTGTCGGGTCCATACGGCGTACAACTGTTTCAATACGGGAAATTTTTGTCTATTTGCGTTTCTCCCTTGTGATGGGACTTTGTCGGATGAACGTTGACATTTATAAGGGCACGGGGTGACCAATAAGGTCTGAATTGGTCTTTAACAAGGTTGGTATGCAATCGACTGCTGGATGAGTACCTCTCTACATCATGCAGGTCATGGAGGTTATTTGACTGAACTTCACCACGCTGTTCAGTGTAGGTTGAAGGTGGAAGGTGCATAGATGATGGAACATTTAAATATGGTAGAGCGACTGAACTTGCTACACGGCCTTCACATTCCCACAACGTAGCCTCAGAGCCTATGCCGCCTGCTATACATGTGTACATTTTGATCTCAAATTAAAAGGAAAAGTGAAAGTTCACAGAGGTTAAATCATCCTTACCACACACTGGGTCCTTGCCTGACCAGGTTCCATCGGCCTGACAGGTTCGCGTTGAGGGCCCGTTTAGTGTCATTTCCTTTTCACAAGTGTATGTAATCGCACTGCCAAATTCCAGCCTGGATGGGGAACTGCTTATAAGATGTGGACCTTCAGCGGGTGAATCACATGTAATTGCTGTGGAATGGAGACAGAATACATTTAAAGAGCAGTGTCTAGTCATTCAAAGAGATGACCGCTTGTATTTCACAATGAAGTATGTTAAAAACAATCATGACACACTTTCCAACTTATACACCACCTCTTGCTTGACATTCCCCTACCAGTCTTTAACAACAACAGCCGCAATTCGCCAATAAGTGCCGGTGATGTCACCACGGCGCCTGTCGCAGGCAAGTTGCACTTTGAGGCAATGTGAAGTGCCAACTTGCTGCATTTTAGCTTCCCAGCACTCTGCTCATTGTTGTGAGCATTGCTCCTCTGCCCACAATTTGTATTGGGCATTGTTACAAGACTTCGAGGACATTTTTAGAAAGGGACCGTACGATTTAGGTGGCACATTTAATGTCACATCACAGGAAACGCGCCGCCTATCTTCAAAAATTCATATTGCACGGGGCCGGTCGATAAAGCTCACATACAAAACGCGATCGATGAGATGTTAAAAGCCGATATTATCTCGCCATCCACGAGCTCATGGGGGGACCCTATCGTCCTGGTGAATAAGCTAGATGATTCATTGTGGTTTTACGTAGACTTCTGTCGACTAAATAAGATGACAATGGTGGATGCTTATCCACTACCGCAGATTGACGATTCCTTGAATGCCTTAGCGGGAGCCAAATACTTTTCTACTTTGGACCTATCATCGGGATTTGGGCAGCTACCGCTGGATGAGGATTCAAAACACAAAACTGCCTTTAGGACACCGCAGGGGTTATTTCATTTTAACGGTCTTCCAATGGGATTACAAACGGCCCTAGCCACATTCCAACGGCTCATGGAGCTGGTACTGACAGGTCTCCAGTGGGACATTTGCCTGATATATTTGGACGACGTAATTGTGTCCGGAGGACGGTTTTATCACGTATCAGGGAAGCACATTTAAAACTCAAGCCTTCTAAATTCCACCTCACACGGCCCTCCGTCAGATATTTAGGGCACATAGTGCAACGGGGGAAGGTACTGATCCAGAAAAGATGCGGTGTGTTAAGGAATGGCCCACAACTGTATCCGTGCCGGATGTTAGAAGATTTATAGGTTTTGTTTCATATTACTGCAGATTCGTGCAGGATTTTGCAGCCATCGCGAAACCCCTACACGCACTTTACAGCTAAGGGGCAGAAATTCCAGTGGGGTACAAAAGAGGACAGGGATTTAAAAAAATCTGCAGACACTCCTTACAGAGGTGCCACCATTGCTATATACAGATTTTCCATTGCCCTTCACACTGGATACAGATGCGAGCGATGTAGGGATTGGGGCCATCCTATCCTATGTGCAGTCGGGCAGGGAAGTGGTGATAGCATATGGCAGCTGGCTCCTGTCATTGGCCGAACAATGCTGCTGCGTAACGAGGAGAGAGCTCCTGGCCATTGTGGCATAGCGCTGGCTGCTGGCAGAAAAGGGGATATGCGGCATACGGCAGTCCTGACATCTAGTGAAAAGGGTCACGGAAGGGGCCCACCAGGAACCCGATAGTAGGTTCCAGAAAGGGGGCGTGGCCGGGGCGGAGCGAGGCCACACTGATAGTATAAGAGGGGCTACTGTGGGGGACCTCGGGGCTGTTGTTGGAGTGGGAACCCGCCATGCTGTTGAAGTCCATCTTGGCCATTCTTCTCATCGTCTTCACCATTCTTCTCGTTGTCTCCACAATTCTTTTCGTCGTCATCTCTGTCTCTACCATCTCTGGGCACCGCTAGTCAAACAGCCTACCAACTGTCCTGGCTAAGTAGTGTCACCGATAATAGACGGACTAAATATTAAGTGCGTTAATCCCAATGGTGCTCGTTCATAAAGAAGTGCCTCCAATGTCTTATCGTCTTCGAGTTAGTCACTGCATCTGTACTGATGAAATTTGCAACCACGCAGTACTGCAATACTCGTTACGTATCGATCGACCCTCTGGTCAAATGTCCAGGTAGATTGATAGGCTGCAAGAATTATCCTATGAGGTGGAAGGGGTTGCGCCACACCAATGTGGATGCTTTATCGTGTCTGCCTGAGGCAGGTACTTGTGCATATGCTAAGGGCTCACCCAGATGTAAACCACTCTCACCTGGCGCGGCATGCCTCACAGCACCTGTGCACATTCAGGAAGGCAAACCAGAGCCTATCCCTCGACGATCGTGATTTTGGACTGGATCAAGATGAATGGCGTCAAGTACAATGGGAACATTAGACGCTTGACCCCATTCGTGCCATAGCTAAATCCAGTCAAAAACAGGACAGGCCTCCAACAGCTTCGACATTCGTAAATTATGAAGAGCTGTTGATGTGTTGGGAGATCGGCACACAGTCCTACTGTCTCGTTGTGCCAACCTCCATACGTAAAAAGTTGGTAGGGGAGGTGCATGGCCACTGCCTTCCTGCATTTGAGGGAGCTAACAACACTTTCCACCATTAAAAACATTGTTTCTGGTCGGGCATGATGGCAGATATTCGCACATGTAAGGTCTCATGCATAGAATGTGCGCGGTGGAAACCACCAACACACCGGTCAAAGTTCCCCATTGTAGGATGAACGTTAGGATTTATAAGGGCACGGGGTGACCAATAAGGTATGAATTAGTTTGTAATATGGTAGGCACTGATAAGGAGTTGACAGGTATGATATTGATACCTTTATTTATGACATTCATATATTTATTCATTTATATATTTATATTCATACATATGATCAATCAATATTTCTGAGAGAAATAATCAGTTTATGAAATCATCAGAGCCTCTACATTTTCGCGGATTCTTGCTAGTTGGTAATATTACCCCTCGGATGTTACCGTTAAATAATGTAGTCATGATTAATACATTTCTCTTGTCGTTCTTACGTTCACATGTCGGGGTCTGGTGAGACCATGTCCCATCTGCTTGGCACTCCAGGCTTGTGTGTTTTTCCGGTATAGTGTACCTTTTGGGATGAAAATATAATTTTCACATTAGCATCATCATCATCACAATCCATGGGCAGATAGCCCAAAGGTGTCCACTGCACATTTCGTCATTTGTTTCCACTTTTCTCTGTCTTATGCCAATATGTTCAAGTAGTGTACATCTTTCTGGCACCAATCTCTTATGATGTCGTCAGTGTCAACCCATTCTCTGGTAGGTCTTCTTCTTCTTTGGGTCTTTTGGTAAAGCCACTTGGAAAGAAAAATTTTTTTAAATAAATAAATATATCAGGGGGATGGTTTCCTAACAAATATTAGATCTTCCAACAAACTTCGAGACAAGAAGGTTCATATGATCGAATCGCTCACTTTTCTGAAGAGATGCCGCGACACTAAAGTAATACCGATCACATTTACACTCACATCTGCTGCTGTCACTTCTCCTAATGCTAAAGGGATCTTGTTCAGGACCAGCTGAGCCCTGATCTCAGAGAGAATAAGACTGCTCCGATTTGAACTAGATAATTTAGACAAGACCCTCTTGCAATCACACTAAACATTGACTGAAAAAATGTCTACATTTGATTGGGATCATGTAGATAACATCTCCAGTTGTAGCCAATGTTTTTATGGAGAAATTTGAGACAAATACCATCCAGGCATCCACCCTACGTCCTTCCTTGTGAAAGAGATACGTAGATGATATGTTCGTCATCTGGCCACATGGCCTACCAGCTCTGGACCATTTCTTCAACCACATATTCAATGATTGCAATGGTGTCGGGCACAGGAACTTTAGTGAACAAAGAAACTACATCAAAACTAATAAGCAAATCACCTGGAGAGAGTGAGATGTCCATAATTAAGGATACCAAGTGAGCTGAGTTAAGTACAGATGAGGTGGTCTTACCAGTGAATTGTTGCAAGGTATCAGACAGAAACCGGGCCAGTTTGCATCAACTATAATTTCAGTGTGTTCATAACAGTGTATATCATATACTTACATGCGAATCTGTGTTCAATAAACAGCAGTAAGTGATATTACTATTATGCTTGTTTACCCAGGAAACCCGTATCGGGTCTCAAGTCTGCTTTTAGGAGATCCTGCCATCTTTTTGCAGTAGTGGACAATGTTGCTCTGTGTAATCCAAACTGAGCAAATTGCAGCTAAAAAAAACCCTGCGGCGAAGTGCGACATAGAGAGCACATATTCTTGGGTTTTTTTCGGTAAAGTCACGTAGGTAAAAAATTAAAATTAATAAAAGTAAAATAAAAAATAAAATAAAAATCACGACATTTCGGAGGCAACACAAGCCTCCGTCTTCAGGTGGAACCGTCACAGCACGCTCGCTGTATCAAGTAAATGAGAAATTCCAAGAGATCCGACCCCGTATATATACTGGTTGAGGGGGGAGGAGCCAGGGAAGGTCCCTGAATAGGAGTTTTTTTTTATTATTATGTTAAGGTTGGTGCAGCTGAAGCTACGGCTAGTCTACATAACAAAGGACTGAGCCTTTGTTATGGCTGAGAAGAGGGGGTGCCAGAGTTGTTAAAGTGCGGCTGCTGCTAATGGGACCGAGCCCCTGCCATGTAGATGGTAAAAGCAAAAAAGCAGGTCAGGAAGGAACAGTCTCCTGCTACGTTGCTTTGTGGGTAAAACTTAAAGCAGGAAACCAGCGTGTGAAAAAAAAGCTAAACATGATAAAACAATGTAGACTAGCCGTAGCTTCAGCCGCAGCAACCTTACCATAATAATAAGTATAACCCGTAAAAACAAAGTTTTTCACTATAAATCCTTTATATGCGTGGCAGCGAACTTAATAATAAGGATTTAAAAATATATTCGCCTGTGGAGGACGCGGGGATCGATCCCGCGACCTTTGGCATGGGAAGCAAGGGCGCTACCAACTGCGCTACTCCACCACGGCCTGTGGAGGGGTTACGCTCTGTGCTCTTACACTCTGACGTTCAGCCAAAGCCATGAATGCGTTCTATTTGAATATATGTAAAATTATTTTTTTTTGCCTAAAAAGTGTAAATTTTTGGGAATTTTTTTTCACGAACAATATTTGTCTGGCACAACGAGTCTGTGTGGAAAATGTCAGCTCGATTGGATCACGGGAAGTGGGTTAAAAAACGACCGAAAGATTTGCACGGTCCTAAGCAAGCAAGCAAGCACGCAGGCACGCAAGCACGCGAACTTAATATAAAGGATTTAAAAAAAAACTCCTATCCAGGGACCTTCCCTGGCTCCTCCCCCTCAAGCAGTATATATACGGGGTCGGATCTCTTGGAATTTCTCATTTACTTGATACAGCGAGCGTGCTGTGACGGTTCCACCTGAAGACGGAGGCTTGTGTTGCCTCCGAAACGTCGTGATTTTAATTTTATTTTAATTTAATTTTTTTACCTACGTGACTTTACCAAAAAAAAACCCAAGAATATGAATCCTTGTAGTCACGAAAGCTTACAAATCTAGAATAGAGAGTACATTTGGACAGTAGGTTGAGTCATGAGTTCAAGACTGAGGCGCAGCAGAGGAAAATGATGGACCTCTCATTTTGTGGAGAGATCCACTGCATGTTGGAGCACATCCTTTAAGTACAGAAATGGATTTTAAATTACAAAAAATAAAAGTTCAGACGTGTAAACTTACCCTTTATTACAGAAATATGTCACTATGCGCCGATATTGGAATGAATCTCCCTCAAAATATCCATTTTCAATTTCGCCCGGAAAACTGCAGGTTTTGGCTGCAAAAAGTGTAAATAGCGAAACCAAACGACATGGTAGCAGTTACATTGGAGAAACCAAACGACATGTCTCGGACCGCATCCGTGAACATAAGGCAGACCTGAAACACGGTAGGACAAACACCTCAGCCGTGGCAGATCACTGTTACAATTCAGTGGGCTCACATGACATTGACTTCTCCAAGACAGAGGTTCTCTGCAAGCCATCTGGCTATCATGAGAGATTCGTTCATGAGGCGATCCACATATACAAACACAGAGACAATTTCAACCGAGAAGATGGATTCTGGCTTAGCAATCATTGGAAGGACGTAATAAACCATTTCGGATCTTAACTGATTGTGTTCACGTTTACGGTGACTTTCAGACCGCGTTCCACTCACTGGCATGGTGCAGTGTGCAGAGTAATGTATGGTGTCGTAATTGTACAGTAAACATATAGCAGTATGATACACATTAGGGTGGGTAGAATAATACATAGTGTTATATTAAAATGGATAAGGCAGCAACTGCAGCAGCAGCAGCAAGTGCAGCAGCAGCAGCAAGTGCAGCAGCAGCAGCAAGTGCAGCAGCAGCAGCAAGTGCAGCAGCAGCAGCAAGTGCAGCAGCAGCAGCAAGTGCAGCAGCAGCAGCAAGTGCAGCAGCAGCAGCAACTGCAGCAGCAGCAGAAACTGCAGCAGCAGCAGCAACTGCTGCAGCAGCAGTAACTGCAGCTCCCTTTGATGCTGTTAATCCTGCATAATGCACATGCATATGCAGTACTAATCACATTCCTGCATTTCCCATAAATATGCTAAATTCCTTTTGATATGCAAATTCCTTTGTCAATGCGCCCAGCTTATATATATACTCCAAGCTCGTGTGCTGTTTCATTCAGACTCTGTCGCCTCGACGGACCTGGTTTTCACCTGAGGACGGCTGCTTGCGTTGTGGCCGAAACGTCGTGAGAATTGTTTTATTATGTTTTATTTTTATTATTTTATTACTTCCCTTCTACGTGACTTTACCGAAAGAACCAAGAAGAAGTGGTATTAAGTTAAGTGGGAAGGATTTGTAAAATGAATGTCACTTCAAGAATGTCTACTTCCTATATAACAAATCCTGCTGTAGACCAGAACAGATATTTACATTTTCTTAGTTTTTTATTGCATTAAGAGATCAGTTAATGGGTAAGGGGATACATTTATTAAAACAAAACATTTCTCCTGCTTCTGATCTCTACAAAAACATCTTCAAACATCTGATTTCATTATACAACGATATCATGATATTTATAAGAAATTTTAAGTAAAAAAGAGACTTACGAGAGCATTTCAGTTTAGGCATGTCCCACTTAATGGCATTGCCTTCTCTTCTACAATACAATGTGTAAGATGAACCGGGAGATACCGTGTATCCTGGTTTGCAACGATAACGAACGCGTGTATCCACAGGGAAGCTCTCCTGCTGCTCATGTTCTTCTATCAGCATTGCATTGGGTATATTAGGAGGAGTCCCACATACATCGTTTCCTGCGACTAGAGAAACACACACCAACAATGTATCATGAAAACTATTAGTCCAGCTTGGAGAGGTTTTACTGTGTATAACATTGCTTTCTAATCACCATCCCCAACCTGGCATTGATTGCCGCCTGGCAAAGGTGCATCCTTGCACAAAAACTTCGACATCAATTTGGCATTTCTTTTTCAGAATTATTGAATCTGTATAGTGCAGTAAAACTGAGAAATAACAGAAATAATTTCCTTATTCAAACCAGCTCGAAGATCAAAGTGTGGGACTATTGCACTGACAGAGGTTGTGGTGAAAAATTCGATATCGCAGACAATAACGTGAAATAATGAAACTGTACATGACTGGCAATTTTATTTCCTATTCATAAATGATGAATGCACTCATTTACATTGCCATAAACTGTAACCAAGGAATTCAATAATTCCCTCCCACCCCCAGCGATTTAACTGTAATGGTTCGAGGTCGCAATTCCATTATTTTTTGCCTAATTTTTTACCGACTTCGTTTCAATTTTAATGTCTCGTTTTACAGCTTTGTATGCTCTTTAAACTTTAGGCGAACGTTAAAATATGAGATTCCTACATATGCATTCCGATGCAGGAATCGGCATAGTGAGAATTTATTTCAAGGGAAGAATTGTTACACACCGACTGTACAAAGTTGGCACGATGAAACTGGCTGCCATTCTTAACATCAGTGGCACGACACACGATACTTAATTTACCCAGACCAAGATAATAACAATTTAGTACATGTGCTATTCGTGACATTCTTATAGTGCAAGGCTATTACAAAAGGCACTACGTATCAAAAAGTATGCGGTCGTTGATGCGTGTGATCTCATTTGAGTAGTTTGATGGTAGTTTTTTGGATTTAGAAAATTTGGACCATGACACCGGCATACATTGGCTTACTCATTTCGAGAAGGCCATTTTGAGTCAGTACAACTACAGTAATAGTCAGATCCACCTGCCGGATTTGAACCGCGAACCTCTGCAAAAAACACCGAACGTTCAACTACGTGGCTTTGTCACCACCCTAAATGACAGGGTGACATATGATAATTGTTTTTTTACCCTTTTATCTGGCAACAAAACTGACACCTTTTTTTACAAGGAGTCATGTTTGCATTGACCACAATACCTGCAGTTGGAATGCAAACAAAAAACATAACTCTGATAATGTATGCACTGTCCTTGAAATTGATTGGTCCACACCCGAGACAGCTTTCTTTAGAGCCTAGTCTCACATGGTGATGGACCAGATGACGCCAAAAGGCGCACAACTCAAGGACAATGAACTATCAGAGTATGCATTCCGACTGCAGGTATTGTGGTCAATGCAAACATGACTTCTTGTAAAAAAATGTGTCAGTTTTGTTGCCAGATAAAAGGGTAAAAAACTATTATCATATTTTGTAACTGGCAAATGAGGTTCCAATGGTGACAGGGTGGCAGCAGCGCAAGACGTACTTCTGCAAGATGGTTCCTTTCCGCTCCATTTTCCGAGATTTGAACACGTCCTCATATTATTTCCAAATAATATATATCCTTCATTGCATAAGTATACGATTCTCCTTGGGTTACTATTATCCACTACTACTTCACCATTTTCTATGTTGCCTGGAATTTGACATGCCTCTGCAATGGAAATACAATATCACGTATATTAGTATTCAAAGCAACACTCATCCATTCAAACTAAAGTCAATTCAAACTAAATGCTCATGCATTTGTAAGGGTTTTGCGAGCAGGGCACTGACTGCTATATTTTGTCTTGACTTTAATACGTGCTGCAGCCAGAGACGTGCAAGTCGTCGTCTCAAATTAAAGCTCTGTGCTTGTTATTGGAACTGCACAAATTTTACATCTCACGTTTTGTTTGTAATCCTAATTTCACAATTCCAGTGACGTGCCAGATTTAAAAAAATCGGCATGCGTAATGGTATTTAATGTAGACAATGACTGAATTCGCATTTATTAATCAATGAAAACGATTGAGTCGTATTTTGCTTTAGTCGAGGCTCTGTTCTTGGTCGATCTCAAACACGGCTCAGCTCAGGCTTGAGCAGCTCAGTTGCTTCCCAAAACGCAAGAATGGCTCAGCCGTGGCTTGGTTGAGGATCATCTCATGGAAATCCTGAGCATGGTTCCAGAGCCGGGTTTGAGCTGGCGCAAAGGAGCCAGAGCCAAGCCGTGACTTATGAATACAAGCCTTAATTCTATGCCATATATTGATAATCATCCATTAGTGCCCATGAGCTCATTGATATTCATGACGTCACTTATACACTGCATTATGAATACTTATGTTTTTTTCTGTGTACATCACTATTCTTTACTATTCATGGTGTCCTGGATGCACGACCTCTGGATACAGAGCACGATTTACAATTCTCTCAGGACATTCAAACACCCGCTGCATGTACCATATGATGCTGCCAACCAGATTCAAATTCTCATATAAATGTGTGTGGTACATTTTTTAAAATAATTATTATCCATGTTTACCCAGGAAAGCCTCAATGAGTTTCACAACCCTTTTTTTCAGGATAGTCCTGCCAAGTTTTTTTTAGGGTGCGATGATTGCTATGCACATTCTAAGTTACAAACTTGCGGGTAATTTTTCTAATTTGGACCATGGCTTCCTCTTACGAATGACATAGGATAATTAATGTCCACTGACCAAAGTGTTCACTGGATTTGATCCATGAACCTCTCTGCAATAAGTGGTAAATGCGCTCCTGAGAGACCACATCACCGAGCAAAGGCTCGGAAAGCCCATCAAGAGGGTATCTATCCTCTCATTGCCAGTTATACTATAAAGAGTAATTAATATCCTTATTTGTACATTATTGCATATATATGAGAATTTAGTACGAATACATTTAACATACCAATACTGTTTGGGTGCATGTGCTGTTAAGCTAAAACTCATTTCCCCTACACCTACCGAACTTACCATTGCATGTACTCACAGGAATGTTCCATTTACCACGATCATCCATTGATCTACATCGAATGGAGATGGAGACAGAACCACTTGATGTAGTATAGCCAGGCTTGCAATTATAGTTAATATTAGTCCCTATCTTAAAACTTGACTTGCCAAACACATCTTGAGTCAAATCAGCATTGTCTATCATTGGTGGGGTTCCGCATTCATTGCTGGAGAGCACTGTGGAAAGACGCACTGTGATTGCTATTGCATTAATTAATGGAAAATAACATTTTAATTACAGGCTGTCGATTTTTGCACCTTCTTCTCACACGTCCAGAACTATAATTATGTGTGGGAAACCGACCTTCCAGGGAGCAACGATGTAGGCAGTGATGCTGGTGGTTATAGGCAATGCTACAAGGACCTTGTGTCCACTGAAAGCTCCTGCTACCTCGTGTCTCATGGCTCTCACTCATTGGCATCCCCAAATTTGACAGCACGTGTGTATAACATTTAAAAGTCAGTGTCAGCAATAGGGCGGCACTCATGTTTGTCTAGGCAGCCTTGTGCCAGCGGTGGAAATTATACATTCTCATTGTGGGATCCAGTCTCACAGGTTGACGACTATTAACTGCACAAAGTTATACCTGTGATGGAGGGAAGATGGGCTAAATTCTACCCCTGAATGTGATTATAATTCAAAACTTGTTATCGTGTGAGTTAAGTGTTATTACTATATTACTTAAGCCAGATACACAATGAATATTTTGAGACGATGATTTCTTACACCATGACTGGGCCGAGGCAATAAAATTCCCTACGTATGAGAAATATTATTCGCCATAGACATCAAACTAGGGTTTTAACATAGGCATCCTAAGTACAAGATGAGTATCTTATAATTATCCTCTTGATCATAATCACCTCTTAAGATGGGTGTCTGATAGCCATTAATCATTAGGTCGTACCGTGTAGAGCATACCTCTGCAAATAGGCTCCAAACCACTCCACTTGTTATTTTTGCATGTTCTTACTGAAGGTCCTTCCAGAACATAACCGTCATCACACGCATACTTTGCTATGTTTGGGTTTGTTTGGTTCACATGTACGTGACCTTTACTTATGTTACCTAGCCTTTCACACGGTTGACCTGCAAGAAAACAGAGTAGACTTTATCCACGTTAAGACAGGGAGCACTCTTGGCATTCATCCACATAAATAACTGCTCTTAACTGTGCAGACACCTGTGGACGAATGCAAACGGGAGTACAGTAATTAGCTGCCACTTACAGAAACCCCCCTCCCCCAATCCACAAATTTCCAGTGGGACCACTTCTTGGTGATTTTGAGCCAGAGCAAAGTGGAGGGAATGTTCTACCCGCCTCTTCTTGTACAATTTGCTCATAAGAATACAATTGAAGACGTGCAATCTTGGAGTGAACCCTAAATCCATATAAGCTATATTGTAGCAGTTTTTGGCCCCGTTTACCATGCAGAATGGGTGGAGTCACGGCACAAAATCACATGGCAAATTAGGAGCCGGGTGAGTGTCCAGAATTGGTGCCGTTCGTGCTACCATCAGCATGGTCATCCCACCAATGGTCTGAGGTTACCAATGAAGCACCGTGTCACACACAAAACCCACACATCCAAGTATGTTTAAAACGCAGATTGTTTTTTAAACCCATATTAATATTTCTAATTGATTTTGTATTAACCCACATAATCGTCTGTCAAAAAATTTACGTCGTTAAGACACACCACAATCTGATACTGCCCAACAAGTGAAATTGTCAAGCATGCGTTTAATCCAATTGCTACATTTTTTGCGTGCATGTAATGTGTTCTAATCGCCTTTTATTTCTTGTGTTAATTGCACCATGTTGATGCACGACCTTGCCATTCGGAACCTGAATATGAACAGTTGTTTTGGATTGATTGGTTCGTCTTTTATTTCTATGGTGTAACTCGGTCCCCATCTAAAATTACCATTTATTTGCCAAAGGGGGTTTCCCTGTACTAAAATAAAACCTAAATAAGTAAACATTTGTTCGTGAGAATGATTCTTCAACGTATTGGTGAGTTGAAACTATAATGATTGGCCCATTGTTAAACGCTTGTACACGTGACAATTTAATTAGTTTCGCTATGTCAGGTGGTGGAGAGGTCTTAACTGCAGAAATTTGACCAGATCATTACGTGGCTGAGCCCAACAATAATTTATGCTCATGTGAGTTTCTCTGCTCTCTACCAAGGATTTGAATTGTATTGCAAATGCAATAATGGCTTAGTGCTGCTTCAACAAAATGACGTGTAATGTGTGTACTTTTTGCTACGTTCATATGAAAGGCTCGATTATTACAACTCCCTATTCTATGGGACGTCTGGCAAAAACATTAACAAGCTGCACGGTGGACAAAATTCTTTAGCACGTGTCGTTACGGGGACTACAAGATCCAACCATGTCCGTCCAGTGCTCGCTGAACTACATTGGTTTCCGGTTGCTGAACGAATACATTATAAGTTCACGCTCATTACACACAAAGTGCTTGCCACAAATGTACCACGATACCTTGCCGATATCGTCAATGAGCATAAACCATCATGCAAACTTCGATCATCCTTGCAGCGGCGTTTGGCTAACCGTCAAACAAAGACGGCCACTGCATCGCGTGCTTTCAGATGTGCTTCTACGGCTGTTTGGAACTCTCTTCAGATATGCGGAAGCCACTGAAGCTATGCACTTTCAAATCTTTATCAATTAAGGTTTTCAACCCTGCAGGTTTTATAAATAGGCAATTACTGATGTGTTTTGTATACTGATTGTTAATTCTAGACTTTGGCTCACCTATGGAGGTGTAAGGGTCATTAGAGGACACCTTAGAGTAATGTAAACTTCACATCAGTCGACAAAAAGCTAAAAAATGAATGAATGATTGCTGGTGTGTTGCAAGGCACAGGAAAGCATCGGATTGGCTGAGGACTCGGAGAGGGGGAATTGGCGGGAAAGAGAAAGGAGGAGGAGAGTGAGAGGTGGAGCATGATACCAAGGGACATAATTAGTGGAAAGCAGGGGAGGGAGGCGATTTGAGGGACCTTCTGGAATGTTCCCAAAATAACGAAAAGGTTATATAAAGGGGGTGTAATGTGTGCTTAGGGCTATTGGCTGGGCAATTAGCTTCTATGAGTATGTATGATGTGTTGCATAGAATTATAAAGTTCCTTACCAATGGACTCCCTTTCACAGGTAGGAGTGATATTTGACCATGTCCCATCAGCCAGACACTCTCTCGTGTCATTACCTTTAATTGTGAACCTGAAACAAAGTTCATTCAGAACAAATATTCTTTGAAAGACAGAAATAGTATTGCAATAGTTAAGTCAATTGAAATATAGCATAATTCCTCTGATCTACAAAGCAATTACCATTGGATCATTCTTCCTGTTTTCTGTGAATGTACATATTACATTTGGACTTGGGTCCATCCAAACGAGACAATCACATTGGACAAAAATAGACACTGTCAGTTATGCTGTGGAAGAAATGAAGTTCCCAATGTGTGCCACTCACCCACTTACAGGCAGTCCCCGGGTAACAGGCAGGTTAGGTTCCCGAGATCGATCCGTAACACGAATTTTCCGTATGTCGGAAACTGAACAATTTCCCCCCAAAATCAAGATAAAATCCCATAGCCAGAAATAGTTGTGCCTCCCCTACCAATTACTCGTTTATTCTCTCTCAGTGTTTTATCACACTGTCCCTTTCTATCACTAAGTGTATCGTATTTGTTCTGCCTCACGGCGGGTGTTTTGTTCCGCGGCAGGAGTGGGGGTGTGTGTACGCAGGAGTTTCCTGTTTTGGGGTTGAGTTTGGTCCCGTGACCAGGAAGTTAGAATTTGACAGCCTTTCGGCCACGAGGCTGGCGTCAGCCATTACACAGAGTTCAAAATGGTGGCACGGATCGGGTCCCAGTGGAGGCAGCTGTAACTGTGCATTGTGGGACTTTGGGAAGCATTGTCTGAGTTCGTTTGTGTTCTTGTGGTACTGGGAGTGCTGTTGTGGTGTTAGAATGACCATTGTGGTGTTGTGGATGCCTTTATAATGCTGTTGATTTGTTATGATAGAGACGAGGCCTAGTTGGCAACGAGGCCTGCGGCTTGCCTTGTTGTGAATGTTACTTGTGATTGAGTGAGTCGAGTCAGACTTGTACCCAGATGGCTATGTTGCGATCTTGAGAGCAAGGATGACGCGGTGTCTCATCCACAGTTCAGTGTTATGTGTGGTGCTGTGCATTTGGGGTGCAGTGTGGTGGTTGCGCGATGTGCCCTTGTTTGGCACAGTGGCTTATTCCCTTGTGTAGCTGTTAAGTACTGGTGTGGGTGCCTGGTCCATCCAGGATCTATTGTTGAGTTCATGTTGTCTAGGACGATGTTGTGATGCTGTGGTGTTCATTTATCGTATTGATGTTGCTGAGTGTTGACATGTGCTGTGTTTGTGCTGTGTTTTTCCATCGGTTTTGCCTCGTTCAATTCATTAGCTACGTTTGGAGTCGGATGTTCACCCTGGCTCTGAAGGTTTATTGGATGCGAGGTTATCTATTCGGATAGCGGTGCAACGCAGCACACAGCGAGGCGGAGACAGTATTGCTGTACATACGCTCTGCACTTCCTATGATTCTTTCATTTCATCGAATATCTACCCTAACACTGCCCATAATTAAACGAATGGAACATACACTGTATCCAATTGTTTATGAATACCATGAAACATTTTAATATTAATTGTTAACAGAAAGCAGTCACTTCAGAATATTCTTACCGTGCATTAGGCTAGGCCTAGATTTTTCCGATTGCTGTTAGCTGAGACCATAAGCAATAGAATTATAATTGTGTTAAATAACGTACATACAATAAATAAGTCATGAAATAAATTACAAATGAAGGAAACTAGCCATATAAACATGGGGGAAAAAATATTGTTCTAAGCATAGAAAACAATTACGTGATACCGCGGAGCGAAGACTTATGCTTCACTTGGAGGCGAAAGGCCCGCTTTACACCTCGCTCCGTGGTATTCAGCCGCAATCTCACCACACTGCATTACTTGTGCTTACATAACCAACGCAAAACATTTTGCATAATTAATTTTTGTTAAATATAATTAATGGGAGCATTTCTGTAACGTCGTATTTCGGTAAATTTGGTCTTCCGCAACCCGGGTATTTTTTGTATATGCAGCAATCTCATCTGACACCCACCCTATTATGTGCTGTGATAACAAAAAAATTATTACTTACCCTGTTTTGCATACATATGTAATTGTTTTACCAAATGTGACCTCGTCACCAACCAATTTTGCATTATCTACCACTTCAGGAGGTTCACATGTTATTGCTGTGAATGAAACACAAATAAAGCCTCCAATTACAATTATCATCTGTAAGGGAAAGTGGTATAAAGCACATGTTAAGCACACGAGGTGTGGTGTGGGCAAAATCCCACCCTGATGTCTTAATACCCCCTAAAGTTGTTTATACATCGTGTTAAGTGCTCATTTAACCCCTGAGGGGACCTTGGAGGGGCTTGAGAACTGTTTGGATGTCACTGCAACCGATGCATGGCAGGAACAGCAATCAAACTCAGGTGGTTTGAATGCAGTAGTTAAGAATGCGCTAACCACTGCACGTCACTCACCACAGATTGGACGTGACTTAATGGCCACATAGCACATTGTTAGTAATAAGGTCAGCCATAAACAAGCAGCACATAGTAGGAGTAGGGGAGAATGGGGGATTCCATTCTCCGTCAGACTGGGGGTTGAAGAGCAGAGTTTCGCTCTCCACAAGAAATGCATCTGAACAACAAGAGGGTTAATGGAGATAAGGATGAGGGCAGAAGAACCGTAGAATTAAGGAACACTTATTTAGTGACATAAATGGGGTCACTACGGCGCATGGCGCCAGTAGCAGTTCCAAGGAAAAACAGGGTGTAAATGGCCCTCTGTCAGCGGCGTGTGCTGGAGCACCAAGGATAGTCCATGAGGGACATGGCTCTGGTGAATGCAGAGATGGGGCATGGGAGGACGTAATAGTCTGGGTGAACCTCAGAGGGCACGTGACCAGACAGAAGAGGTAATGGGACACGTGGTGTAGGGTCCTCGTTTTTCTGGGAAGATCCAGAAGGAGGCGTGGCCGAGGGCGGAGCCAGGCCACGCTGAGGAGCAAAAGAGGCGAGTCTGGAGAACGATCTGGACTGCTGTCTTCTGGGAATCAACTCGTCGTCTACGTTTCTTCGGTCTCCAGGCTTCGGGGCTTGTTAGTGATGGATCAAGCAGTATGCTAACGGACCTGGTCCGGCAATATAGTTACCCCGTGGTGGTTACCGCTATGTAGTGTCCCGTTGTATGGTTAGGTAGTAGACCAGAGTACAGAGTTAACTGTGTTGTATATTATGGAGTGATCCTGTTGGGGTCTAGTTAGCTACGTTGTACGTCTTCTTAACACGATGTATAAACAACCCCCTAAACGTACGTTGTACGTTTAGGGGGTTACACTGTTGGGGTTGTTAAATAAAGGTGTTTCCTCCAAGAACCAGTGTGTGTATCAGTGAAACCACTACCCTTACACAAAGTGTGTACTGATAAAATAACATGTAAAGTACAGTACTGTACTTCTATACTTGCATGTCTATGCTCCAAGCCTTCGTCAAACTCAAACTTAGCGATGGAAAATAGGGGGATAGTATGCTGTCGTAGGCAGATACAATAAAAAAGCACTTGAGCTAGTATTTGAACAGGGAAATAGTTATCTGGTATTTGTGTTGAGTTCCCAAATGCAAGGGCAGCAGAACAGAAGGAGCAACCTGTAATTTAATAGCTGTCAACTGGGGGGTTTGAAAAGATACCTTAATTGCTAGGAAAGATTTGAGTAGAGTGTGATGAATGGGGAGAGGTACAGTATATGGGAGTAATTCATGGAGCATCTTGAAAATGGTGATGAACGCAAATAGGCATCTCAGCATAAAACCATACCGTACTTACGTGTGCAATTTATAGTGGGCTCAGTCCATTTGAAATGGCCTTCCGGACTCTTCTGGCAGTTGATTGTATTCAGTGGTCCCTCATTGGCCGAACTAAAGCCACGTTTGCATTTATATTCCACTGTTACACCAGCCTTAAAGTCTCTATTGTGGATAATCGGTTCCGCGTTCTCTACTGATGAGGGGTTGTCACACGTATCTGCCACTGTTTATAAACACATGCATAATTTATGAGTTAGCAGCTGTCCCACACTGTTATGCAAAAGCAATCCTTTAATTCATGACATTCATCATTGTAAATAATGGAAGAGTTAATTATCAATAGAGCAGTGGGCTAATGATGACACAATTCCAAGTTTAAATGTCTGTCAGCATTGACTTGGCCAAGCATCTGCCAGGATCATAAAAAATGGTACTGACTGGCGAGTAGAACTTTGTCGTGAATAAATATTTATTTGGGAGAACATTAGCCTGCATATTTCGATAATGATTTTCATGATTTTTAAAAAAAAACTAACAGAGCTGTAAAGGAAACTCTTAGAAGAAAAGTGTGGGAGGGTCTAGAATGCATGAACATGGTTACTTAAATACGTACTTTTGCAGTAGGGTTTTTCGCTACTCAATTTGCCTGTACGTAAGCATTCTATCGTTTGGTTTCCCACCAATACATAATTTTCATTGCAACTATATCTGATAAAAGTGTTGAATTGAACTGGCAGAGAAACGTCAAAACTTCCATTTTGAATATCAAGTTGGTCGCACGTCACCGCTGTTAAGAGAAAAACATAACACAACATCGACAATAGAAATTATCACAGAGGTCAGAGGAACCACACATCCTCTTATTATCTGAAGAGAGGATTTGTAAATAATTTGCGTTATGGGTATAATATTTTTCTTGACTAAAGTATAACTTCTCCGGCAAACTTTTTACCCTAAAATATGGCATCGCGGGTTTATTTGAGTCACGTCAAATGCATGATGCACATATCATGATGCAAAAAAATCTCTGAAAAAATATTGAAATGAATAGAGTGCATCACCAGAACTCTGCCGAGCTTGCGTGTACACTTGGGCCTACTTACCCTGTTAACCCCACTTATCTCCATGGGAAAGAAAAGATAAACATTACAATTACAATGTAATTAATCCAGAGAAACCTCATGCTCATGGACATCTTGGTCAACCATGTGCTATGTTAGTGTACTGATATTTACACATTGTTACACACTTAGTTGACAAATAAATAATGTAAGTCCACCATACAATATTTACAATTTTCCACCTCAGCTACAGTTCAGCTTTCAATATCTGCTTCATGTTTATGGTGACTCAGATGAAACTGTACTGTAGAGGTTTTGATGCATAATTACAGTATATTGTAAACATAGTTATTAAATTAGGTGTCAATTCTATGCTCTTAAATTAACTTGAGTAATATGTATTTATAATTAGCAGTGTGCACAAATGGTGCATAAAAGATTTGGCGGCCTGCGAGTGCAGCCACGAATCCCAAAGCATTGACCACTCTGCTTCTGAACAGACAATTGAGTGGCTAACAAATCTAAAATTACATATTTAATCTGCTATTAATCCATACGAAAGAAGAAGATTCCATCCGTAATGGAAAATCTCTCCCCCAAAAAGAGCCTGGCTCAGAGAGGTTTAACTATTTAACACTTTTTAATACTTACGTTTACAGATGGGTGCTTTTTCAATGGACCATTCTAGCGTCGGCAAGCACTCAGCTTCATTACTGCCAATTAAGGTATATCTGAAAAACATATACATAAAACAGATACAAATCAGTTAGTGAAGTTCCCTTTCATAACACATTGGCACAGAATGAAAGAGATGCAAAAAAGAAGCGGAAAGCAGCTTGGAGTGCTTTCACAAAGCTGACTTTGGTCATAAACAGCAGCATATCAATGTCTAAAAAAAACTCTTTTTAATCAGTGTTTACCTTCTATAACATATACTTCAGAAACATTGTCAATGGAAATGTTGTTTTTTTCAAAAGTCAAAATTGCGCAAAGAAGCATGGAGAGTGTTGACATCCCCAGCGTTTAACAGTACTCTCCTTTTTTGTATTTGGATTGTCAATCAACACTGGGTAAACAACATGTGCATAGTCGTTCTCTTCTAGCATGTGCACCTGTTGTTCTCTTTTAGCATGTGCACCTGTTGTTCTCGTTTAGCCCCGCCCCCCCAATACGTTCCATTCATTGGCTACCACATTCAGATAAGCCCCTCCCCCCTCCTAACTTGTATTTAAGAACTTGTATCTTGGAATTTTTGTCTCACTTGATGCAGTAAATCTTACTGTGACGTCCCACCTGATGACGGAGACTTGTGTTGCCTCCGAAACGTCGTGATTTATTATTTTATTTCTATCATTACTTTTATTAATTTTTATTTTTTACCTACGTAACTTGACAGAAAAAACGAGTATATACACATCAAACAGAGTATATACACATATACACATCAAACACCATGCTGATACAAATTAGGGTTTGAATATAAAACGGCACTGAAAATGAGCATTGCTTTGTAAGTCTAAATTAAAACAAACGAATGCCTTTTGACAATGGATGTAACAGTCATATAATCTTACCCTTCATCACAATAAAAATTGACTTGACTGCCAACGTTAACGTTGGTATCGTCAATTTTCAAATTTTCTGAAAGTGTTATCTTTTTGCACTTTTTTTCTGAAAAATACACAGACAGACACATACCACAGTTATGTTTAACATGTCAGCTAAAACAGTGATATATGTGCTGGGCATAATTAAGGTTAATGTGAAAATAGGATTTCTGCATCGCTGGATCAGTGATCAGGCAACAGTATTAATTATCCTTGATCCGTACCCAGTGTGTGTGTGTGTTCATATTGGACACCTTGTGTAATCACATGTAATTATTTGGTTCTTTCGGTTAAGTCACGTCTAAAGATAAAATAACAAATTAAATTAAATAATAGCATACGACGTTTCGATTGCAACACAAGCAATCATCATCAGGTATAATTCCTGCAGTCACGAAAGTTCTAAAATTAAGATTTAATCACATGTAACTTGGGTGGTTAGAACCTTGTTCTTCCACCTTAGAATTATTTCCCGGCTGAGTTGATTCCCGTCACCAAATGATTTAGAGACTGTTCCATGCTTTTGTGTTCTCCCCACTTGATTACTGCAACACGTTACTGTTCTGGATTCTGGATAAGGTACTGGGTAGACTCCAGCTCCTTCAGAATGCAGCTGCAATAGTCTTTAGACACACATGGTTTCACGAGCACATCACACACCTGCTCTCTTGTCTTTGCACTGGCTAGCAGTCAAGTATCGAGTGGATTACAAGACCCGCTGCTGACCTACAAGGCTCTCACAATGGGTTTGCAGAAACTGAGCCGGGTTTACAATCCAATGAGGTCCCTGAGATCATCCGATCACCTTCTAAGTACTCCGAGGTTAAGTCTCATTTCCTGGGGCGATTGGGCTTTTGCCAGTACAGCTCCAAATCTATGGAACTGTAACACGGGTCCTCAGATACGGTCGACCTTTATAACATACTAGCGGGAAGTACCCGGCATTGCCTGGGGGAAAAATATATTTCAAAACTTCTCTCAAACGATAACATATACGTACACAAATACTAAGCTATTGTGAAAGCCCGGCGTGCGGTTTGTCTGTCCATTTGTCCATCAACAAAATTATAAGAGGCTTGCAGAAGTCCAAAAAGTTATAGAAAGTGGGGCTGGGCTGCTATACCCCCCGCCACCGCCCGCTCTACAGTAGCAGTAACTACAAACTTTACAGTAGTATCTACCTACTCTACAGTAGTATCTACCCACTCTATCGTCGTATATACCGACTCTTTTATAGTATGTATCGACTCTATAATAGTACTAACTTCACAGAGTGTAGTGGTGAGGACTAGTCCCGTGCAGAGCCCCCGGCCTCGCCTAGATTGCCCAGCTGGCCGAGGTGGCACGTTTGCAGGCTGGGGCTGGGCTGTTACCCCACCCACCATCCCCCCGCCCACTCTACAGTAATAGTATCTAAGGGCTATAGTAATAGTATCTACCGACCCTATAGTAGTAAGTCCACACATTGGGGTAGTGGAGGGGAGGACATCACACTTTTAATAATTTACCTCAGCGTTGTGTATTTTTTTGCATTTCTAACGCGAATGATAATTCCCCCCTCCCCCCACCGATCGCGTGTGTGCGTTGCAAGGGGTAACCACGGGTCGGCGTTTCGCGCATGCGCAGATGCGTGCTCTGGCGCCACCCTGTGCTTATGAAAGGAAAAAATTGTTGATGTAACTACTTTAAAGATGACAGATGTAAAATACGAATAGCACTGGCTCACCACCGGGCTTATCGCGTGATATCTCTGTACATTTAAAAATATATAAACTCCACAGTTTTTGAGTTAAATCCGTTGCAATTCGCGTCCACACACAGACACACAGAAGACAGAGAGACAGACAAAAATGACTTATAGAGGTAAGAAGAATATGAATATGGACATGACAATAAGCATGAGTAAATGAATATGAGCATGAAAATGGGAATAAGCCAATCGAATCGGAGCCGGTGAATTCTATCCAATCAAAAGGAGGGAGAGGGTATTTATGCATTGGGATCTCCAGGTTAATTTTGGCTTACAAACGTAAATTAGTATTACTTTTAATCTTGCACTCAACTCACTAACTATGGAGAGCAGCGTTGTACTGGCTAGTTCACTGGGAGAACCAAGTATAATACCTGTCCATATACAGTAGGAATTATACGAACCCGGTCAACTCAGCCTTAATTTTAAACGACTGTACTTCGGTGTGGTTGACACGTACTCTAGAGAGTCAAAGGTGGTTATGCATAATTCGGCCAACAACACTCACCCCCTTGGGTGCAGAGTCCACATTAGGTCAAATAAAAGTGTCTTCTCAAGCGGTCAATGGGGCACTCATCTCTGAGCTAGTCGGGGCTTGCAAAACAAACTACACTCTATCTATGAGTAAATAGGTAATATTTTTCACGTGAATAAAATGACTTAACACAAAGGCTTTTATAGGCCATTACCTGGAGCTCAATATATTCTGACAACATCGATTAGTGATATATGAACCAGTCCTGAAAACCATCTTCAGCAACCCTCAATGACCAGTGTGATGAAGTATGGTCAAACAAATCTTCGATGGGAGGAGGCCTTCATCCAGAACTGGATTAACAAATGGTTGTACATTAATGTTACTAAGAAGATGCCGAAAATGGTCTGGCTGGTTTAGTGATGTGCGCGATTCACATTGCAGTGATTTAGACCAGGTGCTATCACATTTGAAGATTGTATTGCAAAAGGGATAACACGTGTAACATATCAATAGTGCTAATGGCAGAAACCAACAATGTGCATCACTTACGTATACATTTTGGAGCGGGATGAGACCACTGCTTATTGGCTTGACAGACAGCACTCGCAAATCCCTCCAACTCGTAACTTTAACAAGAAGAATTCTGTTTAAGCATTGCTCATCTCATGAGGGGTAATTAGAATACAAAATCATTTAAGTGAAAAACTTAATACAGCACTGCAAGACATCTACATTATCAGGTGTTGGTACTTTCCCAGATGGTGTCAAAACATGCCTTCAATTTATTTTCTACACGTAAAATACACAATTTATTCATATCAATTTGTTAATTTAATGCTCACCCACTCCTGCAGGTAAAGGTGATAGTTTCTCCAAATATGTTCGACGGAGCCTTATATATTAGATTGCTAATTTCATTTGGGTAGTTGCATGTCACCACTGAAAAAACAATTAAGAGAACATGAGCCTATGGTGGTCAACGTCACATTATTTGTAGCATCAGCATTGTTATTTTATATCAAGCACTGGATCCCTGTAATTGCTTGATAAGACGAAACTTAAACTACCTTTTAAATGCCAAATGTTGGATTTATAACATGAACTTGTTATATATGTAAATGCAAAAGGAAACTGAACACAAATATACTTCACTTTTTCCAAAGTCTTCCTGAATAATACACTCCAAGAACATGTTGTCATAAAAAATACCCTCCTTAATTCTGATACAATGAAAATCGTGAAAATACCCATCCATAGGCAGTAGACAGATCTAATGTGGATTCAGAATCGATCAATTTTATTAACTTTTCTAGGATTGGAGAAAAGTCAAGACCATAGAAGCAATCTCTACCAAGGCGGACTGTTTCCCACCTAATGATTTGTTTTGAATATAGAGATACCAACGAATATATACTCTGGCGTATCTCAGAGCACTTTACATTATATCTCATCTCAACTCATTTAAAAGGGCACCGCCAATGGTAGGTGTCCCTGTGGGCACTATATGACTCAGCACATGGCCTGCAAACGGGCATTAGGCTACCAGTTGGAGGCAATTATTGTTTTTGTTCAGTTGTTCTTTCTTAAAAAGTATGTTATTAACAAAAAAAATCAGGTACATGCAGAGGCTATGAAAGAGGGTTGACACCAGCACAAACAAATTACGGAGTACAGTACAATGGAAACCTGTATAAACCATATGTTTCAATAAACTCTACAACCCTGGTGTCTCCCTAAGCTCAGATACCCCTGTAGGAATAGAATAAAAGGGGGGGGGGAAGGGGGGAGTGCCTAAATGCTCTAATGAATGCCCTTTAAGCATCAATGTCCACTGGAGGAGAGGTAGTGAAGGGGTTCCATATTTGGTGGGAAGCTCCTCCCTGACCTGTTAGTTTTGCAATTAGATGCTCTAGAGCGGCAATTTTTGACAATGTATCGACCCATTCCTGCAGTGTTGGGGGAGCATGGTCTTTTCAGTTTGCTATAATGGTGCGTTTTGCCATAACATTGAAAATTTTGAATAATGTATTTGGCTCCCTGGAAAGGCATTGATGTTTCAACCTCAACAGGGACATTTCTGGTGAGGGTGAGATGCTTGTTTTGTGAATGTAATTAAAGTAGCAAGTGATCATTTGAAAAAAAGTGTTAATGTCTGGATATTCCCAAAAGGAATGTTATAGTTTGAGGAGTGTCCAGGGCATCGTGGGCAGTTGGGGGAGGGTGTTCTGTCGAATTTGGGTCGTTATATGGTTAGTTAATAGCTATGGAGAAATTTTAATTGGGTTTTTCTGAGGGGGGGGGGGAGAGAAGATTTTGTAGCATACGAGCCCAGATTGTCTCCTTTGGCACGTCCTACTGGGTGGGGTACCATTAAAAAAAGACCAGATTTAGTCGGTTTTCGTTTTTTTGTTTAGTTTTAACGTGTAATCCTAATCGAGTAGTTTGCGGATGTTTTTATTTGGCAACATTTGGACCATGACACCGGCACACAATGGCCAACTCTTGCGAATCATGTCACGAGATCTGTAGCATCCACTTTAAAGCGGGTATTTTACAAGTAATACACCCACAGTATTAATCAGTGCGGTCACTGGATATGAACCATCACCCTCTGCATCAAGCGCGAAATGAGCTATAACTAGGCCTTCCTGAAATTTGTTTAGACTCAGTGAGGCTATTCTGGATAAATAACTGATGAAATTAACGGAAGTAGGAGATTTTTCCCAATGCCTAGACTTGTGCAAACACTGGCAAGCTCCCCTTCCTCTCGCGGTTTTGCTGTCCCCCCTTCCCAGAAACCCCCAACACGTTGTACCGGACTTGTGTGCGTACCTCAATAAAACATTGTAAAAAAAAATGGAGGTCGGGAGAATTTTTGGTGGATCGGAATTTGATGTGCTCTGTGAGAATGGCTGAGATTTCCTCATGACTCGATGTTCTTCATTCTCAGCTGGTCTCTGGAATTCACAAACCCCCCCTTGTTTGCATCTCTTCCTTTGGTTTTGTTATTTGTTGAAGTCACCCTTGTAAGAGATATCTGCTGTCTCAGTGTTCTCACCTGGTAAATTTTCAGGTGCATGAATACTTGCCAGTGACATTTCCTAATCGAGATTTGGGCTCGGACTGAAGCTTCGTGGTTTATATTTGCCAATTATTTTAGTGTCCAACAAGTCTATTTCACAGAAAATGCTAAACTTGATTAAGTCCCAACAAACACAACTGGGCAGCTGTTGGAAATTCACCATCACCTCTATACAAACTCAGTCTGAGGCGATTACGCGACTTCATTCTACATAGCTGCAACTATTTACCTTCGCAATGTAAATAAGTCCAACGTCCGTCGTCTTGGCAACGAATAGCATTATTGGAGGTCGTTAATTCATACCTTTGTAAGAAAAAAAGTCAGAAAAACAATGTAATAACTTACATATAGTGTATAATTTCACAGCATTAACAAAAGGAAAGTTAAAACATTGTTAAAACAAGATTTGTTGAAATATTTAAACACAGAGCTGGATCCTGAATGGGGAATTATGTATTAGGGACTGGCAGTGATATAATCTTGTGAGGACAGTCACATAATGGGGCCCAAGCAGGAATCTCGGGTTAAGATAGATAAGCTACAGAAACACATATTTGAGGTTGGAAGATGGGGTTGGTTGATGGAACCAGCAGATAACCTATAGCTGAAGAGGGCTATATTTTATAATGAAAAAGCAAAATACCAATTGGTCTAAATTAGCTTTCTATCAGTGAATATTATCTGTCACGACATATGAATTAGAAACATGGACTTTGACCAAGTAGTTTAATAAAAGCCGAAAAGTGCAAAAATATGAATAGAGAGATCTATGCCTGGAATTACACTGAAATATAGAAAAAGGAACAAGGATTAGAGAATGCATGCAAGTCGGAGACATCATATGTAAAAAAAAGGTGTCAGTTTTGTTGCCAGATAGAAGGGTAAACAACCAATTATCATATTTTTACTGGCAAATGAGGTTCCCATAGTGTGATCATATTGACTGTTAATAAAAGTGGACGTGGGCTATAAGGGATGATGGTAACACGTTAGTGGCAGCCCATGGAGGGAACACATGAGAGGATGACCACTTTGGAGATGAAGCAATGAAATCAGTTTTCAGTTTTTCTAGTTGCATCACAGGGAAGGGAGATATGGCTTCGGATTGCGGATGACAATTCACAGAATACACACGCATGGGCAGTGCTTTTAGACTGGACATAAGCATAATCACAATAAAACGGTTGCGAGTTCAAATCTTACTTTGAGGGTTAACCTGGCACAATTTTCTTTTGGGGTCGATTAATTGAATACCACTTCACGGAAAGACTTAAACTAAACTATTTTTTCCTTTTTTTCAAAAGCCACCTGGCGACAAATGAACTCAACGAAGTGGCGTATTATGTGGAAATTTATAGCAGCCAAATAATTTAAACACATGTTTCTAAATGTGAAGGGAAAAGCTGGACAACCAAGAGAAAAATCCACACCATTATGGGGAGAAAATGCAAAGTCCAAATATATAGGCATCAGGTTCCAGATCAAACCCACGACCTCGTGCATACCTGGCGAGAAAGATAACATCTCACCACCGTGACACCCTTAAGAAGAGGCAGTCCTCCAATATGAGATTTACGAACATATACCATCACTGAAACCGCGCCAATCCATTGCATGTTGATGCAGACAGCAGGGAAAGACTTTAACTTGATGTGCAGCTTCAATTTGTGTGCTTATTGCCATTCTGCTCACCAGCCTCACAGAATGATAATTATTAATCTTGAAATATCAATGGATTAACTCCGCAGGTCTCATAACCACGTTGCAATAAAAGTTTAAATCCACAAGATGGTCTAGATGGATGGCATGAAGGCGTATGTAAAGTAAGTATTTTTCCACCATCTGAGCTTCATGGACATTCATTGCAGTGAATGTTATAATAAGAAAACAACTCACCCAGTATTGCATTGGCATGAGACGCTTTTATCATGAGCAAAATGAGAAGGGTGTTGACCACTGCATATACCATTGGTAATTTCTGGCCGTCCACAATTGACCTCTGTAAATAAAGCAGAAAGATTATGGCTTTCAACAGTTTGTAAACTTTGTCTACACCGTCATAAAATTGATGGCATTTAATGCCTGTATAGTAACATCTCATCCTGTGTTCTTTGGAACCTACATGACCGCACAATAGAATTTAAAAAAAATTATCCGTGCTTTTGTCTACGTGTCTCTTTTATATGGCCATTCCTTGAGTGTTCTTCCTCTATTTGACTATCTCTTCATGTCTCATATGCCTCTATCCGTGATCGCTATGAAGCGAGTCAGTCCGGTTACCAAACTGGCAAACTGGAATTAACCTGGATTCCCACAGCAGCCTCACCAAGCCAATCCAGTTCCGAAGGGGACATGTCGCCCCTTGGCAATGTTCAGGAACTAAATGCCAAATTAGTATTGGTTTCTGGCCCTTAAAAGGGCATTTTTCTTGCCGTTTAGCTTTAACTGGTCATATTAACGATGTCCATTTTGCCTAGATGGCGATAATAGTTGTGTTAAAGGTAACACGAAAACATGTAACGGGTAGAAGTGTGAAAAGGCGATTGTTTCCCATCCAAGCGGTCTCTTTAAATTGGGCCTTTTGAGTCACTTTCCTGAGGTAAAAGGTAGTGGTGCAGCCCTGCATTTGCAATAGATTTCATTGTGGCATAGTATGAGCTTACCCAAGCATACCTTAAACTAATAAAAGGGAACCTACAGCCCAGAGACCAGATGTGGCTCATTACTGTACTTTATTGCATACGGCAAGTGGCCAAATCAGACTTACCAGTTTTAAACGTCCCACAAAAATGATGCATCACTGCGAGCATTTTATCCATGCTAATCAGGAACTGGAGGAGAATTTTTTCTACTTGACAACACTTTCATTTTTTTTTCTTTTTTTATATTTCAGTAAGGGTCTGGTACAGAGCACAAACCACGACGTGAGGAAAGTTTAGAGGAGGGGGGAGATTTGGCTCGCTGACCCACCGAGTGGAGACCACGAGCAGGGTATGTGTACTTTTATGTGGGACGGAGGAAGGTGAGGGAAGAATATGTTAACCCTTTCCCGTTTCGAGACATCTGCTAGTTGCAGGGTGGGTCCCGTTCACCGCTGAATCCCGGAATGCGCAAGCGGTTATCGTAAACTTCAGTTAGAGGTGTAGAACCGCTGTTTTTAAAGAAATTGTACTCACCGCAGACCACTGTAGTGACACGTCCGCATTCTACAATAGCTGGTGCCAAACTGTGCCACACCCCCTCCCGCATGACCTTTTACTTCCGATTCCATTTCGATGACGTTCACGATGATGTATAGGTACATCATTGGAATGGGAAAGGGTTCAGTAGGGAGTAGAGGGAGCAGGAGAAGAGTTGGGGGGAGGGGAGGGGGGAAAAAGGGTGGGGGGTTCTAACTTTACCGCTCATTCACTTCTGTCACCTGTTTTGAATGATCACGTAGCCGGGATCATATAAAATAATCCAATTTTGAGCAAATCCTATCCGATCCAGGATTTAAAAAGATGTAATTGACCATCGGATTATGCAACATTGGACTGAGCACGAGAGGATACATTGTAGTACTTGTGGTCTACACAAATGATGACTAAATGAAGGATTAAGGCGAATGTAAAGAAGACAAGTATTTAAGCAGAGCAAATGCGACGATATATTTTTGACAAAAAGTATTGATTTCTGATTTTTTTTCTGATCCATAATTCTGGCAAAGAACTTAAGAGCAACGGGCAGTCATCCATACTTGTATAATGCGAGCAAGGATTGAGGGGGGGCGGAGTCTGGGTCACGTGGGGAGTGGGTAGAGTTAGGGTCACGTGGGGGAGAGGATTTAGGGAGAGAACCGGAAGGGGAAGGGGGAGTTGAGACGGAGTGAAACACGAGGCCACGCTGGGCAAGACGGAGAGAGTGGCCCGGTCGCCACGCGGTGGGAGACGTCGACACCGACAGCCATCGGTGTCAGACGAAGAGAGCTAATGGGGCAGTGAGAGGCTAGCTGTGTAAGGGGCAGCAGTGATGCTAGATAGTGGGGCAGCGGTGTGGCTGCAAGGATTGCCTGATGGAGCAGCAGGGAGACTGCATATTGAAGCAGCAGGGAGACTGCATAACGGAGCAGCCGAGGGCTGTGGAGAGGTCGCCGAGCGGGACGCGGGCCTGAGCGAGACGCCGTGGTATCGAGATTCTACGAACCCAATAAAGGACAACGGAGATCGACATCTGAGAGAGAGTCTTTTATTACATTGGTGTCAGAAGTGAAACGGCATGTCAAAACAGCTCAGGAGGAAGACCGTCCCTGCACCATCTTCGGCAACATCTTCCGACGACGACCTCCCTCCAGCGGTGGCGCTACCCACGATGGAGGAAGAAAGCGGGGTGGGGACGAGCGGGGTTCCAGTCGTGCAGGACGTGGCCGCCTCGGTGGGCCCATCCGCGCGACTGGACGCTGACGACGGATGGCGACAGGTGGCGGCGCAACTGGAGGCGCTGAAGACGGTGTTGGTGAAATTGTGCGTCCTCGTGACGCCGGCGACGACTTCGGGGAGGCCCGGCGAGGAACAACGGGCCGGGGCCTTGCCGTCGCCATCAGCCCTCTCGACCACGCGGCACGAAGACGCCATCTTGGGCGTGGCCGAGGAAGAACGGCGGGAAGCCGCCATCTTGCGCCCTCCGCCGCGGGAAGCCGCCATCTTGCACACGTTGCGGAGCGACGCAATCTTGTCGCTGCCACGCGTGTCACCATCAGAGGAGGACGGAGGAGCAAGAACCCGCAGCCGTCATTTAACAACGGTCAAAGAATTCTCAATCGGCGGCGATTGGAGCGCATTCGCCTGCTGTTTTCAAGCGGCCGTACGCTCCACCAAATGGACAGACGCGGAGGCCCTGGAAGTCTTACCAACACTTCTCGACGACAAGTCCGTCCGGTTCTTCCGCTCCATCAAGGCCGACAAGAAGAAGATGCTGCAGGGTGTCTTCGAGGAGATGGCGGATGCGTACGAGCCTCCGGACGACGCCCATCGGAGATTTGTTCAGCGCCAACGGGCGCCTGATGAATCGCCGGTGGCCTTCAGAGGCGCAGTTTTGGAACTGGCGATGGCAGCATAACCCGAGACGGAGCCCGATTTGTTGGAGCCCCTCGTGTTGGGCAAAATGCTCGAATTATCTAGAGACCTGGGGATCCCCATGCCGGTGTGCAGCCATGATAAATTGACATCCCGTGCTGTGGCTAAGTGCTTGGACGCTCAATTTAATCTCCGACGCTGGAAGCAGGTGTCAGCTTGGACGGGGGGGCCCGTCGTTGAAGGCGGTGCTACGGGGTGGGATCCTACGAAGGCGATCTACGTTCCTGACGACAAGGGTCCGCAGGAGTTGACGGCCGCCTCCGCCCAGTGGCCTGCTCGGGGGGGGGGACGGGGCCGAGGTCCGGGCCGTCGGCGCGGGAGCGTCGGGACGGGGGGTGCCGCGCGTCGGAACGACGTGGAGTGTTTCCGCTGCGGCCGTAAGGGCCACTTCGCCAGGGACTGTTGGGCTCGCATCCCGGGGCCGCCCCAGCAGGAGGCCTCGACCACGGACGTCGCGCGAAAAGACCCACCAGGACAGGCAAGTCGGTGCGCACCAGACACCCAGCAAGGCCTGTCACCTCATGCATCACCATCGCCGCGCGGTCCGTGTGTCGTTAACAACAAGGTGCCTCCGGTTGACCCGTGTCGCTCGCTGACGCAATGGCGCCGATTGGCACGGAGGGTAGTTGCGGCCGCTACGGGGTCGTCCACGGTACCGGGTTCCATTCAGGGGGTCGAGGTGCGTATTTTGGTGGACTCCGGTGCGTCCGCGACCATTATTTCGGATGTCATTTTCCATCTTTTGGGCATTCCGCCAGGGAGAGTGCGAGCGGTTTATGATTCATGCATAGCGGCGAACGGGGGAAGTATGGGCATTGTGGGCCAGGTGGACGCCAACATATCCATTGGGGGGGGTGTCGGCTTCAGGGACCGTGTTGATCTCTAGGTCCCTCACGGTACCCTGTTTGTTGGGGACTGATTTCCTGGCAAAAATGCCCATTCAAATAAGGATTGATCAAAACTGCATTGAATTACCAGGGGGGCGCAAAATATCGATCCTACCGTCGCCATGGGGCCGGCCTGCCCCTGTTTGCCAGGTGCAGGCGCTGTCCGAGGTATCTGTTGTCATTCCACCTGGTTCGCAGATGCTTATCCCGTTGAGATATCGGAAGCCAGTACCTGGCGTTGAGGGAGCGGCGGGGGTTCTGTTATCGCTGTCCACGGCTATAACGGGCGGCTCGGCGCTGGTTGGGGCACAAACAATTGTCCGGCCGGGCCAGCCCCCGTTCTTACAGGTGCTAAATGGGAGTGCTGAGAATGTCAGTGTCCCGGCCGGAACGGTTGTGGCTCACGCCACGATCGCGTTCACGACCCATGACAACCGGGTCCGCCGGGACATGGTAGGGGGGGTTTCGGGGCCAACGGGGCAGGATGACCGTTGGGTTGCCGAGTTATGCGGGGAGAATTCATCCCTGACCAGAGAGCAACGGTCCGCGCTTTGCGCGCTGTTGCTAAATTATTCCGACGTGTTCAGCTCGGATGATTTTGACTTGGGACGCACCTCCCTGCTTTCCCACCACATTGATATGGGGGATGCCGCTCCGATTCGGTTGAACTCGCATCGGTTGAGCCCGACGGAGCGGGATCAGGTTCGCGGGGCAGTGGAGGACATGCTAGCCGCTGACATTATATCCCCGTCTAACAGTCTATGGGGCGCACCGGTAGTCCTTGTGAAGAAGAAGGATGGGAAACTGCAATTTTGCGTCGATTTTCGGAAATTGAATAAGGTGTCCGTCGCAGACGCGTACCCACTTCCGCGTATGGATGATTCCCTCGATGCCTTGTCTGGGGCGAAGTTTTTTTCAACATTGGATCTCTCTTCGGGATTCTGACAGCTTCCCCTTGACGAGTCCTCGAGGGAAAAGACGGCTTTTCGCACGCCGCAGGGACTGTTTCAGTTTAATTGCCTTCCGATGGGCTTGAATGCGGCTCCCGCCACTTTTAAGCAGTTGATGGAGCTGGTGTTAACGGGTCTGCAGTGGGAGACATGTTTGATTTATTTAGACGATGTCATCGTCTTTAGCCGCACATTTGATGAACATTTGCAGAGATTGGAGACGGTTTTTGCTAGGATGCGCTCCGCAAATTTAAAATTCAAACTGAAAAAGTGTCACCTACTGCAACGGTCCGTGCGTTATTTGGGACACATAGTCAGTGCGGACGGGGTGGCCACGGACCTGGAGAAGACGGCATGCGTCCGCAACTGGCCAACCCCGGCCTCGGTTGGGGACGTACGTCGCTTCTTGGGGTTCGTCTCATACTATCGCAGGTTCGTCCCGAACTTTGCTATGATCGCTAGGCCCTTGCACCTCCTTACGGGTAAGGGTCGGAGGTTTAGTTGGGGTCCGCCGGAGGAAGCGGCGTTTCAGGGCCTACGCGATCGGTTGGCGCCGGCGCCGACATTGGACTATCCGGATTTTGATCGACCTTTTATTCTGGATACGGACGCTAGTGACACTGGGATTGGGACCATTCTGTCACAGTCCAAGGGCGGCGTGGAGCGCGTGGTAGCCTACGGTAGCCGTGTACTGTCCCCGGCGGAAACCCGCTACTGCGTCACTCGCCGCGAATTATTGGCTATTGTCTATTTTCTCCGCCAATATCGGCCGTATCTTTACGGCCAGTCATTTATTGTGCGCACGGACCATGCGGCTCTGCAATATGCCCTGAGGGTTGACCAACCATCTGGCCAACTGGCACGATGGTTGGAGACCCTGTAGGAATTTTCCTTCGTCATACAATATCGGAAGGGGTCGCATCACGCGAATGCGGACGCACTCTCCAGATTACCACAGGGGTCCCCTTGCGCTTGCGCGTCGGGTACGAATAGGTGTACGCCGGTTCAGCTACCCCCTCGGCCTGTCGTGTCAGCTGTCGAGGTGCCTGGGGCTCCGGTGTACCCAGGACAGGCCGATGGGTTTCTGAACATGCCGCGCTCGGTACGGATTCGCGAAAAATTGCTTGACGACTCGTTGGGGGCTTTACGGAGTCGGGCTGCGAAGGGAGCGGGGAGATTGCTGTCCGGTGGGACGCCGGGGGCCGCTCTCTGGGATGGGTTGCTCATGTGGAGAGAGGGATTGCATGACCGCTGACGTCTGGTAGTACCGTCGTCGTTACGGTACGAATTGATTCGGACTCTGCACGGCGACACTTTATTACATCTCGGGGTGCAGAAGACTTTGTTAACATTACAGCGAGACTACTTCTGGCACGGCATGACGACAGATGTCGTCGGACACATTCGGGCATGTCCTGAGTGTGCCCGGCGGAAGCCGCCTAAAAACCCTTACGTGCCGCCGGTGCAGTCTATACAAGTGTTTCGTATCAACGAGTTGGTGGCGCTGGATATTTTGGGACCTTTCCCGCCATCCGCTAGGGGTAATAAATATTTGCTGGTCGGGGTGGAATATCTTTCCCGCTGGCTGATGGCTTGGCCCTTACCCGACCAGTCGGCGGCGTCTATCACGGACGCCTTCCTATTTGGATATGTGATGGACAAAGGTGCGCCGGAGAGGCTACTCACGGATCAGGGGCGAAATTTTTCTTCCAAATTGTTGGCGGAAGTGTGCGCTGCTCTGGGAACCAAGAAGGTTCGTACGTCTCCTTACCACCCGCAGACGGATGGCATGGTGGAACGCCTTAATCGGACGCTGTCGGCCATGCTATGTCACACGGTTGACGAGAAACAAGCTGATTGGGACTTGCATATACCTGGGGTACTCTCCGCGTATCGGATGATGCCTCATGCGTCCACTGGGTATTCTCCATTTTTTCTCATGTACGGCCGCGAGAATGTGCCGCCGGTGGAAGTACAGCTGAGTACGGGGGCGAAGGGTCCTGTTAAACCTCTCCCCGAATACATTCAGGACACGGTTTGACGAGTCGCCGAGGCACGGGAGGGGGCCCGGTTGGCTACTGCAAAGACTCAGGCGCGAAACGAGCGTTGCGCCTGGCGCTCGACCGGTACATGCCCCTGGCAAGTGTGGGACAGGGCATGGCTGCACTGCCCGCAGGTGCGGCCGGGGATCTCCCCTAAGCTTCACAAACCATGGCAGGGGCCGGTTAAGCTTATTGAAGTCCCTAACCCGCAATCCGCACGGGTTCGGTTCAGATCGCGGCGCTGGTACGTTCATACGTCTAGGCTGAAGCCCTACGTGGCCCCGCGGACGGATGCGTCATCCCCTGATGTTGCCTTGCCGGTGTCTGTTGCGCCCGACGCACCTCTGCCCTTGCCTGTTGACTCGGCAAGCGCGCCTGTCGTGCCTTCTACAGATGAACCAGCCGTGATGCAGGCGGATGTAGCGAATCCTGCTCTGGGTGGGCCTACCACGGCGACGGGGCCACTTGGCCCCGCTGCTATTCCAACCCCACCACAGACACGGTTGCCAGAGATTCCGGACTTGGGTCTCCCTGGGGAACGGGACCTTGGCGTTGACGGGCCTCCAACAGCGGCGGGCGGTTCTACTCCCGTCGATCTTAAGACCCCGTTGCGTTCTCGGTCCGTTGGGAGACCGCCACCCATTCGGGACGGGCCGGCGACCCGCACGCGTTCCAAATCCCTTTCCTTTCGTTGATTGTTATTGTTCTTGTTGTTCTTGTTGTTCTTGTTATTGTTCTTATATTCTCCGTTGTCCAGTGATGCCAGATGGTTCCAATATTGCTCGCATTATTTTCTTGTAATTATTGCAGCCGAGGACGGCTGGGTTTTCATTAGGGGGGGGGGGTCGTGTAATGCGAGCAAAGATTGAGGGGGGGCGGAGTTTGGGTCACGTGGGGAGTGGGTGGAGTTAGGGTCACGTGGGGGAGAGGATTTAGGGAGAGAACCGGAAGGGGAAGGGGGAGTTGAGACGGAGTGAAACACGAGGAGGCCACGCTGGGCAAGACGGAGAGAGTGGCGCGGTCGCCACGCGGTGGGAGACGTCGACACCGACAGCCATCGGTGTCAGACGAAGAGAGCTAACGGGGCAGTGAGAGGCTAGCTGTGTAAGGGGCAGCAGTGACGCTAGATAGCGGGGCAGCGGTGTGGCTGCAAGGATTGCCTGACGGAGCAGCAGGGAGACTGCATATTGGAGCAGCAGGGAGACTGCATAACGGAGCAGCCGAGGGCTGTGGAGAGGTCGTCGAGCGGGACGCGGGCCTGAGCGAGACGCCGTGGTATCGAGATTCTACGAACCCAATAAAGGACAACGGAGATTGACATCTGAGAGAGAGTCCTTTATTACACTTGTTTAAAGTATTTTTAAGTGTAACAGGATTGAGTTGGTGAGGAATCTCTATATACAGTTCGCTCTTCTATACTGCATAAAAATATGAACTTTCACCATTATTAAATGACAATGTCTTTTAAACGTTAACACTTACATATTTGTTTCAAACATTTGGTGTGATAAAATAATATTTCATATATAACTCAACAATTGCATGTATTTAACAGGGTTTTAATCCTTTGCGAGTGCATAAATCAATTAATATGGATGACATACCTTGATGCAGCAACATTGTTACAATCTGATTTTTTATTCCAATCAAATTTGATTGTTGACATCTTATGCTAAGTTCGCAATCATGCAGATTGTGTGGATTGCAGATCCATCAATTTACAATTATGACCCAATCCGATGGTAAACCCCGAACAAAAGAAACTGCTCCCACTTACAATTATTTTAATGTCAGTGATTACCTTGACAATCTACTTTTGGGACAGACCACATCCCATTGTTCCGGCATTGAGTATACACTTGTTGTTGTCCATTGATGCGAAACCTGTAATCATGAATGTAAAGAAATTAAATAATTTGAAAGCCACTAATGTATTGCATTATGAGGTGGCACTGTGATTGGAATGGACAAAATTGTAAGATTTTACATCATGGTCAATGACCCAATTATCCTCAACCCCTGTGGCCAGTAATGCACAGGAAGTCAACAGTGGGCATCCTATGAATAAACTTGTCTCCACCTTGGGAATGTGAAATTTCCACTGCTGGATTTGTTGTTAAACAGCGTTCGGATGAAAAGTGCGGAACAGCTTATGCGGTAATATAATTACTCCACCCATTTGTCAATTTATGAATGACTAGCTTTACTACCCGGCTTCGCCCGGGACTCTGATTCACCACGTCCGACCGCCTTTGTCTCCCCAGTGAGGCTGAGTCGACCTAGGGGAGGCCCAGGACTGGTTGAAATAATCGTCACCCGGTGGTGGCCGTGAGCGGGAATCGAACTCGAGTCGCCGGGTTCGTAGGGCAGCGCACTAAGCACTGCGCAAGCGCGGGTGACATGACAGATGTGACATTACAGCTCACTTGCCGTGCAAAATACAAAAGTCTATTCTTATAATTTTTGCATGGCGTACAGTCTGGAAAGTACCCACATGGAAAATTTTCAAGTTTGTTGCATGTCGGGAAGTACGCTAAACATTTTGAACAGACACACATAATCACAAATTTCCCTTTATATATGTAGAGATTAAAGATAAATTCAGAAAGCATATAATAATTCCAATGGAGAAGACACAACTACGTTTTAACATTTCTATTTAGTATTCTTGTATGTTATGAATATTGTCTCTGCTGTATTGTTTGAACCATTGTTCAGTATTTGGTTTGCAATTACTTCCTTGCTGAGTAATAATCTTAAATACCCATTTGCTCTGTTACCTCAACATGTACTGCATGGGGGATACAGTATAAAAAAATAATTATGGATGAGGGAAACCAATGAATATGCGCATCACTCGAAAGCTTGTAAGGGCAGTGAGATGTTGACTGACTTTCAACTGTGATGCACTGGGTTCAATGGTTGGAAGCTAACGGTCAATGCAACTCTATATAATTTGACTAGCGGCCTATAGAAACTACAATTTCTTTCTGGTTTCCACACACTGTAGCTGTGTGTGTACCAATTCCATGCTGACATTTTCCCATGCAGTATTTTCATAATCCTTTACTCTTCCTTTTGTCATCACTACAAGGATTGACCAAGTGTAGTAACCACAGATGCACCCACTGCTATGCAAGGGCTATGTTTGGGCAGAGCATTAATTGCCCACCCTTTTGAGGCCCGTATTCTAAGTCATGGCTCAGCTCTGGTTTATCCTTAAATACTTGGGCTCAATTCCGGCGTAGGGCGCTCTCTTTCTTTCAAAAACACATGAGTGGCTCAGCTATAGCTTGGCTCAGGCTGAGCACATTGAAATTCTGAGCATGGCGAAGTTGATGCTTAGGGCTGACTCAAGTTGGTGAGATGTTAACTACCTCACCTGGAATAAAGGAGGTCGTGGGTTCTATCCTGACGCCTGTATATTTGGAGTTTGCATGTTCTCCCCATGGTCATGAGGATTTTTTTCCAGGTCCTCCGGTTTTCCTCTCCACATTTAGAATCACATATTTAGAGTATTTGGCTGCTATCAATTTCCACATGAGTCACTTAATTGGGCTATCATTTGTGGCCAGGTTGCTTTAGAAAAATAGCGTCATAGCTCAGTGGGCCTTACCTGGTAATATGAAAAAAATAGTATATAGTTTTTTTAAATATTTGCTTTGTGATGGCCCACTTGAGCCACAGCCAAGATTGAGCTGGGGTGTGACTAAGAATACAGGCCTAAGTCTAAGCTGCAGACTGTTTCTTCCACATCACCAGAGATTATGGCAAACCCGCTGAATGAATGGCATGTTTAAGCATCAAATAAAAGTTTTGGTCAAGATATAGTGACGTAAATGGAGTCACTATGGCGTTTAGCGCCAGCTACTGTCAGAATAGTGGAACTGTGCATCTTGAGCCTTTCTCTGGCACCAGAGTAAGAATTGCATGGGAGCGGGCCCTAGGGGGCATAGTTCTGGTGACGGTCAGAGGGAGGGAAAGTGAGGACGTGACAGCCTGGGTGAACCCGAGAGGGCACGTGACCGGGACAGGGTAGCGAGGGGGCCCAGAGGGTGGCGTGAGAGACACGTGATGCTCGGTCGAGAACCTTCTGGTGGAATCCAGAAGGGGGCGTAGCCGAGGGCGGAGCAAGGCCACGCTCAGGAGCATAAAAGGGAAGTCCTGAGAGCAATCGCTATTGTCTGCTGGAATGGAACCCTCGGAGCAACGTCTCTTCGGTCTTCGGTCATTACGCTCGGCTTCGTGGGTCAGGCAGTGTGTTGCTGACCTGACACCTTTATGTAGTTACCCTGTTGGGGTCTCGTAACTGTGTACGTTTATGTAGAAACCCTGTTGGGGTGTTATAATAAATGTGTTGCCTCCAAAGTCAAGTGTGTGCCTCCGTAGAACCCACTACAAGGATATAAGGTTTCTAAGGCAAATACTACCTAGACGAGTGGAGAATTGCTTTTCAAAACGACCAACAGTTATTGCTTATGAAAATTAATGCAATGCAAAAATAAAAAAATCCATTTGTATAATATGTATATTCTTGTGTAAACTATTCCTTATCTCCACCGAAGGACCATAACCTTATCAAGGTGGTGGGATTTGTATGTTCCAATAACCCTCAGAGCTATGTCGCGTGGAGTCTTGTACTCCTCGTAGGGTCTCCCTTGGCGAACAGCTCTGGGGGAAGGTTCCAGACAAATACCAGTCCAATTCAAAAGCCCCTCATGAATGGTTCTGAAATATAAAAATCAGAGAACCTCGCTCATCAAGGTATACTGGGACACCCCTCTGGAGCCAGGCTCAGGGGTGGTGTTCACCGGCAAGCACCTTGTCTTGTGGCCGGGTGACCCACATAACCCAGCCAGGCCCAGCCCAAAATGGCTGTGGGGCCATCCTTTGGGCCCACCATCCGCAGGACAATGGGTGAGGGGCGGAAACGATGCCAGTATGGCAGGGAGAGGGATGGTCTCGGACAGACTGGACCTTGGCAATGGACACTACCTATTGAGACGTAGAATGTCACATCACTGGGGGGGAAGGAGCCGGAGCAGGTGGATGTGTAAAGGTATCAACTAGATATAGTCGATCTCACGTCCACACACAGCATTGGAACTGGAACCAAACTTATGAATCGGGGGTGGTCTCTATCCTATTCCAGAGTAACCCCTAGTGAGAAGCCCCAGGAGGGTGTGGGATACTTACAAGTGCCCGGCTGGGTGCTGTTCAGTTGGAGTTTGTCCCAGTGGATGAGAGGGTCGACTCAATGAGACTTCGTGTCTCAGAAAGGACAACTCTGACTGTTGTCTGTGCTTTTGCACCAAACAGCAGTTCAGAGTATTTGCCCTTCTTGGAGATGGTGGGTGCAGTGCTCGATAGAGTGCCGCCTACCAACTCCATAGACTTATTGGCTGACTTCTATGCTCACATGGGAAACAATGAAGACGCCTGGAGAGGCATGATTGGGAAGAATGCCCCCCCTGAATGGTGAGATGTTTTTAGAATTCTGTGCTAGTCATGGAATGGCAATAACAAACACCATGTTCAAACACAAGGATGATGATATGTTAACAAGGTACCAGAGCAACTTGGGCAAAAGATCAATGATTTACTTTATAGTTGTATCATAGGACCTAAGGCCGTATGTTCTGGACACTCAGGTGAAGAGAGGCACAAAGCTGTCAACTGATCACCATCTGGTGGTAACTTGGATCCGACGCTTGGGGTACGGACCAGAGAGACGTGGAAGGCCCAAACGAATAGTATGGGTTTTTTGGGAACGTTTGGCAGAAGACCCAGTGCAGAAAGATTTTAACTTCGACCTCAGGGAAAATGTATCCTACACTCCGGGAGAGGTCACGGGCATTGAGTCAGAATGGATGATGTTCAGGACCTCGATTGTTGATGCAGCTGCGAAAAGCTGTGGCCTAAAGGAAATTAGTGCCTGTCCTGCCGGCAACCCTAGGACCCACTGTGGTGAGGGAAGCTGTCAAGTTGAAGGAGGCTTTCCGAGTTATGCTCGGAAAAAGTCTCCCGACTCGATTGAGAGGTACCAGCTTGCCAAGAGGGCGGCAGCGGTAGCCATCACGAATCGAATGCCCTGGCATGGAAGGAGCTTGGAGAGGGACTACCGAGCAACCTCAAAGATGTTCTGGCAAACCATCGGATGCCTTAGGAGTGGTTGACAGGACGTGGCCAGGCTGTTCTCAGTAAGGGTGGCGTAACATTGAACTCAACTAAGCAGATAGTCGAGAGGTGGAAGGAACACTTTGAGGAGCTCCTCAACCCTGTGGACATGCACTTCTCTCAAGAGGCAGCCCTGGAAACAGCTGGGGGTTGGATCCATCAAGGCTGCGTAAGTCGCTGTGGCTGTCGAGGCCCTTTGTAGCGGCAAGCTGCTGGGGTGGAAGATATTCGCTCAGAGTTGTTGAAAGCGCTCGAGAGTGTAGGAGTGTCATGGTTAACGCGCTTTTTCAATGTTGCATGGAAGGCGGGTACAATAACTCTGGATTGGGAAACTGGTCCCCATTCTAAAAAAAAGGGACCAGAGGGTGTGCTCCAACTACATATCACACTCCTCAGAGTCCTAGGTAAAGCCTATGCCAGAGTGCTGGAGAGGCTGCGCCCGGTCGAGCCTCAGATTTAGGAGGAACAATGCGGATTCCTTCAGGGTGGTGGAACAATAAACCAGCTCTTTTCGCTCACACAGATTTTGAGGGGTCATAGGAGTATGCTTCTCCAGTCAACCTCTGCTTTGTATGCTTGGGGAAGGCATATGACCGTGTTCTCTGGAATGTCTTGTGGGAGGTGCTGCGGGAGTATGATGTACCGGTGCCGCTTTTGTGTGCAATTTGGTCCCTCTATTCCCTGAGTGAGAGCTGTGCCCGTATTCTTGGTGTTAAATCAAAGTCGTTCACTCTGGATGTTGGACTCCGCCAAGGGTGCGTCTTGTCCCCATGAATAGGATATCAAGGGACAGCCAAGGTATGGAGAGTATCCAGTATGGGGGCACGGAGGTGGCATTGCTGCTCTTTGCAGATGACATTGTCCTCTTTGCCTCGTCTGTCTGTGATGTCCAGCGTGCACTTGGACAGTTTGATGCCGAGTGTGAACCGGCTGGGATGAGGATCAGCACCTCCAAATTTGAGGTCATAGTTCACTCCCAGGAGATGGTTCACTCCCAGAGTATTCTCTCCAGTAAAGGGGGGAACAGCTGCCCTTAGTGGAGTAGCTAATTACCTCGGGGTCTCTTTCGAGAGTGATGGTAATTGGGAGTGGGAGATCGGTCTGCCGGTTGGTGCGGCATCTCCAATGAGGCAGCCGCTGTACTGTTCCGTGTTAGGGAAGAGGGAGCTGAGTTCTCGAACAAAGCTCTCAGTTTACAGGTTGATCTACATTTCCACCCTCACCTATGGTCATGAGCTTTGGGTAATGACTGAAATGATGAGATCTCGGGTACAAGGGGTCGAAATGAGGTTTCTCTGCAGGGTTGCCGGGCTCACTCTCCGTTATTGGGTGTGGAGCTCTGTAATCCGGGAGAGCCTCAGAGTTGAGCCGCTGCTCCTCCGGATCTAGAGGAGCCAGTTGAGGTGGTTCGGGCACCTTGTAAGGATGCCCCCCAATAGACTCCCCCTGAAACTCTACTGGGCACGTCCCACTCGGCGACGACCCCGGGCCAAGGCCCAGGACACGCTGGCGGGAATGTCGCTTGGCTGGACAGGAAACACCTGGGAATTCCACAGGAAAAGCTGGAGTCTGTTGCCAGGGTGAAGGGAGGTCTGCACCGCCCTACTCAACATGCTGCCGCCGCAACCCTCACCATGACAGGCGGATTGAGAAACGAACAAACAAACTATTCCTCATGTAAAACTTACCCAAGATCACATTTAAACCTCAAAGTTGCTCCCTCAATGTAACTACTTCCGATCGTCTGTCCATGGCCAGGCGTACCTGGGTGTCCACAGTATCCTGGCAGAAAACAAATAATAGTTAGTTTAACTATCGATATGGTTTGTACTGCATTGAATCACATTAAAAAACACACACGGGTCGTAAAAACTGGTTATTTACAGCTGTTGTGAGACTGTCTGGAGCGCTAGGGTAGACATTGCAGAATATATCCAAGTGCCTAATTAAATAAGTGTCTTCAAAAGGTATAGCAATTTTGTCAACCTACTGCTGGATGAGGGCCTTTTTATTGCCTGTAGAGGTCATGAGGGTTATTTTCCCATCCTTCACTGGTGTTTGTTGTCAGCCCAGGTATTGTACAATTGCAATTCATGTAAAATACTTTAACTGTTTAATGAGGGTAGGACATTTTGGATGGTTATATTGCAACGGTGCATATGATCACATTTGATTTTATTGTTGTACAGTATCAAACGTTCTCACAAAGACATTATAAACCATGATTTTGAATACATCAATCCAGGTCAAATGCATGTACTGTACTTACGTCGGCATGAAAATGTTTTTTGTTTCCATACTGGAGATGGATCCCAATTACTAGTTGGTAAACAATGCACTTTAAAGGCATCAGAGGATGTTTTTGAGATATCTCTATATCCCTCAGCGCATTTAAACTCCACGTAATCGTACAGGAAGAACCTTTTCCCAGTAGGAAATCCCAGCACATATTCGAGTCTTGTATCTTGATAATTGTTCGTAGGAAAAAGTGGACATAGCTCTGCCAACAAACACATTCATAAAACGAGTACAGAACCGTTTAGAAAACACCTCGTATTTGTCAGACAGCTCTGCCCTAGAATGAGGACCCAACCTGTAGAACAGAAATATTTTCAATAGAGTTGGTAATTTAGTTTTAATGTGTATTTTGGTGCATTCTTCAAGTAATATCGGTGTGGCTGTTCCAACAAGGGGTGTCCGCATACAAACAGGAAATAAAGTTGCGTGATTTAGTGATCCTTTGGTTGCGCAACCGATGGCTCACACGTGAATCCACAATCAGGAGCGTCCTAGAACAGCAATCAGCCAGTGGGTAATGACCAATTTATATGATTACTAATGTCCCGTATTTGACGTCCTTCACACACATATCTTACATACATAAGATATATACATACACATATCACTTGCATATATGCTCACACATAAACAATTTCGTTATTAACGCAAGACAAAAGTTACAATTTATAAATGAAAATGTAAAAAAATACTTACTCTCACACTTGAAGGTGTTCAACAACGGGAACCAGTCAGCTTTGTTTTCATATAGTGTGCATGTAGTGGATAACATATCTCGTCTTTTATCTGCAAAACCTGTTTTGCAAGTAAACTGCAACTGGTTACCCAGGACGAAGAATTCTCTTTCGTATCCCTCGTTAGAATTAGCATTTGGTATTGTTTTTTCTTTGCAAACAGCTGTTCGGCAAGAAAATAGCACAAGCAAACATAATTGTCAATATGTACAATTATGTGCGATTATGTGGGTACCAACAACATATTTTTCAGGTTTGCAGATTATATGCAACATTTTTTTGTTCACTTTTTTACCCAGGAAATTTCATTTTATAGATCATCATTCATGCTAATTGCATCTCACAACGCTGTACATAGGTATATCCATACCCACATTAAAGGCTAAATCATCTTCATAACAATTATTGAATAAAGGAAAACCCTCAGAAAATATTAACTAATAAACAAATGAAGAAATAGTATAAAAATAAAAGGTATAAAAAAACAAGTTTCACAACTGAGGTATTGAAAATTGTGTATGGCACAGATCCTCACACCAGCAAGAGCAATCAATCTACCAAGTGACATCCGAGAGCACAACCCCAACTTCTCAAACAAGCCATGAAAGCTTCAAAGTGCCAAAAAGTGATGACTAACTTAGACCAATCGGTCAAATGTCCAAAATGTGATTTTATATTCATCATCATATGCCCTACCGAATAAAAAGGCCTTTAGTTCTGATTTGATAATATGATGGAGTTGATTTGAGGGTATTCCATATTGCAGGGGCTGCGCATGAGAAAACTCGTCCAGCGATGGTTTTAAGTTTTATTTTTGAGGTGGAGAGCAGATCTATAAAAGATTAACGGACAACCCGGGGAGGGGAATAAACTAAAATCAGAAGGGGGAAAAAAGGCAGGCAATCTTAAAGATGATTCTGAACTGAATAGGTAGCCAGTGAAGGGATAGCAAAATGGGGGAAATATGATGACCCTTATAGGTATCAGTACTCTTGCAGCTGCGTATTGAACATATCGGACCACGTTGGAGAGACAAAGGAACACCAAATAACAGAGAATTGCAGTCGTCTTAGCTTGGAAGTTACAAATACAGCCGTATGGGAGAGTGGTGCAAATGCGAGTTATTTTTGTGGAGAAGTAAGTAAGTGGTCTTGCACGTTAAGGAGAACGTGAGAAGAAAATGAGAGGTTAAAGGAATTTCAGTAACTTTCCATGTCGTTTTTCAGCATTGAGATGTTTGGTTCACATCAGTTATACATTGTATATTTTATGAGCTATGCAACATGTATGTACAGTATGTATGTACGTTGAACTTATTTTGCATCGTACGTAGCCTACCGTCCTAATCGGAGGTAATGCTGTATTGGTTGGTGTATTTATGTTATGTACTTGTGTGTGCTACATTTGTTGGTAGAGTGGGAAGCACATCTGCTAGTCATCTCAGTCAATTATCCCATGACACCTGCATCTGCACAGATAGGCTTCTACAGCCCACGTGGCCTCAAATTGCTCCTCGCCAACCACCTCCGTGTAAATCTACAAAACGTCTCGGTTTCAGAAAGGCTATTTCTGGTTTCCCAAAGAATTGGCAAAAATCTGGACTTTGTCCCGGTTTTAAAGTCTCTGATCTCACGCTGGATTCATAGATGCAGGCAAATGGGAACAACACCGCACCTCAAGCAGTGGGTGTGGTGGGTAGAATAATGGGTGGGGTCTATGAGAAGTAAAGAGGGGCCAACGTCACAAAACTTTGCACGTGCAATGATATTAGTACTGTATTGTCAAGAACCCCAACTCGAAAGAGATCTGAATGTGTGGCCATATTATTGTTCTGACCACCAGCTCAAAATACTAAATAGTGGGGCAGGTCCTGAAAGCGTGGCTGTACTTGAAATCTCTATTGAGTTGGTGGTCTAGACAAGGCTGACAGCATTGTACTGTACAGTATATGGAATGTGGTGGTCGCATGACATGCGTGCAGGGCACGATGAGAGTCATGCTTTCCTACTGTTCCCGAGCAGCACTCCCATTGTGTGCAGTTTTTTTCTGTTTCCAGCCTTTAACACATTTTTCTGTTTCAATGTGGGTTCTTATCATTTACAGGAAGAGTTAGATTTAATTAGAGACTGATCTATGCCATTGTGATGTGGAATTTCCACCATTGGTTCAACGCCATGAACAATGCTCATTTTCGAATAGCGACAATGAATGGCTTTCTGTAAAAAAATATGTAAATATATAAGTGTAGGATTTTTTATAACAGGTTGGGACTGACGAAGGAGATTAGAAACTCGGATAAGTGTTCATAACGAAAACGGTACTTACGCTCACAAATTGGAGGTTCGGACCACAACTTTGATTGTAAACATGTAATGGTTGGTGATCCCTTCAAGTCGTAATGTCCTTCGCATTGATACACAAGTTTATCATTCATGATATATTCTGTTTTAACGTCTTCCACTGCATAACCATTTTTAACGGGAGGAGGTCTTGGGCACTTTATGTCTGTTGGAATATGAAGTTGCACACATGTAATATTAACTTTAACACGTGGGGTTTGGTGACCAATATCATCCATAATACAGGTTTTTTTGGGTTAGATTACGTAAATATATACATTTGTCATTAAACCTACCACCACCCGACACATGCAATTAGTAAGGTGTGTCATGTAAACAGAACATGCCAAGTCGTCTCTAGTACAGCTGTTCTGCCTCACGGCAAGCGTCTTGCCTCACGGCAGATGTTGGGCGTATGTACACAGGAATTTCCTGTTTTTGATGCCAAGTTTGGTCACGTGACCAGGAAGTTGCGATTTAAGATTGCCGCTCAACCACGCGGGCGTCGGCCATTACACACATAATTCAAGATGGCGGCACACATCGCGTCCCAGTGAAGCCAGCCGCAATTATCCATTTTGGGACTTTAAGAAGCATTGTCTGTAAGTTCGTTTATGTTCTTATAATATTGGCAATGCTGTTAGAATGTTAGAATGACCGTTATAATGATGTAAATGCTTTTATAATGCTGTTAAAATGTTACGATAAATACGAGGCCTAGTTAACAACGAAGCCTGCAACTTTCCTTATTGTGAATGTTACTTGTAATTTAATAAGTCGAGTTAAACTTGTACCCAAGTAACTTTATTGCGATCTGGAGAGCAAGGATGACAAAATGTCTCATTCATAGTGCAGTGTTATGTGTAGTACTGTACATCTGGGGTGCAGTGTGATGATAACACAGTGTGCCTTTATGTAACACAGTAGCTTATGCTCTTGTATAGCTATTCAGTGGAATATGAATTCAGTGGTAATGTAGGTGCCTGGTCCATCCAGGATATATTGTTGAGAAACATGTTATCTAAGACAATGTTATGATGCTGTGGTGTTCATTCATTGTGTTGGTGTTTCTGGATATTAACAGATGCTGTATCTGTGCTGTTTTCTCACCAGTTTTACCTCGTTAATTTCAATAAATGACGTTTGGAGTCGGACGTTCATCCTGGCTCTGAGGGTTTATTGGACGCGAGGTTAACTACTCAGCTATCGGTGCAACGCAGTGCACAGCGAGGCCGAGACAACAACACACCGGTGTGTTAGAGAGCCAAACTATAACATTTACAATCTGAGTACGAAGTTTCACCAGTAATTACAACTAGCTTCATCAGGCGACAGCCAGATTTGTGGAAAAGTCCACCTGTTTTTTCCTTAAATAGAGGCGTAGATGTGATGACAATACTTGTGTTCACCACCAAGTGCTAAGTCATGTTTTGCAGAGGGGTCAAATACTTTTTTCCCTCATTAAAATGCAAATAAATTTATAACATTTTTGACATGCGTTTTTCTGGATTTTGTTGTTGTTATTCTGTCTCACACTGTACAAATAAACCTACCATTAAAATTATAGACTGATTATTTCTTTGTCAGTGGGCAAACGTACAAAATTAGCAGGGGATCAAATACTTTTTTCCCTCACTGTATACTGCATATACTGTATTACTCTATTAGGCGATTATTGGGTGTTTGTGTATAGTTTTTTTGCTCAAATTCTAATGCCTGAGTCCCATGGTAAATGTTGAGGGGGATTTTGAAATGCAAGGTTCGGTGTGGTTCCAACTCACTGGTTGGTTCCTGTCCATTGTTGCACAGGTCATGTCTTTCTACATGGATCGGGAATGAATTTCTGTTACTTTCCGCCAAGTTGCGTTGCTTTCTCGGCTCGGTCGGTGCAGCCACATGCTGAAAGGCGAGTCTCAGAGACGATGTATACGGATACGGATGTGAGGTGTGTTGTTGTGGCCATTGGTTGGCGTACCTGTTCGGCGTCGGATCAATTCAGTGGGAGGATCCTAATTCCAATTGTATGTGTTGTGATGGTGTGAAATTGCGATTGTGCGGGGGATGATTGCCTTGGGTTGTGGCTCTGCCGTCAGTGGTATGGAGCATTTAAATTGGGAAGCTGACATGCTGCCAGTGTTTGGAATTGTAATACTGGCTTTCGCCTATCTTGGGGCACAGATCCTGACCAGGATGGCCCTGTGAGTGTTGTGTGTCTAACACGAGAGTTGTGGTCCCGTCATGTTATGGCGGATGGCTTGACCTGACAGCCCGGAGATCGAGACACTCCATGGCGTGCCTAGCCTAGTGGGCTGTGCGCTCACATGGCTCGGTGAGTTGTGGTCCCGTCATGCTACGGCTGATGGCTTGACCTGACGGCCCGGAGGTTGAGACCCACCATAGTGCGTCTGGAGCTGTAGGCTCACCCTGACGGCCCGGAGATTGAGACACTCCGAGGCGCATTGAAACAGTGGGCTGGAGATTCGTGGTGTTCGGGCATTGTTGTCCAGTTGCATGGAGACTGTATCCCTCCGTTGTTAGGGTGCATGTTGTGCAGTAAGTGAACGATGGCCGTTCTTGGCTTGGTCGGTACGGCTATAGGCTGCGGTGTGGGTCTCGGAGGGAGACTCGGTTAAGGTTCCCCTAAAACGGCCGATGCGTGTGCGTCGCAAAGGCGGGGAGTGATACATGGTGGCATGAGATGCCCGGGGTGGCCTTCAAGGGAGGGTTGCTATGTTGTGCGAGCGCGGGAAACCACGCGTGCGGCCGCCATTTTGAGCGAAGCACCGGAAACCATGGGGATGCGGTTCGCGTGTGCGACCGCCATTTCGGGCAATTTTCACGCTGAACTATTTTCTTTAACTAAAATGCGGATCCTGGGGGCATCCCTGAAGCGTTACTTCTTCGATACATGACATCTCGACCCAGGATGTCGGATGACGTCCTAATTGGGGGTGTGTGAGTGCGTGAGCGCTAGGCAGTTCTTCCGTCTTCGCTCTATCACCACCTAGCGGATGGAATGGTGGCTGGGGGTTGGGGAACCCTGCCACCCCTGTTGTGTGGGTGAAGGTGTACATACAGTGGTACCCCAGAGATCGAACTTAATTCGTTCCAGACGGCCAGTCCAACACCGATTATTTGAACACCGATTTGTTCGGGTTCTGGTGCGTTGCATCTCCGAGGTTCTACTGTATTTGGTTTCATCGCCGTGTTGGTTGTGCATCCAACGCGTCTGAATTGTGTATTATTTTTTCTCTTCTCTCGCGCCGGCCAGAATCCCCTCATCTCCACTGCTCAGGGGCCGGGTGACTGTTGTCTGCCGAGCCGGGCCGCACGGGTTGTGATGGCGTGATCGATGCCATGCCTTTGTGTGCGCCTGCAGAAACCCCGCCAGTAATTCCACCAGCTTCGCCTCACCCGGCGGATGGGCCGGCGGACTTGACACCTGCCAGCACACCACCGATTCCGACGTAGCACGGGGGAGCGGGCCGGCGTCACGCAAACGCTTGCGGGGTGTGCGGATACGGTGACGGCCAGTGGGGCCTGTTTCTTCGTTCCCTGCCTTCTTCAGACACGTTCCGGTGTCCCATGTGGGGACCGTCCCCAAAGTTGCCCTGTACCGTGCTGCCCTAGTGTTGGGTTGTGTTCTAGCAGCCGTAATGGTTGCAGTCAGGGTCGGCTGATTTTTTTTTTTTCACGGGGGAAGGGGGGGGTGATGTAGAGTAGTAGTTAATGACGTTACGTCATGCTCACCCTCCGGTGCAGTGACGTCAGAGAGTGACATCATGCATGGCGGACGGGACGGTGATGTCATGTCCCCCTGGGGTATTTAGGTTGGAACCCGTGCCATGAACAAGGTCGTCGTCGAGAGCCGTGAATGTGTGAGGGTGGAAGTCGGGACCCAGGGTAGGGGGGAATTAACACCGGGCTAGGGTAGCCTGTGGGTGTGCTAGGGGCCTCCCAGTACCCCTACCCCTGGGGACAAGTGAAATATTCCTCCATCAGTTACTGGCGTAAGCCTTAATAAATACCTGGCGTAAGCCCCGACAGAACATCTGCCTCCGAGTCATCATTTACACCTCAACAATTGTAACCGATTAATTGCAGCGCTTCTTTAAAATATTTAATTTCACTTCTCAGACTATCACCATCTGACACTTTCTTAGCCCGATGAATCAGCGTAGACCCCGGAGTATCCGAATATTTACACTGGGGGAATCCGATGAGCTATACAGCTCTTTTTCACAGATATCCAGTAGGGGCAGGTCAGAACGTTACAACAACAAACAATAGAAACACACGATAGGAGTGCAAAGTATAGAAAAGGTAAGCAAATAGCTAAAACATCTAATAAAACTGAACTATTTTTATTTTATAAGGCAAAGTCCACTGAGCTATTAGCTTTTTCAAAAATGATCTGGCCACAAATGATAGCTCAACAAAGTGGCTTATCATGTTGAAATTTATAGCTGACAAATTATCTAAATTATCTAATCGCATGTTTCTAAACGTCGAGGGAAACCGGAGTACCCGGAAACACAATCCATGCGACCACGGAGAGAACATGTAAACTCCAAATATACAGATGTCACGGTCAGAATCGAACCCCCATACTCCTGCATACCAGGCTAGGAAAATAACATCACACCACCGTGGCATCCCTTAAATAAAAAAGTAGAAAGTTCAAATTGCATAAGTACTCCAATTCCCAAGCTTGGGAAAGGCACTGAAACAACAGAAAAGAGTCACAGATCATGCCAGGACACAGCTCCTCAATAAAATTGTAAATAAAATTGAACTATCGATACATGGGTCAGGGTCAAAAATACAAATTACATTGGCAAATGCAGCTGTGTCCAGCACTAACCTGCTTCAGAATGTTTTGAAGGAATATTTACGATGTTAAGGGGTAAACAAGGTTGTGATACAACGGCAAAGGTTTGACAAAGGGGTTGATGAATTGATGAAGTATAGCACAGATTTGCCAGAGGATTTTATGGATGGACAGGGGGCAAATATAGATGGGTAAAATCGCATAACAACATCGGCCCCGACTGGCAGATGATACCAGCCTGTCAATCGGCTCGGAAACCAAATGTGTTTACCAATCTAAACTTAAGCACTTGGCTTCCCCTCCACAGCTCACCTTTACAAGCAGGAGCACTGTCGCTCCAGACCCCCTTCTCATTGCATCGTCTAATTTTGTTCCCGATGAGAGAGAACCCTTGGTTGCAGTGGTATGTCACGATCGAATCATAATCCAATTCAGATGGAAAGGAAACTATTCCGTTTTCCACTTCTTCGGGAGTGTCGCATTTTATGGCTGCAAAACAAACATACATACATATTCATTACAACATTTCCCAATCGTACTACGTAACTCCGCTTATCGGTGACCCTGTCACCCGTGACCTATATTACCCACGGCAGCCATAGGGTTGGAAGAAATTCCCCGTATCCGAGGCCCTATTCTTTTTGTGACTCATAACTATCCGTGTTTTTCCCCATCCTGCTCTGTGGAACAGCTTACACTTATCCATGAATGTTTCATGCAGCAAATGAATACATTTTGGAGTAGATTTGCGGTTAATAGGATCCATGATGTTCATCAGCAACATAAGGCAAAGTCTTCTGTCCTGTGCAACTTTCAACATGCATAGGGGGAGAGGTGCAGTGTGATTTTTCACACATCGTTATGATCTCGGCAATTTGGAATCGATTCCTGGCCATGCAAACTAGTGGCAAGTGGTATCTGAACATGTTCTAAGCCTTGTCAATGTTGGGTCTGCCTTAACTAAACACCTTCTGTGCTGTGTGAATTTCAACACCGAGGAGACGAACGTGTGGTGATGGCAAAACCTTCCACTGTGTGACACCACTTTTAGTATATACAAACGACCCTTGCCTCTACATGGTATGAGGATAGAGGGCATCTAAGTCATTGGCCGTAAATGTGTGTGTAGGCATATGTGAGGATAGAATGCCATGTATCTGTAACAATATGGGGGATAGGATTATAGGTGCTCACCAACAGCACTTGCCCTAACAGTCGGTTAAGGCTATACGGGGGATCTTTGTCTTTGGGGTACAATAATTAACAAAGCACTTCTCCATAACTACTGCCTCGGAACTGCCAAGTTCTTTGCCCAAGGGCTGGTCCATGGCTCAAGCTCTATGAATTAAATGTGATGCCACTCCTCCCTGTTCTACTCACAACACCGCACTCCCGTGCCTATGTTTCTGTGCCATAACTAGGGGATGATAATTGAGGTGCTTTTTCCTTGCCTTTCTCATCAATGCTTGTAGGTGACACCATCAATGGATGCAGTTGAATGTCATACTGAGGATGGTTTCCCACATTTTCGAATACTGCACCTTGTAGGTGTTGGCGTGACTATACAGTATTATCAGCTCATGGGGTATGGCAATCCGTGAGGTGGGGCCCCAATATTTGATAAGTCTTGCACGGTCGCACCGAGCCTATATATCGTGCCTCCTCTAGCCTAATTACATTTTGACCCTCACCGTCTCTGCAAAATGCAGCCACTACAGCTCTCCAGTACGTCTTTGCACATTGCACTACATCGCACTACCACACTGGTTTAAATATCTTATTTCTTTAAATACTTTATTTAAATAATATTTTACATTTTAAAAATTCTTGACTGTTGTTTATTTTAAGTTTATTACATTTTTGATTATTTATCTTGTGTTGATCGCCGATTGTTTATTGTTTATTTATGTCTGTTAATTGTGATTAATTTTTTAATAGCTTGGTTGCACCGTGGGACCAAGAGAGAGGACTGTAATTTCATCTGTGTTGTATGTCATGCATGTAACACACTTGACAATAAAGTGACTTTAAGACTTTAAGATAATTGACGCATATCGAACGCAATATCCCAGAAACTGAGTTTTATGTCCAATGTTCGGTTACTCAAGTTACTCTCATTCAAAGCAAATTACGTTTCATTACATTACGTTTGTTTAATTTTTTTAAAACTACTTCCAATACTAAACTGTTGAAAACATATCTCATGATGGTTGTACAGGGGGCCCCAACTCGTAGCTTCATCCACCAGAAGGGCAAAGGCAACTCCTGCCCCCAAGCTAGTTCTGCTACTGCTGCTGCTCATAGGCAGTGCTTCTGCATGAGCTCCCACCTGGTTTTGATGAAGGATGTGAAATTTACTTACGCTCGCACACTGGGACTTCATGGGACCACGTTCCATCGGCTTGGCACGTTCTGTAATCTTGCCTCCCAGCTATGACGTACCTATTAAATGAAAATGAATACATTCATAGACAACCCTAAAATCTACAATTTGAACGGTAAAGCCCAGAGAATTACAACAACCAACCCTGGTCTGTTCCATTACCAAAAACGTATAAAGTAACATTTGAGTCTAAACATATGTAGTGCCATAGATGGGCCACACTTACCAGCAGTGGTGGACAGGGCCCATCTGCAGGTAGCTCGAACCCCCAGGGGAGGGGCCACTGTGCCAGCCCAACAGGGGAGGGGCTGCTGGGGGCTCTAGGATCCTAGACAGCTAAGCCCTCGGCGCCGGGCTCTAGGATCCCAGACAACCCAGACAGCTAAGCCCCTTGGCTCCACCAACGGGGGGCTGTGGGGTATCTGGGAGCCGAGACAACCCCACCCCTCGATGGGCGAGAGGGATAAAAGGGCCGCTCCCTGGCCGATCGGGGCCATTCGCAGCTCAAGACTCAAGACCAGCCAGCTTAGGACCCTGGACCCCCTCGTCCCGCTTGTCCTTGTAAGGGCCGGGACGCTGTGCGGGCCAGTGGTGGGACTCTAGGACTCCCAGCTCTACGCCCTTGTAAGGGCGAGTTCCGAGGAAGCCAGAGTCTAGACCCGCACCTTGGCTGGGTCGGGTCAGGTAGCCTCTCCTAGGGTAATTGTAGCCGGATGACCCCAGAGCGTAGCTAGAATCAGGTAGGCTGTGTACCTAGGCTGTAACAGAGTATCAGGACTGTTGGAGTGTTGTATTGTAATAAAGAAGTTACCTCTACAAGTGTCTCCGGAACGCATTACACATATGCAGTACTGCTGTAAAACGTTGGCGAAGAAGTCCCATTAGTTAATGTGACTCTTGTCTTTCCTTCATTGTCTATGCATGTAATTATTTTAATTTACAAACAAGAATTATCTACAGTGCAAAGTTAATTTGTCGATAGTTATATTTATGGTGGGCTTTCATTCACACCATTGGCCATATTACAACATTATCCTGAAGATGTTTGACAAAAACAAAACTAATTCTTCAAAAAAGTAAATTGACACACTAAGCGTACGTTTGAAAGAGAATATAGTTTTGTGGGGAAAAAAAGATGAATGTCATATAAGGCATATCTGGAACATTAACATAAAACATATTAAGTGTGTGTATAAAACAGAAATTGTATACTACTCAAGCTTTCTGCTCATTGTGAATACTTTCCGTTGTGGATACTGTTAGCTTTTGCCATGATACAGTAGGTAGCATCGACTAACTGCCATGGCTTATTTAATGAAAATAATACTTGCATAGAAAATTAAGGAAAGATAACAGTTACATCAACTAATGGGATTTCTTCACCAACGTTTTACAGCACTAATGCATACGTTTGGACTCAAATTTTACTTTACGTATTTTTAGTAATGTAACAGACCCTGGTTGTTTATTGCAATTCTCTTGGCTTTTCCATGCAATACCCCATAATCAGAAATAACAGTCCAGAAAAACTGATGCCCGAAAACTCAATCGGCATAATTACATGTCCAATAACAGCAGATTGTCGGTTCCAGTTAACGTGTGTGCAAGGAGTTAATAGTTTAATTTAAATTCGCCAGGAAAACAGGATTGAGGACACTGGTAACTCTGCATTAATATGCACATTTCAGAGGAGTGGTGCAACTACCTCCGTCTACATTAGTAGCACTCACGGACTTATTTTACACACACATTTGGGCGTGCGTAATATTATCTGGTTGGTATGTGTGTGTGCACGACCAGATTTGTATAACCTTAATGGCACCGGGGACAAGTTTGGTGTGTGTCTTACTTTCCCAAGCGTCTTATAATCCAGAGCATGTGTGTCCCGAGGAATGTATTTACATCCACCCTTCCTTTGAGAGTGGGGTTCATCACCGAGCAATAAATCACACCACTCAGATAACTGTCGAGGGTGTGAATGCATTCACATTATAGTATTGGTTTTTTTCAAATTGTGCACCCCTACTGATCTTTAATAAACCACGGGCTTTTATTAAGTGTGTACATACCCATCGTTGCAAACAAATCTCACGTCCTTTCCAAAGGTGAACGCTTCACCATCCCAGTAACCATGTTCACTCTCTCCTGGGAATCCACAGTTTTTGGCTGCAATATAAACGGATGATTTTTTAAAATATAAATTAGTTCATAGTAGTATTTTTAAAGATTATGAGTCTATTGCCTTCTCCAAGTCTGACATTAACAACAACCCGCAGTTTGCCACCAAGTGGCAGTGACGTCACCACGGCACTTGTGCCATGTGAGGTGCACTTTGAGGCCACGTGAAGTTTCGAAGTCTCACTGGCAGGTCATGGAATAGACGCAGTTGCCATGAGCTGAGATGACTGAGAGATACACCAAACAGTACATAACGATTAAGAGCCATGAATTCCCATTAATTAGTTTTGTTGCATGTGTATCTTTGTCATTTCAGAATAACGTACACAGTTTAAGTGTAATAGTTGAGCAACGCAGGCAAGTGATTTGGTGAATCGTGCAAATATTTGAAACACCCAAATCCGTTGAGCTGTGGTGGCCAATAGATGGCAGTATAGCAAATGGCATAGTGAAGCTGTGGCCCTTGAGATCGATCAATTCATGTCAAAAGTTAACACATTCGTGAAGAAAGGAGGATTTATCCACAAATTTGGCTGTCGCCTGATGCTAGTTGTAATTACTGGCGAAACGTCATACTCAGATTGTAAATGTGGATGGATTTACTCTCCGACACATTGATATTTATGCGATCTAACCCCAAAAAAACCTATATTTTGGATTACATCCGTCAATCACTTTCTAAAAAGAAAATAATGTTACGTTTCTTACAATGGCCCTTTTTCCTAGTGCTCACATAGAAGCCAGAATCTCAGTGAATAATAGGAGACCTCACTATATACCATGGTACCCTGATGTAAATTTAATTCTAGATTTGAAGTTTCCGTCACTGCAGGGATCCATACTCTTTGGTTCTTTCGGTAAAGTCACGTATAAAATATGAAATAAATTAAATCACGACGTTTCGATTGCAACACAAGCAATCATCATCAGGTGTGAAGACTACAGCTAGGATTTGTTTAGCTAAAGTGGGAGAGATGCTGTGGTAAGGGGTTATAGAAGTAAGAAAGGGGGAGGAGCCAGGGAGGGGGAGGAGCCAGGGAGGGGGGAGTAGGGGGAGGGTAGCATTGCGTGGAATGCTACTGGACGAGGGAGGAAAGTGGGCGGGGCTAGAAAGGTGCAGAAAACCAATGCCACTGCAGCAAAGCCAATGAATGACAACACAACAACAGTAGCAGACGTTGGAGAAGTGCAAAAAAGCCAAAACCACTACAGGAAGCCAATGAAAGACAACAAAGCAACAGTAGCAGTACTGCCAAACGAAGTGGACGACCACGTGGAAATGTATAGTAGTCAAATACTCTGGAAAGATCCAAAGAAAAATCCACCCCGGCACGGGGAGAACATGCAAACTCCATGTATATGTACAGGCGTCAGGGTCAGGATCGAACCCACGACCTCCTACATACCAGGCGAGGAATTTAACATCTTACTGCCGCGTGTACCTTAAGATAATGCAACAAAGGCTCAAAAGTGCACAAAGAGGCACGGAGAGATGCATGGTTGAAATTATATTAAGACAGAAAAGAGTAACAAGTAGATTAGAGATCATGCGCAGATTAAAGATGTCACATTGTTTAGAAAAGTAAGCGGGATTGGGCAGGACATGTTGCTATGATGGATCATGGCCGGTGATTCTCAAGACTAATGTGGGAATGGCAACCAAAGGATCAAACGCACCAAACAAAATGTCCGCCCAGATACCGAGTAAACAAATCAGCCGAGTGTGCAGGGGCTTCATACAGTGTTACATCGTTATTCGTAAATTTACTAGCCACAATTTTCGCTATCCATGAATTGCATTTGGAACGCTACACAACTGCATCGAGAGAGAGTGATGAGATCAAGTGATGAGATAAAGTGATCAGATAATAATGCATTTAATAGCTCATCTGTGTTTATGTAAGGTGATTCATTAAAACGATTATTTTTTTTGCGTAGGCCATATTATCTGTGAAATTTGCTATTCACAAGCACTTCTGAAACTTATCCGTCACGAATAACGAGGCAATACTTTAGATTGTTACATCATAGGACCATAGGAGATGGCTAAACCCTTGGAAAGGCATTCATCCAGTGGTACATTGATCATGGCTGACGATACTTACGTTCACAGGAGAATTGAACTGGACTCCACTCATTTTGGAGACACTTAATAGAGTAGGTTCTTCCTTTCACACTGTAGCCTGTATTGCACCGGAAGGTTGCTGTTTGACCATTTTCAAACGATGTTTGTCTTGCAAATTGTGGGTGCAAAGAACTATGTTGCACAGCTATTGGCTTTCCACAAGCGGCTGAAAGAAAAATAGTCATACAACACATACAATTTTAAGGAAAATTACGATTCGTTTTCAAAATGGTCTTGCTTTCATAGATGAAAAAACCTGCACAATATAATAGGTATAGGCCAAACATTCCAATTCTGACAAATTACCTATGTTTTACTCGATTGAGATTACACATAGAAACATCACCCCCAACTATGAAAACTCGGCAGGACCCTCCTGCAAAAGAGTGAGGCTCCGTAAGACTTTCCTGGGTGAACAAGTATCATAATAATAGTATATTAACTGCATTCGTGTTGATCTCTTTACTGTTCAAATGCATTGCAAGACAGCGAACTAACTATTTGGCCAAATAACAAAATATTATAGTTTGGCACACCAATTTTGCGATTATACTTCTGGCATTAACTACCTTTTGCTTGAGGAATAATGTTTAACAACACGAACAGCCCCAGAAGTTGCAAACCGCGTGCAGAACACATCTTGAGCTTGCATTTGCTTTTAGGTCCCATGGCTGCCTGAAACACAATATTGTTACAAAAACCCAAATTAACAGCAACAATATACTTGGAGTTAATACACTTTTAAAAGTTACATTTTATATAGGAATCTACGATAGCTTGCCCTTTTTGAGAATGGAAAATCATTCTACTTTAATATTGCGAATATGTCAATCGTGAGCAGAACTATTGAGCTGAGTTTGGCATCAGCTCATGTGCAGGTGCTGGGTGAATTGTTACAATGCATTACCAAATAGCACTGGATTAATCATGGCTATAACAAAAATGCAGGTAATGTTAGCCGATGAGAGGACGCATCCAGAAGCAGTAGCCCTGGGTACTAAGCATGGATATTAGGATGCATTTGTTGGCAGACATCCAAATTTAAGACATTTTCCCTATTTTTTCTCAAAGCTAAGAGAAAACTGCATGGATAAGCGCAGAGAATAAAAATCCACCATAAGATTCCACCCAAATCAGCGCAGATTATAATTCTTACCGTGCAATGTTTGAAACATTCTTTATTATTTAATGTACACAACGGGATGCGAAGCTACACGTTTGAAATTTTAATTTGTACATGAATAACGTAATGTATACTTTATAACATACTTTTTATAATTGTTTTAAAGTATTAAAAAGAGCTTGCAGGACTTACCAGTGACTTCTCCGTGCCGTGTGGTGCCAAGCTCCCAGTATGTGAGCCAGCATAACCCCGTTTCAAGTATTTAACCAACATTATTGGCAGGTCAGGACCTGGCTCCAAACTGCGATAAGAATTTGCTGACTTCAGGAGAACAGCACACGAAAAAATAAACATAGTTCGCTACAAACAGGCTGGAACTATACAGCACGAAAGGGTTCTGTTTAATGTCTTTTGACGAGGGAACTAAGATGCAGCATAACCACTTACAACATGCAGCTGGGCATTAGTGACTGATACAACTTCAAATTATGTTTTAGAAGGCCGAGAAAGCAAACATTTGGTTTAACTATACAGGGACTCCTCTATTCATATTCTTTGGGTCTTTCGGTAAAGGCACGTAGATAGGTTCAAAGAAAATAACAAAAAAACTACGACATTTCGATCGCAACACAAGCGGTCGTCATCCTGATGACGATCGTCAGGGAGTGAAGAAAAAAAATTACGTATTAATACTGTAATATGTATTTACTATGAAAGGCAAAATTCCGTAAAAAATAAGGTTGTTTTTTTATGTTTGGCAGAGGAAAGCAGATGTATTGCAGCACACCCACGTGACTTACAGGAACATCGTTTTTGACTTTTACAGGAATTTAAATAAAGAGTTGATGATTAACCATTTTTCAACAATTTATCGAGACAACACACATATAAATAAGGTCAAATATCGAGGGGGATTTCTCGATGCTTGGTTGAGAATCCCTTATTTACACATGTGAAACCCCAAAGAGACACAATGTCCTTTTGCAAGGAAGATGTGGAAATACATAGAGATGGAGAAATGGTTAATACAGTGACACACCTCTGTTACACATTGAAGTGAGGATTGCTGTAAAAGATAAGTAATGCTGTATTGAATCTAGATTTGAAATTTTCGTGACTGCAAGGATCCATACTCTTTGATAGGTATAAAAAATAAAATACATTTAATCACGACATTTCGGGCGCAACACAAGTGTCCGTCATCAGGTGGGACAACCACAGCAAGAAAAATTTCTGAAGTGGGTAAGCGGTATGGCGCTGCAGGTTACTTTTTTGATGAAGTTAAAGAGCGATTTGTGATCGCAGGCCATTGAGGCAGACTCCATCTCCGCAGCAACCCGCGACCACCACCCATCCTTGCAGCTCCTCACGGCTTTCCGAACCTCCGAGCGAAGGCTGCGGTAAGCCTCCTCATTCTCCGACGTGGGATGCTGTAGCCGATGAGAGTGGGCCTGTCGCTTTTTCTCAGCCAGCCTGAACACCTCCTCCGTCAGCCAGGGTCTCGGTGGAGGTCTGGACCGTGTACCCAAAGCAGCCATTGCAGCTGTATGAACCACAGTCCTAAATCTCACCCATTTCCCCTCGACATCTGGAGGAGTGGGGGATGATGGCAACCCCAGCCGCAAGTGATGATGACATTCTCGCTTGCAACTTAGATCAGCTAGCTGAGACCATGCCACTATGGGTTTGAAATGGGTCCTGGTTGTACACCCACCACCGTAGTGAAAGAATGGCAGGCGCATCTTACAAATGACAAGTCGATGGTTAGTGAGCAGATCAGCTCCGCGATAGGTCCTGGTGTCAAGGACATGGGCCCGCATCCGCTGTTCCATCACTGTGGAGTCCAGCAGATGTTCTTGCTCATACCCGACATGCATCCATGATGTTGTGTGGATGCGCCGATGCCGGAACAGCATGTTGGTAATTACAAGCCCATGGGCTGCGCAAAAGTCTAGCAGCCTTCTGCCGTTGTTATTGAGCTGATCTGGCCCATGCCTTGCAATCACTCCAGACCAGGCGCCAGCATCATGACCAAATCAGACATTGAAGTCACCCAACAAGATGACTATCCCGAGGGGCCACTTTAGCGAGTACCTGTGACAGGAGGTCATAGAAGGCATCTGACTCATCGGCCTTGCCTGCATCCCTCCACAGATGTTCGTCTTCGGTGGGGGCATAAGTAACCACGACCACCACTCATCGCCCCTGGTTGATGGGAAGGCGAGCCCAAAGTAGCCTGGGGATTAAAGCTTTCCACACCTCACCGCCACGCTCCCATGCCCCTTCATTCTTTTGTTCAGAAGAAGAGCCACTCCTTGTTGTTTGGCAGTCTCCTGCCCCGAGTAGAGGACTGTCCACCCCTCATGGTGGCAGGATCCAGAGCCGGTCCACCAGACCTCCTGAATACCACAGAGATCCAGGCGGTACCAGTCTGGCTCCCGACAGAGGAGTGGCAGCCTCTCCTCCGCAGTGAGCGTTCGAACATTCCATGTGGCCACCCACAGTGGTGTTTTGTTTCTGGAGGAGCCCCGGGGATAACGATTCAGTCTCCTGGCTCTGCCAAATGGGGTTTGGCCAGAAGACGTCATAGACGCCTGTCCCCCCGGGGCCTCCGGCACAAGCTTATTAATTAAAATTTTAGTCGTGGTTTGCTGGTAATTAATTGAAGGTGGAGGGGTTACCAGCCCCTCGCACATGTCCAGAGCCCCCATTTGGCCGCTCAATAGGCCCTCCCCCCACGGCACTGCCCAACACAGCGTTGCCGTCCGGCACCAACGAGGAGATAGGGGGTTGTTTTTGCCGGACAAATATTGCACAGTACTATATAAATCGTCATGCTAGGAGACATCTCTTCCGGACGCTAAAGTATCTACCAGAAGTGGAATAGCCTTCTAAAGAGAAGTATAAACCGTCCAGAAGAAGGATCCATCTTCCAGAAGAGGAAATATCTGCCGAAATAACAAGTCCAAAAGACGTGTTCCAGAAGATGAAAGCATCTTCCAGAAGAAGGTCACCAATGCCGAAAGTGAAAGCTCCTTTCTGACTGGGAGCATCTTCCAGAAGATAGCGGCGTCTTCCAGAAGAAGAAGCATCTTCCTTCCTAGAGCAGGAAGGCTCATTAACAGCTGATCCGACGGTGGCGATGGCTGTAAGTTCGTAGCCCCCTCGCCTTTCTTTTCTTCTTCTTACCACCGTTCTCTTCTCCGTGACCACGGCGCTCCTCAGGGATGTCGAAGCCACGGCCAAGAACTCCAACTCGCCGGCGAGGTGGACGTTCTTCGCTGATCGTCGGCGGATTGCGAGGAATGCGCCCGGCAATGATGACAGCACGAACAGCAGCGGCAGTGCTGGCTGATTTGTCCGGCCAAAGTCACGACGACATCGCGGACGACCTGAGAGAAAGCACTTTCAACGTGAGTCTGCGCTGTCTGTCTCGCTGTACGTGTGGTTTCATTTTTGTTTTAAATCCTAAATTATAACGACAACAAATAGGTCAAGGCGCGGCCCTGCAATTCATTTGGTCGCTTGCTTGCGGAAGGGGCCCTCTCAATTCCAGGGAGCTCTAGAAGACGTGTTATTTTTTGGCCTACTCTTCCAAGTTGGCCAGACGTATTGGGAAGAGAGGGGGTACGTGTACACCCACACTTGACCCCATGCACGCGGGGCCCGCCGAACCGACTACAGGTAGTCCCCGACTTACGACGGTCCGACTTACGATATTTCGATCTTACGATGGCGATAGCGATATGACAAAATTGTTAAATATTTTACATTTCACGCGGCAGGCAAACGCAGAAGCGTACGAGGTACGATGCTGTACGTTGGGACGCTGCCGGGATGTACTCAGGATTGTTTCCTGATAAAAACTTTCTATGAAATTGCAGTTCATATAGGTAGGCTAAGAATTTACCTTGTTTTTAACTCTAGATTTGAAGCTTTCGTGACTGCAAGGATTCATAGTCTTAGGTTTTTTCGGTAAAGTCACGTAGGTGAAAAATAAAGAAAAAATCTAATTAAAAAAATTATAGAAATAAAATAATAAATCATTGTTTTTAACGTTAAATTGTACTGTGCAATACAGTATTGTAATTAATAAATACATACAGTATATAATTTATACTTACGATGGGGTTGTCGTAACGCATCTCCGTCGTAAGTCGGGGACTACCTGTATAACCCTTTTATACTTGCCAGGTGGAGACAACGGAGGGCCTGGGTGGGTGGGATAAACCAAAAACAAACGATGGTGCCGGCAGATCGATCCGGTGACCAGTTTACACCACGGCTCCATCACGGCTCAATGTAATTCCCATTTGCTTGGGAATTACATTGAGAGAAACCAAAAGAGGAAGTTCTCAACGCGGACTGGAGGGCGTTACACCCAGGTTAAACATTATTCGTGCAAACGGATCGTTGGAATTGTGTTATACAAACCGAGTACGTTGGTGCGATGGGTGATAACTTTCTGTATGGTGAAAGAATAATGACCGGAGTGGTGGCCAAGAAATGGAACGCGTCTGAAATTCCTACGGCCACCAAGGAGATGGAACGATGAAATCTATACGCGTGCAGGTGCAGAACTGTGATAGGTGGTGGTGACCAGCGGAGGCCTTCATCCAGCAGTGGATTGATCAAGGCTGATGGTGACTTGTAAAACGTTACCAGATGATCTACACTATGTCCAATAACGACTGTATAAACCTCCCTCACCCACCGCCGTAAGAATAGTGGAATTTCCACCATAAGAATGTGGAATTTCCACCAGTGGTTCAAGGCTGCCTTCTGGTGAACTGGTTAAATGACGTCTGAATGGCTGCTAAATATTTGAAATGTGCGAGGTTGAGATCTCACATATATGGCAAACTATACCACTGGAAGTGTACTTTTTTTTATTTTACACGCTTTTATTTAACTCACTCTGTCTGTTGTCGTATCCTCAAAAAATCTTGTAACTCAATTTTTACCCACTTCCCAATGTGGTATCGACTGCAAACTTGGTATACTTATGTCATACTGATGACAATACTATTACATTTTTTTATGTTTTAATAATCTTTTTTACATGTTATGTTTCGGCTTGGGTTTAATTGTCCACGCTCAACTCACGTTGGCTGTAAATCACCAAAGTCCCTTACGTTATGGCAAGCTTCGGAGCCACTTCCTGGAGTCGTGGAGTTCTGCCATTACTCGTACGGTACATTTCATTAAAGCGTGTTTAAAAAAAAAGTATTTTTAACTATAACTTATTTAATGCTTATCTCTTCACTTAAAATTCACCACCCATCCGTGTTTTCAAGTAGAGTTCAGCGTTCAAATGTAATACTATTCCTAGAATATTCCCCACTTGACCCTTTCCATGTACCTTTAAATCAAGGCTCACCACCTGGTGATTCTGCGTTGTCACGAGTGCACAAACAACAAAAACAACGAGTCATCATTCGTTAATGAAACTTCCTGAAAAGGAAAAAAACACAATAGGTGACGTTTCGGGCGATAGCCCCTAAATAGTACATCAAAGGCTTGACTCTCCACCCTGGTGCTTCCATGTTTCATACATTTATTTTTCTGACGTGCTTATCCTCGCTGCTTATCGCATGTCCCAGGTATCTGTGTCGACTTTCAACTTGTCTTGAGAATGGTACCATTCTTGCCTTATATCTCACCTAGTCCATTCTTTGGGATCTCTGAAATCCATCTCGCCATTCTCATTGCAAATGTAAGTAACACAGCAGTGTTATGCACAGTTAGAATATTTGCATAGAATGCTATTGGGATCACCACTTATTTATCAATACATTAAATTAATTTACCTTTTCAAGTTGTAGGAGCAGTTAAAGCCTAACAACGCCGTGCAGGTCGTGAGGGTTCACCATACCCCCTCTCTACTCTGGTCAGGGTTCCCGATGGGGAACACAGGACAATTGATTTTGCTGTACTGCCCTCAATAGCCCACAATGCTGATAACGTCTGCTTTATTGTTGTTGAGCATTCTGGTAACCCATTTAAACACTTATTGTCTACATTGAAAACGGATTTCTTTTGAACTGCCTTTTGTGTTCAGTTTGTCGTTCCCCTACACCTCCAATTTGCACGTTTGTGGACGTACATACAGGCTCAAAGCTGTTTAGTTTCCATGGACTCACAGGTTCTGGAGCATTTCAGGTGTTTTGTCAATGGCTAGGTGTGGAGCATGAAGGCAAATAATGCCTCTGTTGGCTTGGCAGTCTTGTCATTGCACGACGCGCAAGCCACTGCACACTTCCTGATTTGTGTTCTTTGGGGGTTTCCGTGAAATGCAAACTGCTCGTAAAACAAAGTGCCGCTTTGCAGGGGCAAAATCTTGCATCCTTCGATTCCAGTGGAAACTGACATCAGCAGTCTTCGTGGAAGCCCCGTTATGAAGTGTCTGGCCCATTTGGCGAGATGTCATCTGCCTTGCCTGGTATACAGGAGCACGTGGGTTCGATCCCGACCCTGGTGCCTGTATGTTTGGAGTTTGCATGTTCTCCCTGTGGTTGTGTGGATTTTTTTCCTGGTCCTCAGGTTTTTCGCTCCTCATTTAAGATGTTCATTTAGAATATTTGACTGCTATACATTTTCACATTATAATTCAATTCGCATATGAAAAAGAGCTATATAGTTATGTTTATAGTTTTTTAAAGTTTATAGTTTATTAAAGGATTCAATATTGGGCCTCCCTATTTTACTGCATAAGGAGAGTTCTGTACTCCAGCAGTTATGAATGAGACAATTTTCACCCGCATTGTTATATTACCTTAAGAAACATTTAATGAAACATGATTATTTGTTTTTGATGGATCAGTTGGCCTAGATTTTCTGTGTTTTATGATTGTGCTTTAAATAAACACGGTGTTTGTACTGTTGGTAGTTAGCTGCTGATCCTAAACACAAGTAAGATTGACGCACACATTTTGGAACAGAGTTCCCAATGTGGTTGAATTTCTTGTCAGGCACGTGGGTTATTTCCAGAAAGGAAAACTACACTCGTTTAAGTATCCGTCCATTCTGATTTGGAATATCCTGTGGCGCTTAGTCATGGCATTTCTTCTAAATTAGATTCCAGGATGAATAACACGTCCCTGTTTTATTTCCAGTTGCATAAATAGACACTGGTAAATGTTTTACATTATCTGGCTCTTCTCATGTATGTTTGCAAACTTTTGTTGGAACATGTTATTGATACTGATTTTGCTATAATCCAGCCAGATGGCACTGTGATGGGAACACTTGACTCACAAATTCCAAGCTCATTTTCTGGTAAGGGGTTGGCATAATCCCTTCGGGATAGTTAAAGTGTGGAAAGTCAACAGTGGTTGTCAATGGAAAATACTGATTCCTGCTGTAGTAATGTGATATTGCGCAGCCGGCTGACGGCCACTAACAGAGGTGGCCATCACCCCACTGCTCATGTGGTGTGGATTGCAGGAGGGGAATCGGCCATTAACGGAGGAGAACTAGAAATCTGCAATGTTTTGTGGGTTTCAGGCTCAACAGTCCAGAAGAGTTTCTGGAGGAGCCACGGATTACAAACACTTGCGGATTTTATTAGTGTGGATTTTGTGGCCTGCTGTAGCGTCACATTGTTACATTGTTTAAAGGGTTACCCAAAACCTGGCGATAACAAATCAGCACAAATAGGAATATCCTTATATTATGTATTAGTCAGCATGGTATGCCTATTTTAGCATGTATCGATGTTTGGGTCCGATCGTTTGAGTAAAATGTGTGTTGTACACCCTCCACCACCCAACACAGTCAATTAAAAAAGTTGTCTCGTGGACAAACGTGCCAGGCTCAACCCTACAGCGTAGCCTTCGAGGTCTCACGTCTCGGTAGCATTCGGATGATTGGGTCAAAGGCTAGGTGTGAACACATGAGGAAGGATATGCCTGTGCTGGCTTGCCAACCTTGTTATTGCACAATAATAGAGACGCATAAGCCACTGCAACTTCTTGATTTTTGCTCAGAGGGGGTTTCCGTGAAATGTGAAACTGCTCCGAAAATAAAACGACACTTTGCAGAGGGGCAAAGTCTTAACATCCTTCGAATCCAATGGAAACCGACATTGGCAATCTTCGTGGAAACCCCCGTTAAGAATTATCTCGCCTACGTGCAGTATTTGAACGTTAAAATAATACAGTGCATGCTGGATGAGTGCCCGTGGACGCCATGCGGGCCGTGAGGGTTATTTGATTATGCTTCACGATGCTGGGCAGCAGTGTGTCGGTGAAATAATACGGTAAATATATACGATACTAGCGGTTAGTACCCGGCGTTGCCCGGGCGAAAAAGGCAGACACATGTAGTTAGACACGCAAATCCATTGATACACACACATAGAGTTACACGCACAAATGGACTCACACATACATATATAGACTGAACAACAACCGCCATTCGACACTAAGTGGTGGTGACGTTACAACAACGCTTGTGCCAGGCTATGTGCACCTTGAGGCCACTTATTCAAGTGTCATCTTCATGCCCACATTTTCTGTCATGTGGCACATCCTTTTGCATCCCAAGCCTCATTTTTACTCGTGTCTGGGAAAATGAAGTGATGCTTTACACGGGCAAAGTTTTTTTACATCCTAAGAGCCCAGAATGGGTTACTTTGTGGATAAAATGAGTAAAATCCCAGATAATCCCACAGATAATAGGATCCGTGATATTGGTCGCCTATATCACCACAGATTAGAGGACACATTCTACTGTCCTGTGTTGCAGTTGTGAATGAGACAACTTCCATTCGCAATGTGTCATACAAGCGAAAGAAGAACTGTTTTTTGTGTGATTTGGTTACGTAAAGTGCGAAAGAAGTTCAACATACATAAATATAAAATTATATATCATGACGTTTCAATCACAACACAAGCGGTCGTCCTCAGGTGGAAAAAAAACAATCCAGCAGTGGAACTGCTGAACCAGCGAGAGAGCTGTTACAACAAGAGGTTATTTATGTGGCGATGGGCAAGCAAGCGTGGTCTGAGCTGGAAAGGAATTCCATCCCTGGGCGCAAGCACGTCAGTTGTGTTAATGGGGGAGATTAGGGAGAGAGATTAGGGAGAGAGATTAGCATAAAATGAGCTTCCGTCTCCGCATAAGAGTATCATCCCCGCATATGCGCACAACAGCAGTGTTAATGGGAGATTATCACTATGTTGATGGGAGACATTAGGCAGGGAGATTAGGGGGATTAGTAAGTTAATGTCATGTCTGTGTAACACAAGCTGCGGTGCTACCAACTGCAAGAGCATCCACGCAAGAGAACCACAGCAATGGTGGTCGTGCTGACCTCAGGCCCTAGTGCCATGTGAGCGAATAGCGAAATCGCCCATTCCCCAACAAGACATGAACCCAGTTTTGGAAATCCACTTTCCAAGGGGGCCAGGCCCTTCCCTCCGAGAACTATCCAATTCAAATTTCTACACGGAGCCGACATGACCAACCAGAGAACAGGGCTAGGTTTGGTACAGCCTCATCTCCGGACTGTCTGAGGTGCCCCCCGTGTGTAGTACACGATTACGAACATGCTTTCCGGTCATGTACAACTATAGCTTACGTCTACGAACAAATAATGATGAGATTTACAATACACGTGTAAACATAAGTGTGGAAACTACACAGCAGGGTCTGAGATAAGTGGGACTGACTCCAGATCAGAACTTTTTGTTAAGGACTTTCAATATAGTGGGCAGGAAAACCATATTGAGTACGTGGAAGTATCACGAACCCCCCCTGCCCTTCCCATACTCAATGGCTGAATTAATTCAGCCCAATCTCAGCGCTGCAGCAGTCCTGAGCCTATAAGCTCGTAGACAAGGAAGAAGAATACACACGACACATGGGGTCCATTCCTAAATATTACACAAGTCTTAAATACCTTAGCCCAGAACTGCAATGACCTGCCCCCCCCTCCCCCCCACCTGCTCTGATGAGTCCGATGTACCTGATACCTTCGATGCCTCTGGTAACATCGTCCAGAACTTCAGGATGTTGCAATGTATTAGGTAAGGGAAGATGTGGAATAAAACATTTAACATAAAAAAAGTAAAGCAACAAGTAACTAAGATGATAGGGTGCCTTACAAAAATAGTCGCGTGGAGGTCGGAGCTATAACAGAAGATTGGACAGGCCCTGACAAAGCCATGGAGGGATGACATCATGCACGGGCTGAAAAACAGTGTCTGCAGGGCGTACAGGATTGCTTGTGCAATGGTAGTGATACAATTACAAGTCAACAGGGAAGAAACTGCATTAATGCGGTCAGTGTCTCTTTCCCAATATTGAATTGGCTTTAAGACTGAATCTGCTCAGGCATCATAGGTGGTTATTCATTTTTGTACCGTGCAATCCAACAGCAGTTGTTAAATGGGCAACTGCTGTTGATGAGAGAAAAAGAAACCAGGTCACGTTTTGTTTGCTTAAGTAAGCAAATAACAGTGCTGGAAAACATTTGTTCGGAAAGCCCATTGGTTGGTGAATCACAATGTTATTTTGAACAATACAAATATTTCCCATGTTTATTTCAACATTGTAAAAGGTAATATACAATATAGTTTGTCAATAGTGTGTATAAAACATATGAAATGCTGCCGTGGTGGAAGGGTGAGAGAGTGAACTGTGCAAGAGGTCGCCAGCTCGGCTGTTCAAATGTAGGACACGTTTCTTTAACCCCCCCCCACCTCTGTCCACGCAGCAATATTATTCGGTTCACCGTAGTTGCTCGACCAACAGGTCACGTGTGGTTGAGTAAAGTGCGGGAACTCGCCACCTTTCCACTACTTCTGGCCAACATGGAAGAGGAGGCCAAATACCCTCTTGAGCTCCCTCTAAGTGGAGAGCTGCACTTATACTTCTGTTAAAACGCATAAATGCCAATACATTTCGAGATGTCATTACAAGTTGTGTTTGGTGCTTGTATTGAATAGTATATATGTTTCTTTACCAGACAAGTAGTTGCATATTAAAGAATACTGAGAGGTTCTTGAATAATCTGTCTGTGAAGTGTTTCAACCATCTCACTTTGTTTCGTTGTCTTTCTATTTCACAGCAATCCTTTAAAGATGATGATGGCAGTCAAATGACTCTGGCTTGGGTTGGAAACAAGTCTGGGGTAAGATGCATGTTTACCAATTGCCTATTTTTTTATCTCTACCTAATCCACGATGTTTTTAATCTAGTATAATATTTTGGGTAAAATTACGACATGGATAATCAACGTTTTTGGGTTTAGATCGCGTTATTTATAAATGTGTCGTAACCCTCCACCACCCGACACGGCCAATCAGTAAAAAAAGTGTCACGTTGACAAAAGACAATTAGTTCACTGCTTTAGCCCACCGGTGTGTTGAAGCGTGAAACCACAACAATTTACAATTTGAGTACGACGTTTCGCTGGTAATTGCATCCAGCATCATCGGGCAATTCGCCAGAATGGGGGTCGCGAAAGCCTACGTGTTAAACTTATCACATGGAGCTGAACTTGAAAATAGTTGTGACTCTAGAACATTGCGTCTTGAGTGTGCTTTCAATGAGTGTGCTTTTCATGCGTGCGTAGGCAATCGATTAGCACGGTTGGCTATGTACGGTGCAAAAGAAGTTCTACATACAGGCATACATATGTACGTCAGGCCAGAAGCAGGAATTCACCGTCGTGCATTTGTATGAAAACTTTCAAATAAAATGAACAATGACCTCTAAAAATAATAGCTCTTCTCTTATAGTATGTAGTCCTTGGGTTTTGAGCTGTCTAACATGAGTTTACATTTTTAGATGTATGTATGGATGTTTAACTTATTTCGTACCGGCACTTCACCAAAGAAACCGCTAGTGCACATGCTGATGGTGACAGTTCAGAGTTCTGAGATGGATTTGTGGAGTTGGCAGAAATGATCAGTTTAACACGTAGGCTTTCACGACCAATATTATTCATAATAAACGTTTTTAGGTTAGATCGCGTTATTTATAAATGTGTCATAACCCTCCACCACCTGACACGGCCAATCAGCAAAAAAGTGTCACGTTGACAAAATAGAAATAGTTCACTACTTTAGCCCACCGGTGTGTTGAAGAGTGAAACCACAACAATTACAATTTTTGAGTGCGACGTTTCGCTGGTAATTGCATCCAGCATCATCGGGCAATTCACCAGAATGGTGAGGCTCTGCTCTTGCTCCCGGTCTTAAATAGAGCAGCAGCAGCAGCAGGGTGACGTAATAATTTAACTTATCATTGCACCTGTTGTCTTTTGTCAACGTGACACTTTTTTGCTGATTGGCCGTGTCGGCAGAGGTCGCAAACAGGTCTTTATTCCTTACCCGTACCCGTACCCGGCCGCACCAGGGTTGCAAATGGGTACCCATACCTGGCCTACCTTCCGTACCCGTACCGGCAGCCAGGGTCGCAAATGGCTACCCGTACCCGTACCCGGCCGGGTACGGGTAGCCGGGTATCGGGTAGGGTACGGGTATCGGGTACCCGGTTGCGACCTCTGCGTGTCGGGTGGTGGAGGGTTACGACACATTTATAAATAACGCGATCTAACCCAAAAACGTTTATCATGAATGGCAGAAATGATCTTGTGAAAAATGAAGAAGTACAATGACGAGTTAAGGTAGAGTCGATAGAGGAGAAATTGAGTGAGAATCGACTGAGATGGTTTGTACGTGTGGCCAGAAGGTCAGAAGACTAAATTGAAAAGAAAGTTCAAAAGGTCAGAATACAACATTGCAAAGAAAGTCCACGCAAAGACCTTGAAAGAAAAGGGAAATTTGAGGGAGACCGAAGAGAGAGAATACTTGGAAAGAAGATTTAAATTTGTGGGACAAAAAGCTCGGCAGAAGTGACTGGCATTAACATATTTTGTTCTCGGGAATCACACTCTAGACTCGTGAGACAGCTGAGGTATGTGTGCAGAAGATAAGAGATAGTGGCTGCCATGTTTAGTGTGGCCAGGGAATGCATGTAAAAGATAATATCTGCACTATTTATTTATTGGGTTAGTTTAAGTTAGATATATCTTACACATTTTAAACTTTAACCTGTCATCGAACTGTTCCGTCTGCTCCGTGATTGTGTGACCTACATGTTCACATGGGGTTCTATGTCTTACAGACAGTCTGCTGTAGTTCCCAGTAGAGGTTGTTGTTGCTATGTGTAATTTTAAATTTTGGCAAATTTGGACCATAACGCTGGCAAACAATGGCCTACTGTCTTCGAATGAGTCCCTCTGTAAATCTTGAATGTCCATTGTGAAGTAGCGGGCATGTGTATATTTATGGATTAATAAATACCCGCATTATTAACAGTGTGGCCTGCCAGATTCAATCCACGAACCTCTGCTATAGGTGATAAACGCACTATTGTTGGGCCATGTCACCGACCACTTACATTCGATCATGTGCAGAGTACCAACTGTGACATATACGTGTGCAAAGAAGAATGGAAATATACGTGCCCGTAATTAAACTCATAATGTGAAGAACTCAAATTTTGGGAACAAACACAATTCAGAGACTTGCCGATTTGGGCAGGACACATCTCACGAATAGAAGATGCCCAAAGGACGAGAATAGCGAAAGATTGGCAGCTCAAGAAGAGATTTCAACCCCCAAGAACAAATCGCCGCAGAGCACTGAGATTAAGCAATCGTGTACAGGAGTAAGCGGTCATGTATCATGGGGAGGGGGGGGGGGACAGTCTTCTTCCGTATGGCTGCTGATGTAGATGCAGAGCGACAACTGCAATATCCGCGTCAGAAGCAGCGGATTGTATCAGCTGTATCGTTTGTGTTTGTGGATTGGGTATTGCATCGTAAATATGTTGTGCGGTCCATTCTGGATGACCACAGTCGCACAGTGAGGGATAGAGATGGTGTGTGGAGCCTTTCATCTAGCAGTGAATGTGACACACATGATGATGATGTTAATGATGTCAGCAATAAAAACATTCTTATTTTAAAATGTTGCATTCTCCTTATTTTAAAATGCTCCCCAAACTTGTTCTTCGTGTATATAAAGTTATATAAATATGGCCACGAGCTTACACACACACTGGATCACAAGATGCACTCCGAACCTCTTCTGTATAATACAAGGGGAGAAAAGTGTGTTTATAATCCCGTGTTGCCTTCCCATTTCCTTAGGTTGTGTTGGCATTAACAGCAAGAGACTTCAATGTGCCATTCTTGCAGCTGTTGTTTGATCGAAGCAAACTCTACATAAGGTATTTATAGAACCAAAACACACACTTGAGCTTGGATAATCATCACGTCTGTGTTGCTGTTGTAAGCTGAGGATATTAATGATTCATAATTTTATACATTTGGTACTTGCGCCATTCTTATAGCGCAGGACTATTGCCAAGGCGCTATGTTTCGCAGACTGATGTAGTTCACCGGTAGGGGGCGATGCTGCTACGTGCGATTCCAAATGAGTAACACGCCGATCATATTTTTTAATTCGGACCACGATGCCAGCACACAGTGGTCAAATCAATTTGAATGACATTTTTAACATCAAACATAGCAGTGAAAAACCTCTCCTGAAAAAAATCTGGAGGCTCGGTGAAATTTTCCTGGATAACAAATGAATTAAATTTCTAAATATATTATGAACAAATTATTAATGAAAACTACTTTTTACTGATTGTATGTTCTGAGTCCAGGGTTGGAGCTCTGAGAGGGGGCCCCTCTATAGTGGAAGCCCTTGTACCAGCGGTGGTTCGAGCAAGTAGTTGCAGGACTGCACCTTTATTACCTTTTACAAGCTGAGCCATATATATAGATACTCCACTGATTTCTAATGACCCGCTTTTTTCCCTCAATGGGGGATTGAATATTGTTAAAGTGATGGCTTGATATCTTCTAGAGCAGAGAGTGTTAAAATATTGAAGTTCGAGTAGTGAAATTGGTGGCAGACTTTAAAATACATTGTTGTTTTCAGCGTAATTTCTCCCTATACTTAAAGTGGGTTACACTTAAATGGATCACCAAGTATATTTAGGAAACTCATATAAAAATGTATTCCCCAGTTATTTAAATACATTCACAAGTACTGTCATTAATTCCATCTTACTCGTTATTAAAAGCTGAAATTCAGTAGGCTCTTCGTTATCCACGTGCGGATTATCCGATTTGCTAATTAACCGCGCACCTGAGATTTTAACATAAATTTAAAATGAATGTATTTTCCTTTATGGCCAAATTAATGATCTAAAAACAGTAATACATTGTTTTTCTTGTACAAGTGTATTACAAGTCACATTCTTATATCGAACAAATATGAGCTCCGGTTAATCGTAAATCCAGGTGATCGCCTCTACAGTACAGTGGTTGCATATCTTTACAACATTGGGTGGATTTTGATTTTGATTGGCGTGGCTCTGCTGCTATCCACTTAGTGGGCAGTCTCCTGCGCGGGAGCAGGAAAGTGTTATCACTGAGCACGCCCATCGATTGGTTGATCGTTAGTATTCGTTCTAAATCGAAAAACAATCAAAATTGATTATCCGTGGTCATTCTCCCCGTCATTAGCATGGATAATCGAGAGTCTACTGTATTTCATTGCCTGGACTTCCATGTATAATAGAAAACAGGACCTACGCTTCTTGGTAGAATCAGTTGTGCAACTGAAACAATACAAATACAAGAGCCTGACTTTCATGATGGTGATGCAGTCTCAACGGTTATTGTTTGAGATGCCACAGTGGAAAGATGTTAACTACCTTTCCTAGTATACAGAAGGTAGTGCGTTCCATCCCGAACCTCTCCGTGGTCACGTACATTTTTCTCCAGGTCCTCCGGTTTTTCCTTCCACATTTAGAAACATGTGTTTGGAGTATCTGGTTGCTAGATATTTCCACATGATAAGCCACTTCGTTCAGCTATCATTTATGGCCAGGTCGCTTCTGAAAAGAGCTATATAGCTCAGTGGGCCGTACCTTGGTAAAATAAAAATAGTGGAGTTTTAGTTGAGTTTGACAGTGTGATTTGATTTACTGATTATTGCGTTGATGTTGCAGTACGGATTATGGCAAAACTTACAAGGACATCACGGGAGAGATAGGAAATGGCATGATCAGAAATGATCACTCCATCATCTCTCATCCACTGAATCCACAACGGGTAAGTGCTGTATTAGCCCAAAGGTGAGCACACTCACAAATTAATCAAGCGGGATGGTTAGGTATGCGAAGACACCTACCTGAGAGAGATTCAGTCGCTCTACCACTCTGTAGCTTCTCACGGTTGTGTTGAGGAGCTGGCGACGACTCGCTCAGAGACGGAGGTGAGGTTAAGGGCTTTCGCCGTTTATCAAGGGCTACACAAGACATGGGAAGGGGTGAACCACTTCCCAGGGGTTAGAGGTCCCACTGGGTCCCAACACAGCTGGTTGCCCTGTGCTGTCTCCTCTGCACCGGCCGTGGGATCATCTAACACGGCCGACCGAGGAGCACAGCCACGTCCAGCCCTGGCTCCCCGTTTCACCCTCTCTCGACCCTTGACTCCAGCTCCGACCCCACTTACGTCACTGGGTCCCCCCTTTATCCACGAGGAGCTGTGTCGCACTGTCCAGTGCGCATGACCCCATGTCCCGTGACGCCATCGCGCCGGACAGCGCACATGACGCCACTACTGTCTTCTACTCCTCTACAGTTGTGTGTGTGTGTCGCTCCCCGATGTGTTGGCTTGTTGCACCATGCGTTGTTCGGCACAATGTCCGACGTTTCACTCCACAGTGCTTGGGAGCTTTTTCAGCAACCAACATTCAGTTCCGCTCGTTATGCACTTGAACACTGCCACTGTAGCTATACATTAAGCAGTCCCCCTTAGAATACAGTATAATGTCGCATATCCAACTCGCTAGTCACCGACGTTATTAGAAACATATGTGAAAGGTGTGTGGATATGTGTAGAAAATTATAATGACACCCTGCACGATTCGTTTTCTGGACAAAAAGTGTAAACTGCTTAACTTGACGAAATGCTTGAATGTACTTTTAGAAGTGAATGAATGTAATATTTTAACAATATCAGTACCCTAAGTGAAAAGGTCAGAATTAGGAACATCTATAGAAAACGACATGCACAAAAAGCTGCACTGTGTGGGGGCAGCTAATTGATTAGGGCTGACATACGGCAATAGGATGTGCGGCTGTGTACAGAGATTTGCTCATTATAATTGGTGTCGATTGACACTGTCTCTTTTCCTCCACGGCCCCCTCTGAATATACAGGTTGTGCTGCTGACGGAAAAGTTGGGGCACGTCATCCTCTACTTCCTGGTGACCTCCAACGACGGAGGTTTGAACTTTGAGGTCAAGCCTATACCGTTCGCTCCAATGACCAAGTTCTCGTTCCATCCGATAAACCCCGACGTTCTCGTGTGCATCAGCCTCAACGTAAGAACCTTCATGTGACCGATGTTATCGGATGCAATAGCCGAGTTTTTCGCGGTTGCCGCTGCTGTGTTTTCGTGTTGGACCACGCATTATCTCACGTGATGTCCGATGTTCCGCTCCGTGTACTGCAAGTGCAGCTAAAGTTGAGTAAGTGAGTCGATGTCCTGAAGAAGCTCCTCCAGCAAATGGAGAAAAATATCAGACATCGTGCCGAACAAAACGTGTGGTACAACCCGAAAATGCATGGGGCGTGCTGTGTGATTTGTTAATGGCTCTTGCATTCAGTCAGGTTTGGACACTTCATTTTGAAAGTTTTGCTCAAATAATGATCACTGAATTTATGTCCGTCGTACCAATTGTGCCATGAGTTTTGGCCAGGTTGTGGAGGTGCGCTTGCATGCAATTCAGCACCTTTGAGGTTGTGGTGCGCTGATCCTGTAGAGCTGGGTCGGGGAACCTTTTTTCTGCCAAGGGCCATTTAGATATTTATAACATCATTCGCGGGCCATGCAAAATTTAATTTATGTTGCTATGAAAAAAGCGCCTAAATTTATTGAATTTCGAGTCATGCGGTTGCCTTGGCAGGGCCAGACCAAATGATTTCTCGGGCCTTGTATGGCCTGCGGGCCGGACGTTCTCCACCCCTGCTGTAGAGGCTTCAGGAATTGCATACGTGGGACGCAAACAATTGCATAACCCGAAACCTGTACAGCAAATAACACTTGGCGCATTCATCAATATGAATACCTTATAAAGAAATACGTAGAAATAGTTGATATTTCAGCCAATGGTCCTTCATCAAAGAAGAGAGTTTGTCCGATGAATGTGTTTGTATATTTGGAGTTTGCATAGATTTTTCTCAGGGTTCTCCGTTTTTTCCGTCCACGTTAAGAATCAACATGCTTTAGAGTATTTGGGTGAAAGAAATGTCCACATTACAAGCCACGTCGTTGAGCTATTGGTGACCAGGTCGCTTCTGAAAATTAGCTTTCTAGCTTAGTGGGCCATACCTGCTCAAATAAAAATAGTTTAGTTTAATAAGTGTAGTTTATAGTTTGAGTTTATTTTTGCATAATTTGTGCTTGTACACCACTGCCAACCATGCAGCAGCAGAATCACCAAATGGTTTGTACAGCCGGTAGATCCGTTCTCTTGTCAAAACTTTCCCTCGTACATTGTCCACTGTGGTTGACTGCTGTGATTTGGTGGCTTTTCGGCCACGGTGACACGAGCCTCAAATTTTTGTGAATGCAGTCCTCATAGGATGCCATCTATGTATGTGTCGTGGACTCAAACGGAGACTCAGACGTACTGTTTGGTGACAACACATTTATGAATACCAACACACTAACACAAAGGGGTGACTGCCCCTTCACCAGATAATAACCTATGGTGGTGGTCCACCAGGCTAACGACGCTAACTACACTGGGAGTTAGCTACCACGGACGGGACCCCAGCTTGGGTCTGGGTCCCCGTGTTAGTGACTTGTCTTCCGACATAGTTCGTAGACGTAGAGTCTTGAGGATCACAACAGCAGCCGGTCCCACTGGGAGGACCGGCTTATAGCCTCCGTGGCGGCGCTCGCTCCGCCCCTAGCCACGACCCCCTTCTCGAACCCTTGAGGAGGATCTCCAACTTGACACGTGCTCCCCCCAGCCCCCCTTTGGGGGTGCCCAGGTCAACCAGAGTGCCATTGCCCCTTAAAACCCCGTTTCGGGGCCGGCACCCCCGCACTCCATCCTGTAGGGATGGCACTGCACGCAGCGCGTGGTGCCATTGGTTGCTGTCGGTCAGTGCTCCTCGAGCCCCGCTCGGGCCGGTACTGCATCCACCTTCTGTGGTGTCTGCGGTGTCGATACATCGCGCGCCGTGCCTCTCCCAGGCCGGCTTCACACAGTGACATGCAACGATGTCACTACATATGCATGTTGAACCGCACCGCACGCAGCCCACCGTGCTTGTAGGAGGTGGGGTGGAAGGACAACAAACTGAACACAAAAATCAGTTATAGCTCCCAGTAGCTTCCTAATATCGGAAGAGCATTCTAGACGGCTACAGAAGCGCATAAAAAGTGCACGATGCGGTGACAATCTTTGTTCGATGGTTAGCCAGAAGCTGACGTGAGGATGACTGGAGTTTACGCGTTGCTTTATGCTTCGTGACGAGATTATCAAGGTATTGCGGTTAATTTGTGGCAAGCATTTTGTACTGAGTGCGACCTATTTTCAGAGAGAAGTGTGCCGACTATGCTTTCGAAATTGAATCGAGCTGAGCGTGGCCTTCACAGTGCAGGCAGCTGGTGGAATTTAGCGTTCACTTTAATGGACGTACTTACAGTCTTGTGAATAAATTACGTGAAACGCTTTCAACACATTTTGAGATGGTGTTTTTTTTTTACTAAAGTCGCATTAAAATAAAGAAACCCAGTTTAAAATTAGTAGGTATTTGTGCGTGTATGTGAGTGACCAGATTTGTATAACTTTATCGACCAATGGGCACGAGTTTTGGGTGGATTTTACTTTCGGGAGCATCTTATAACTTGGAGAATACAGTAATCGTTGTGAACAATAACATTTGTTTATTTTTTAGGCTTCGCTCTTCATCACGAAAGACTTTGGGATTACCTGGCGTTTAATTTATAACCATGTCATCACATATAAATGGTGAGCCTCGGTTCTGAATAAGCACAAGCATTACAAAATACATTTGTCGTGTTTAAAGTGAAAATTAAACTCTTGAATCAAAATATTTTTTTTTGCCAGGATCAGTGGCATACAGCTCCATTTCAACAGATTAGGTTTTAGGCCACTTCACCTCATTTATCTTGGTAATGTTAACAATAAAATCCCCTGGTATTTCCAGTGACTTCAGATAACGATGTAAAAACATACATTTGAGAAAAAAACATTAAAGTGAGCCACTGTAAATAATGTAAACCATATTCGGCTCCCGAATGAGAATTGTCTTTGAGTTTGGGTGCCTTAAATTAAATGAATCCATTTGATAACACTTGACAGTATTTGTAACACTTGAAAGAGTTTGCGCATTCGCGTTTTATGTCCGGCTTTAACATTGGTTCACGATAACCCTCGTATAAAGATGACCCAGTACGAACTGAACGTCAATATTAAGTTGACTTGCTTTTTCGGGACATGCCCTATGAAATCGATGGGCAAATTTATGAAAGAGTTACCCATAACCAGTGCCAAAAGAACCCACCTTGTTTTGTACTGACCATGTGGCCGATGCACGCAAGCCCTCTACAACGGAGCCGCTATTTGAGCTCCGTGGTCTCAATGTGGTCTGCAGGCAATAATTCTCAAGAGAGATAAAATATGAACGGAACTTTAGTATACGGCTGTGTTGCTATGAGAGGCCTACTTTATAGAAAACCGGTAAAAAAAGTAAAAAATTGTTGTCCTGTTGGCTTATCTCGGCCTATGGACATACTGCCTCCTGCACACCTGGTGCAACTGCTTCCATTATCCCTGATTCAATACTCACAACGACATGCTACAAATTGTTACAAAAACAATGGCTAACCGTGGCTCTTGTTATTTGTGTTTTTCGCGTATTGTAAAAGTGTGGTCCGTAATGCAAAGCACAGTTGTCATCGCATTTAGTTTGCTATTCTTCTGGGTGAATGGACAATTTAAACTTTTACGGTAACATCTTGATGGCTATTTTGAAAGCTTACAGATTTTATGTTTTATATTTGCATAAGTGTTGCACGCGTGATTGTGCGTGCAATTTCAATTGATGCTCTTGTTCAGATTACAGTACATGGCGTGTGTCATGCGTGTGAATAATTAATGTCCTAATCTTATAAATCTAATAATTTTCATTCCACTGGAGTTTCTGTATGTGCTGCAAGGTCAAGACAAAGGCTGTCTGTGACGGTAGTGTTTTGAATTGAGATGCAAGTCAACGATTGCACCTATTTACATTAACAGGGCAGAGGATGGATCACTCTACCTTACATCGACGGGTGGCGACGGTCCACAATGTATGTGTGCCTTTTTTTAAACGCGTTACACGGTCATTCGCATGCTCACAATAATATGCAGAGAGTAAATAACACGTTCGTGATCATAGCATCGGTCCCACTGCTACTACAATGTTCAAAGGGTGATCCAATTTTATAGATGCCCCAACAAGTGTTTTGAAAGCGACGGTCCTTGTATCTCGAAGGAGAGTTACATGAGTTCACAAGTGAGATTGGTGGAAGATAAGTCGAGGCTTTGACATAAAATATTTGTTCCCATTTAGTGGTGGTATCGCTAAATGGATCACACTGCGTATTTGCCAATATAGACACCCACTATACAAATGCTGAAAAGAATTACCAAATATTTATATTGCAAAAGTGGTACTTCAGAATGAACATGTTAAACATTTTGGTGCAAGATTTCGTATTAATGTGGATCTTTAAGTATCGATTTACGATACACTGCCGCATGAGGGCCTTCCCACGCTGCAGAGCGTGCGGTTTGTTTGGTCATTTGTTTGGTAATCCTGGTAGGAACCTCCTGGTTACACCTGCCCACAGGGGATTATTGTGTCCGTCGTGCACCAAGCTCTCAAGGTGTATGGATATTGTGACTACACAATCCGCAAAGCTATCACCCCAACCGTGAGGAAGGAGCCATCTGAGGATCCAATCAAAAACATCACCTTGCCATACATAGCAGGGGTTACCAAAAATATTTCCAAAATCATGAACAAACACAAAATCCAGGTCAGATTTAACACAGTACATAAAATTCGTGATCTGATCCCATCTGTTAAGGACAAGATTCCTGACATGCAATATCCCGGCGCCTACAAACTAAGCTGTATCTGCGGCGGCAGTTACATTGGGGAAACTAAGCGACATGTCTCGGACCGTGTTCGTGAGCATAAGGCAAATTTGAAACACGGTGCGACCAGTACTTCTGCCGTGGCTGATCATTATTTTAATGCAGCTGGCTCACACGAAATTGATTTCTCTAAGACGATGATATTTGCAAGCCCACTGGCTATCAACAACGATTCGTTCATAAAGCCATCCATTTCTACAGATACAGACAATTTCAACCGAGAGGATGGGTACAAACTCTCGGCAATCATTGGAAAGATGTCATCAACCACTTTGGGTCATGACATGATTTGTGTTTTTTCTTGTTAAGGGAACACAGGTCAAGTCATGACTTGATTTGTGTTTTCCTGTTACCTTACCCCAGGGCACATATACCCTGCCCACTTCGTTCTGACACCCTTTGGCACGTTGTTTCCTCCTGAAGACGATCGCTTGTGTTGTGATCGAAACGTCTTGGTTTTTTTCTTCTTGGTTCTTTCGGTAAAGTCACGTAGAAGGGAAGTAATAAAATAATACAAATAAAACATAATAAAATAATTCTCACGACGTTTAGGCCACAACGCAAGCAGCCGTCCTCAGGTGAAGAATGAAACCCCACCAAGCTTGGAGCGTATATTTAAGCTGGGTTGGAGGGGGGAAGAAGAGCGCCTTGACAAATATACGCTCCAAGCTTGGTGGTGTTTCATTCTTCACCTGACGACGGCTGCTTGCGTTGTGGCCGAAACGTCGTGAGAATTATTGTATTATGTTTTATTTTTATTATTTTATTACTTCCCTTCTACGTGACTTTACCGAAAGAACCAAGAAGATGAATCCCTGCAGTCACGAAAGCTTTAAATCGAAAAGTCTTGGTTTTTGTTTTATTTTTATTCACTTTATTTGTATTATTTTTCTATCTATGTGACTTTACCGAAAGAACCAAAGAATATGATTTATTGCAGTCACGAAAGTTTTAAGTAAAAATTAAGGTAGTGTTCTTAACAAATGTGAGTTTTTTTTTATTGTATGTGCTTGTGCACCTCTAACGATGCTGCAGGAGCAGCATCACCTCCAAGATAATGTGTTGATTATTGTAATAGTATTTGTAAATTGATTGTTTCTGATCAAGATGTTTGTAATATTTGATTGGCAGACAACAAACAGTGGCTGCGACTGCAGAAGTCCATCAATTATGGAGATACGTTCTTGGTAATGGCCAGTGGAATTCAAGAGTTTGGAGTGGCCGGTCACTTCATGTACGCGAGTGTGCTTTATCAAAATGTGAGTGTCAAGGAAGTTTATAATTTAACAAGATATATCAATCTTAATCACTCGACAGGTCATTGTAATGGACACCTTTGTATGTATGTTGAACTTGTTTCGCACCGTACATAGCCAACCGTGCTGATCGGAGATATCCTTCAAAGACCTTGGGCTGCTGCAATACGGCCATACGACGATCTGATATTCACAATAGTCACATCGTCCATTTTCATCCGTAACTATATATCGTGATCTTGGTTCTTTCGGTAAAGTCACGTAGAAGGGAAATAATCAAATAATAAAAATAAAACATAATAAAATAATTCCTCACGACGTTTCGGCCACAACGCAAGCAGCCGTCCTCAAGTGAAGACCTGGTCTTCACCGTCGTGAGAATTATTTTATTATCTTTTTTATTATTTTATTATTTCCCTTCTATGTGACTTTACCGAAAGAACCAAGAAGATGAATCCCTGCAGTCACGAAAGCTTTAAATCGAAATATATATCGTGATTATAATTGTCATGAATAGATTTTTTTTAACGTTTTATTTCTTGACAACTTAGTTATCTAATGACAATATGAATACTGAAAGTTATATATTAATTGCTATTATCCATTCGAGTAATGCTCTGTCTGTAAAATGTTTTCCGTCGTAGTTTACAGCATGGATATTATATGAAGTCGTAATTTTCCTAGTTCATTTAATTATCTTAGTGTAACTGACAGCATGTAATACAAAAATGGCTATGGGTAGTCCTTAAGTTTAGCGAACTACAATTCAACAACTTTTAACTAATCTTTATTTGGACTGGAAGTTCAGAAAAGCACAAAAATAGTACATGAACCATGCGAAATACACAGTTTTAACAAATATTAGAAACTGATTTCTCAATGATTGTCATTTCGTGACATGTGCAAGTGTATTGTATCATGCAAAATAATATCATGGCAGCCCTATAAAGACCTAATACCAGATGTGATATTTTAACAGCACACCTTGATGGTCATGTGTTGACTGGAAGATTTGCAGGATATGTCAGAAGGAGGCAAGCTGGTGAGGCCTGGTGGTATCAAGAGCATTGCAAATGATGACCTCTGATTTTTGTCATTGCAGGCCAGACTAGCTTTGCACATCTCCATCGATGGAGGCAAAAACTGGAACATAGCCCAGCTGGCGCCCTCCAACGTGTCACGGGTGAGTGAGCACACAGCCAGCCGCTCTCTACTTATTTGCGTGAAGAAAAAGATTTTAAAAATGTTCTTCTTAGATCGGATGCATTCAATCTGATTTTGTCAGAGGCATAAGGTTTATATTACGGCTCTCATATATCTTGGTGACAGGATTACCTTGTGGACCAAATAACAGTCTCAAAAACTCTTTTTGTTTACATTTGACTCCGTGGCTTTTACCGGGCGAGTGTTTACACAATGTCTGGGGTTCAAATTCATCATCGGCCCAGTACTGACCAAAGCATGCAACAAATACAAACTACAGCCCCTTTGTCATTCTACTGCCGGATGAAGGCCTCCCCTTGCTGTGCGGGGAATCTTCTGGATGAAATGCCCCATACGAATGTTAATTATTATTGAGGGTTAATTGACCATACTTCACCATCGCGGTCAGTGCACGTTTGAAGGCGAGGGTGGCAGAGTGCAGAATAACGATATATTCTGTTGCGTTGCACTCCACTGCCCACAGCGCCCATCACGCCTGTGGTTTTTTTTGCATGGTGTTTTTCCATTAAAATACTATCCAAGCCCAAATTCCTGCTTAGCTTTCGCGGTCTGATGGTATCGAGAGCAGTACGGTGGATTTGGCTGTCTGTAGTTGTTTGTCCACCTATTATTTAATACAGGAATGCACTCTTTTAAACTGTGACCCTATAACTTTGGGCCTCCTACGTCTCCCTTTGCCAAATGAGGATGATCACATTGAGCTCGCTCGTTATGATCAGTGTGGTATTAGAGACAGCCCTTTGTCAATTAACTGCAAGATTAAGTCCTCCCCATGTGTCGACAATGGCGGTTATTTGACCATTCTTCATCACGTTGGTCAGTGTGGCTCGGTGAATCTTGGGGGTGGAAGGGGGGGGAATGTCCCAGGACCTGTTTGATATCGCTCATCACTGATGTCAGCGGCGACCTCGGACTCAAACTCAGGTCGCGGGTTGATATTGAACTGTGGTAACCATGGCTGCGCATCCATAAATACAGTAGTGTCTTTTTTTAATTTGAAATATTATAGAAAGTCCATGCCTGCATTTTGCTTGTGTGTTTCACTTTCAGATATATGCCGTGCTGTGGTATGATGAAGACATGTTGTTTATGCATGTTGATGACCCAGAAGGTAGGATATTGTTCACCACTGCATGTGTTACAAAATACTCATCCGTATCTTACCTACCCTGAATACAAACTGCATTTGGTAATATATATAATGATATTTCAGCTTGTGATGTAGCTTGGCAATCACAACATTCAACACACAAGCGTCACTTGAACTTTAATATCTTCTAAATGTTATTACAGGGCTCCGCCGAGTCGAGGCCTTTGCGCTAGCAGTGGCGTGAGCAATCAATTTCAGTGCTGCACCAAGCTGCTGTTTATGACAACAGCAGCTTTGGTACAATTACATGAGAGCCCATTTCTAAACGCCCCTGTATTGTCCTTGTAATTCAGTTAGTGTAGAATAGAATTAGCCCGCTTACTATTTTATTACACTCGTTGAGAGGCAAAATAAATTGTCGGACGGGTGATGAAAAGTATTTAGTGAGAATGCTATTTAATGCTCTACTTTCGTACCACATGCTTATTTTATCAACCGACATTAACGTTTCAAGTTTATTTTTGCTAAACCCAGTAATATCTCAAAACATCTGGTGGCGTGGTGGGATGCAATGGTGGCGAGATGTTAACTATCTCGCCTGGTGTTCAGGAAGTCGTGGGTTTGATCCCGACCCTGACGCCTGTATATTTTTAATTTGCACGTTTTCCCTGTGGTTGTGTGGATTTCGTTTTGAGTCCTCCGGTTTTTCTCTCCATATTTAGAATCAACATGGGTTTCAAGTATTTTGCTGCAATACATTTCCACATTATAAGCCACTAATTTAATCTGATCGGCGTATGCTGCTCACGTGGTATCTAAGAATACCTTCACTTTTGATGGATAATGCTGCTCTGGTGTAATGATTAGTATACTTGACCCGGCATGCCAGTTGAAACGGCTACCAAGTTTCTTAAATCTCCCCAACAGTTATAAATGGGCACAGCCACGGTTAGTCAATCGGCATGTCGTGCGTGGTGGGGGTAAGGTGTGAGGCCAGCGTAGAAGAGTAGGCCAAATACCATCGAGGAGCTGTCCAGAACTCTAAGTGCGGAGGCTCTTCTGCCAGCAGTCTCACGAGGAAGACATTGCAGGGCTGCACCTTTTACCAAAGGACAAAGTGCACACCTCTACGAGAGAGAGATACGTCCTCACTGCTACCCCCTTTGGCTGTGCGCAGTGAAGACCTATGGATCCATCTACACGTCGGACAGGCAAGGAATCATCTTCTCCAAGTCGCTCGACAGGCACTTCTTCACCACGTTCTTGTTCAACACCGACTTCACCCCCGTCGCGTCAATGAAGGGCGTCTACATCACCACCCGCATAGCAGAAGGTACGAGACCATTTAGTTTACTTCAAGGCGTTTCTAAAGCGTTTGTGGATTCGTACACGTGTAGAGTAATAGCGCCGGCTAGTGGGACCGCAGCGGCAGCTGGGGGGGACAGACAGTGTACACGTGGGGGAGCGTGTGCATAGAGCTGTTGGCAGAGTGGGGGAACTGAGGCAGGGGTTACAAAGGGCCCCATTTAGGAGGCACCTGGAACCGACTAGAAGGTTCGAGAAGGGAGGATTGTTTAGGGCGGACCCAGGTCGCACTGGGAGGATAAAAGGGGAGCCGAGAGCGTAGCTCACGGCTGTCAGGCATGGGAGTGGGCTCATCTCGTCGTTGCCGTCTTCGCTAGATATTGCACGGCCGGATAAGTTGTAGCTGTCTCGGTCAGTGTCGTCGGTGTTACACAGTTAGAGTTGTCTTCTTGGTTCTTTCGGTAAAGTCACGTAGAAGGAAAATAATAAAATAATAAAAATAAAGCATAATTTCGTTGTTTATTATATTATTATGTTTTATTTTTATTATTTTATTTTCCTTCTACGTGACTTTACCGAAAGAACCAAGAAGATGAATCCCTGCAGTCACGAAAGCTTTAAATCGAAAGTTAGAGTTGTGTTTAGGCTAGGCGATTAAGGAGAGTGTGAGGACGAACCTGTGAAGTGTGGATGTGCTGAATAAAGAAGGTGCCTCCCAGAAACCCTTGTTTCCGGATCGTGACACTACACACGTTTGGCTGTAAAGCGATGGGAAAGCTCGCTTTGCCTTGCAAGACTTGTATTGGTGTCCGTGCATGTTTAGCTCTTGCTGTTTTAATTGCTGCTGCTGCTACGTCCATTCTATTTGCAGACAACAGAGTGCAGTCACGAATCACCTTCAACCGCGGGGGGCAGTGGCAACCTATTTTGAAACCCAAGAACGTGGAATGCAAAGCAGATGTTTTGGTAAGTGTGTCACCTTTTCATTCAACCAGAGCCTGTTGCAGCTGAACCCATTTGAGTGTGCAAATTAGATAGTGGCCGACCCATCTTCATTTCGTTGTCTATGGCGAGGAGTCGATCAGCAGCGTTTACATGTTCGTGTCGAGGTTGGCGAATGAGACGGTGGACGTCTTCAGGAGTAGTCACGTGGTGGATATCTCAAACGCTGCCGGGGAATAAATGGAAGCAGCAGCGGCGTTTACCCCTGTAGTCCACGGTTTGAGATTGGTCACTGCAATTGTACCGTGAGCTACATATACTCAACATTCTTTCGGACCAATGCATCTCCTTTTATACGGTCAGATTCCTCTTTGCTCTTTGTTGGACATTGATGTTCATTCCTGTCATAGCTTTTAAAATCCTTTATATTAAGTTCACGTGCTTGCGTGCTTGCTTGCTTGCTTAGGACCGTGCAAATCTTTCGGTCGTTTTTTAACCCACTTCCCGTGATCCAATCGAGCTGACATTTTCCACACAGACTCGTTGTGCCAGACAATTATTGTTCGTGAAAAAAAATTCCCAAAATTTTACACTTTTTAGGCAAAAAAAATGTATTTTACATATATTCAAATAGAACGCATTCATGGCTTTGGCTGAACGTCAGAGTGTAAGAGCCCAGAGCGTAACCCCTCCACAGGCCGTGGCGGAGTAGCGCAGTTGGTAGCGCCCTTGCTTCCCATGCCAAAGGTCGCGGGATCGATCCCCGCGTCCTCCACAGGCGAAAATATTTTTAAATCCTTTATATTAAGTTCGCTGCCACGCATATAAAGGATTTATAGTGAAAAACTTTGTTTTTACGGGTTTACTTGTTCACTGTCAAATGGCCGTGAAGTTATTGTTGGCAGTTGTGCTAGAATGAGGGCCTATCGCTTGGCATTTTATTGGCTGTGTGTTTGCAGCTAGCATTAGCGTCCTGTGCTAAAGTAAATGTTGGCAGTAAATTAATTGATTATTCACATTTTCGCTAAGATAATCTACATAGTTAACGTTAGGATTTAGCAGTGTACATATTTGTAATATATTTAGAATTCGATAAATGGTATAGGTAAGCAATGTGAATTTAAATCTTGACTTAAAGCTTTCGTGACTGCAGGAATTCATATTCCGTGGGTCTTTCGGTAAAGTCACGTAGATGGTTCAAAGAAAATAACAAAAAACTACGACGTTTCGATGGCAACACAAGCAGTCGTCATCTTTCTTCCTGATGACGATCGCTTGTGTTGTAATCGAAACATCGTAGAATTTTACACGCTTTTATTTAACTCACTTCGTCTGTTGTATCCTCAAAAAAGAAATCTTGTAACTCAATTTTTACACACTTCCCAATATGCTATCGACTGCAAACTTCGTATAGGTATGTCATGCTGATGACAACACGATATTATATCATAAAAAATCCAAAACATATTTTAAACCTTTTTACACGCTTTTATTTAACTTACTGTATGTGTTGTCGTATCCAAAACTCTTGTAACTCAATTTCAACCATATTCCCAATGTCGTATCGACTGACAATTTGGTATAGGTGTGTCATACTGATGACAACACGATATTCTATCATTGAAAAATTTAAAATAAATATTTTTCAACAATATTTTTTACGGCTCTAATTGTCCACGCTCAACTCACGTTGCCTGTAAATCACCACGTGGTCCCTTACGTCACGGCAAGCCACGGGGAGCCACGCCGTGGGGCTGGGATGTGGAAGGAGGGGAGGGGCGATGGGGGAAGGAGGAAGGGGGGAGGGTCAGCTCGGACGGTACATTTAATTAAAACGTGTTTAAAAAAAAAAGTATATTTAAATATTGTATTGTTATTTTATTTGAACCATCTACGTAACTTTACCAAAAGACCCAAAGAAAATGTAAATTTTATCAAGTCGGCAGCAATATTGCAGCAGCCATTCGTCGATGTATGTGGGGAGCTGTGGCGTAGCGTGGTGAAGTATGATTAAACAACCCTATAACCATTGGAACCTCATTTGCCAGTAGAAAAATATGATAATTGTTTTTTTACCCTTTTATCTGGCAACAAAACTGACACCTTTTTTACGAGGAGTCATGTTTGCATAGACCACAATACCTGCAGTCATAATGCAAACAAAACACATAACTCTGATAATGTATGCACTGTCCTTGAAGTTGATTGGTCCACACCCGAGACAGCTTTCCTTAGAGCCTAGTCTCACATGGTGTTGGACCAGATGACGCCAAAACGCGCCTTTTGGCGATTATCAACCATTATAGAATGGGGAGGCCTTCATTCAGAAGTGGACAGACAAAGAGGTTTAAATTATAATGAATTTACTTGATACAGCAATCGTGCTGTGACGATTACATCTGTAGACGGAAGCTTGTGTTGCCTCCGAAACGTCGTGATTTTTATTTAAATTTTTATTTTACTTTTATTAATTTAAATTTTTTACCTACGTGACTTTACCGAAAAAAACCCCAAGAATATGAATCCTTGCAGTCACGAAAGCTTCAAATCTAGAATTATAATTAATTACTTTTATTTAATCCTGCAAAACAGGTCATGCATTTAATGATGTTTACAACGTTTTTTCTCTTTTCCCAGGAGTCAGATTGTGCCCTTCACATCCATGGAAAATACACGATCCTGCAGGACAACAGTGTACCCCAGCTACTGCTCAGTGAGCAAAATGCTATCGGACTCATTATTGCACATGGTGAGAATATGGTCACGCTGTTATCGATACGGTTTAATAATACAAACTGATTATTTGAGTAATCGAAATACCCGTCCGATTACTGTGTCAATTACTCAAATGACACAAACCGTTGCGTAGATTTATTACTTGTGAAGCAACGGCGCCTTTTGCCGTGAAATACACTTTTTACACATCCACATTAAGGGGCTTGCGTCCAAGTCTAAATTAGGGTTTGGTCGGCTTGTGGGTCACTCTTCGCTGCTTTCCAGGAAATGTGGGCGCATCGCTGAATGCGACTGAGCGAGACGTCTACCTATCTGAAGACGGTGGCTACACCTGGAGCCGAGTGCTGCAGGGCCCCCACTACTACAGCATCCTGGACTCAGGAGGGCTCATCGTGGCTGTGCCATTCAGCTATAGCCACACTCCAGGAGTTATTCAGTACGTGCACGTGCGTGCGTGTGTGTGTGTGTGGGGAGCGGTAGTGTAGTGGTTAGCGCACTGCGCTATGGACGTGGCAACCCCAGTTCGATTCCCGCTCACGGCCAAAATCAGTGATGATTATCTGAACCGGTTCTGGGCCTCCCCTAGGTCGACTCAGCCTCAAATAAGTACCTGGTGTGGTGTGTAAACATCGCCACTGGGGAGACAAAGGCGGCCGGGCGTGGTGCTGGCCACCCCACCCCTTCGTGTGCCGTTCTGGCCTTCATAGGTGCTCGCAAACAGCACTTGCTCGAACAGCCTATTACAGGCTATACGGGAGCTCTTTATCTTTGTGTGTGTGAGACGACCGAAATTAGCTCTAGTGTAAGCGGTTAGCGCGCTGTGCTATGTACCCAGCGGCCCTGGAAAGGGCGCTATATAAATCCGAAATAGAATAGAATAGACCCGAGTTCGATTGCTGCTCACGGCCAACACCAGTAACGATTATCTGAACCATTCTTGGGCCTGCCTGAGGTCGACTCGGCCTCAAATGAGTAATTGGTGGGGTGTGTATACATCATTCTAGAGAGACAAAGATGGCCGGGCGTGGTGCTGGTCACCCACCCCCTCGTGTGACATGCCGGTCTTCATAGGTACTCACTAACAGCACTTACCCCAACAGTCTGTTGAGGCTGTACGGGGGAGCACTCCCCCTCCTCCCTCCCATCTCTACTTTTGTTCCTCTTCCCTTGCCTTCGCTTCCCAATATAAAACCCCTACGTTCCCACTGCTCGCAGTCTCTAAGTGAGTGGGGGGGGCAGTGAGTCCAATCTCCCCCCCCCCCTTCCCAGAACCCAGGAGCACTGAGCTCAGAATTTCTGTATGGGCCCCCTCCCTCCCTTGTTTCGGTTCGTGCCTTTTACTGGGTTCTTGTAAAATAAAATTAAAATCCTGCCAGACACAGGGGCAATTAATTATTATTAACGTAAAAATCCGAGTCACTTTCCGTGGAGCAGAGTTGTGAGGCCGAAGTTGTGTATTTGTCATATTAAAATGAAATCAACGTGATAAATGAGAGAGCACGTGGATAACTGAGATGACCAAGCTCATGGGTTTGCTGAATTCCATACAACAGATACATATATAGATTTATAATCGATAGTACACCTACAAACAGCGCTGCTTAGTAATCCCGTGTGACCATATTCCACATGACCACTGGAGCATTACACGACTTGCCTCGTGTTCCCCGAAGAGGTGTTGCACGTGTAGAGTCGTGCTTCGTGATTACAGACTCAGACGGAGACCAGGGTAGAATGTTCAGGGCTGCTTGCCGTTTATTCACACCGACATCCGCACTCCTTCTTCGGTCTCGAGTATCCCCTACTCCCTGACTCTCGCCCTCACTCCTGACCCCCTCGACCTTTGTCCAGGCTACCCCGTACTCATCCACCCCTAGCCTCCTTTGTCTCTCTGGCCCAGGACCCTTTCTCCCTGCTACCTGACTGACTCCCTTTCTCTCTCTCCCCTTCCGGCCAGGTTCCCCTTTTTAAATCCTTTATATTAAGTTCACTTGCTTGCTTGCTTGCGCGCTTACGACCGTGCAAATCTTTCGGTCGTTTTTTAACCCACTTCCCGTGATCCAATCGAGCTAACATTTTGCACACAGACTCGTTGTGCGTGACAATTTATTTTCGTGAAAAAATGTTTCCTAAATTTTCCACTTTTTAGGAAAAATTTTTTTTCATATTTAATTTAAAAAACCAATGTGATAAAAATTAAACTATTACTCAAGAAAAACAGACATGAATAATAAAATAAAACCGATGCCATGCATATAAAGGATTTATAGTGAAAAACTTTGTTTTTACGGGTTAATTTTTTATCCCCTTAGCTCGGGCTCCTCCCTTTTACCTGGAGTCTTTCTACTTACCCTCCTCTCTCTCTCTGCCTTCTGGCACTCCCCTTTTTGCTTGGACCCCTTCCCGCGATTGCCCCTCGTTGGGTCCCCGCAGTACTCCTCTACACACGTGTACCCTACGCGTATGCGTACCACAGGTTGGGAACCACTGATAGGTAAAGCATTCTCTTTTGATTCACATCTTGGCGGAGGGCAATTTAGGCACCGGCTCACCGCCAGTCTGCGGCCCTCCAGCTTGACCTGTGGTTCCTCGGCGATCGTGAGATGCGCAATGTGCATGAACGACGCTGTATACAAACTTCTTAACATTGTTATTACAGTGTTATTTTTGGATGATTGGAGAGCTCTATGCATTTTTGCATGTTCCAATTAGCTCTGAAAAGATTAATATTTTTTTACCCAGGCTTAATTGCCAGCCATCTGGCAGCATTTGACTTGTGTCTTCCGAGTAGAGGATTTGAGTTTTCAGAATTTCTACATTTAAATGTTGATTTCAGACTTTTTTTTTTACTTTTATTACATTTATTACAAACCTGGTATTTGTACCAACACCAAACCCACTTGACATAGGTAATGGACCCCCCCCCCCCCCCCGTGCCTCGTAGCCAACTTAATTGCTTCCTGTTCTGTTTTTGTTTGTTGCTGACAGCTTTTCAACCGAAGCGGGGCAGACTTGGCACGAGTTTCTCTTTTCGCCAGAGAAACTCATGGTCAAGGGGCTTGTGTCAGAGCCAGGTGCCAAGTCCACCCACGTGAGTGTGTGGGGCCACCACTTGCAGATGACCAACCCAGTCCGCGTTGACCTTATCTGGGTCAGCTACACGATCGACTTCGGCATCCTGCTGAAACGAAACTGTAAGGATTCACGCAGCTTCACGTTCGTTTTTCACATTGCAATACAAACTGAAACTTAATCACTGCACATTCAGTCCATGGCTATGTCAGTTGAAATTTAAGTTTTAAGGTTTGTTTAATTACAAAAAAGAATTGTGTTCATAGTTCCATGTATGACCAGCCACAAGAATAGTGCCATAATACATTTTACGTTTGTCTCGAAACTGATTCTTAGATTTGTTATTCATAAGAGGTTTTTCGGTTAGATCGCGTAAATTTAAATGTTTCGTCAAACCAGCCACCACCCGACAGCCAATTAGTAAGGTTTGTCACGGAAACAAAAAATGCGAATTCGTGACTAGTAAATCAGAGTAGTAAACCCACAACATTTCCAATTCAAGTACGACGTTCCGCCGGTAATTGCAACCAGCGTCGGGTTTAACGACATATATATTTACATGATCTAACCCATAAACCTCTGATGGATAATATTGGTCGCGAAAGCCTACGTGTTACGTAATTATTATTTCCGTTGATTTGGTGTAGGTTGTAGCAAACGGACACAATGTGAAATGCAATGTTACGTAGCTTAGAATTTCAATGGCCAGCTTGTACTGGATACATTTTTTTTAAAGAGATTATGTAGCTAGCATTGTTTTGCCTCCTGAGCCAGTTTGCACAGTTAAACGTCTTTCCTGTAGCCGCGTGGTAATTTCTGTAGGGCGAGAGTAACAAAGTGCACCATATTTCACTGGTACCGAGGATTGTGACAACACTGACATCTTTTTTTAATAATAGTCCATTACGCATTTGTCCTTCCCCCGCACCTCCGAATAGTTTGGTTGGTTATGTAAGGCGCGAAAGAAGTTCAACATACATCCACACCTATCATCGTTACCAAATTATTTCCAATTTTTTGGCACGGTGATATTCCGGATTTCCTGTTTTGTATTTTGTAAGCCACTTTGAGATATTGTGATATACAAGTGCTTAACCCTATATTGAACTGAACTTCTTTCGCACCGGACGTAGCCCACCGAATGGCTTTTATATTGCAGGTGCGTACCTAGGTTGTGTGTTCCAGACTGTCTATTTTTCTAACTGTTTGTTTTAAAACCACACTTTCATTGTCAGACATTGTCAGGCACAAAGCCCTGGGTATGAATGTAATCTTGGTGCTGCAGTGATTCATGTGCTGCACTTTAATCCGCTCGACCTAAGTTTGATTCCCGGCCAATGCTAACATCGGTGGCGAGTGATATCTGAAAGCTCTCCTGGCTTGCGCTCCTCTTCCCCATAACCATCCCACGCTGACCGGCGTGATGAAGCATGCTCAAACAACACCCTTGACTTACAGGACGTAGGGAGGCCTTCATCCAGCAGTGGACTGAACTAGGACTATAAATGAATGTTCTGCTCTTTTTGAGCATTGAGGCGGTGCTAATCTCTTGTTTACAGCCTCGAGAAAGTGCTGGTAATTCCACATCCCTCTTGCGCACGTGAGTCTATCCATACGAGTAGCATTGTTGACCTCCCCACAAAGTGGAAGGGTGATGGGCTCTCAACCTTTCCGATTGCGAGCCGCTCGCTTTTCAGCTGAGCCACCTGGGGCCAAATTATTGCGATGGCTAAATGTTCATCAGCGGCTGTTGTGCGGTTCGTTCCAGGCACGGATGAAGACTTTGAACCGTGGTTGGCACATTGGATGGAGGATCCCACCAACCAGTCGAGCGGCTGTGTCCTGGGAGTCAAGCGAACATTCCACATGCTCAAGAAGAACTCTTCGTGTTTGAAGGGACCTGACTATTTTCCCAATGAGACCCTTGGCTACTGCCCGTGCACAGAAGAAGACTACATGTGGTGGGTTTATGACGATGCATGGACCCCCCCCCCCCCCACACACACACAGTGGGACACCACAGTGGCGAGATGTTAACGACCTCACCTCGTATAAAGGAGGTCATGGGTTTGATCCTGACCCTGATGCCTGTATATTTTGACTTTGCATGTTCTCCCTGTGGTCGCATGGATTTTTCTCCGGGTCCTCTGATTTTTCACTCCACATTTAGTAAAATGCGTTTTGAGTATTTGGCTGCTATACATTTCCACTTGATAAGCCACTTCATTGAGCAATCCATTTGTGCCAGGTTGCTTCTGACAAAGTGATATAGCTCCGTGGGCCTTACCTGGTACACGAAAAATTGTTTCGTTTATTGTGAAAATATAGCAACGCGCTTGACTGCAATGAGGTCCTGCGGATGTGGGATCATATCCAGCTCGCTTGAGACAGAGATGTGAAAATGTTGGATATGTGGAAATCTATTTTAAAAATTACAGTTATTAATTGGTCACGGCTGATACTTGATGGTTGGGTATACAACGTTGCACTCTAGAGGTTATCCTGCCTGAGTCCAAGTCCGGCCACGGCTAAGAAAGTGGGCAGAGTGAGGAGTTTGATTGTTATGGCAATGTTTGGAATGTGTGCAGCGGGGCAAAGGCTGTGTAGGTTGTGGAGAGGAAACAGAAATGACTTTGTATGGAATCACTCAAGGTGGCACAACGTTCATCGTCATCATCATCAGCATCTGTGAGCGCAAAAATGTGTTCAGCAAACACGCGGTACAACCCTGATAATGAGGCACTTGGGAAAGCTGTGTACAGCACAACCGCAAACAACCTACGCAGTAGTAAAATAAGTACCAGTTTATGGGAAGTCAACACTGGTACTCCTCGGGCAGTGTTTCTCTAAGTGTGCTCCCTGCACCACCACCAGTGGTCCGCGACGATCCTCCAGGCAGGCCATGTGGCTGTGATGCACAGGTTGATCCGGATAATAAGGACAATGTTTATTTCCCATTTGTTTTAAGGGGCCGTCCATAAATGACGTCACGCACCTGGGGGGGGCGGGGGGGGGTCAGACATTTGTGACGATGTGTGACGAGGGGGGGGGGTGTTTGAGAAATGTGACGTCACATCAAAATGCGCAACTTTAAATAAATATAGACAACACGTTCTACTTAATTAAATAGACTTTTTAATAAATGTTTTCTCCTACAACATCAGAGTGCATCGCCACATTAAATATGCACTACGATGACAATAGTTTAAAGCGATTTGATGCATGTTTTATTTGGGGGGGGGGGCATAGCTTAGTGACGTCATATTTGGGGGGTGGGGGTCTGACTTTTTGTGACGCCGTGTGACGAGGGGGGGGGGGGTAAAAAATTGTGACGTCATTTATGGACAGTCCCTAAATATTAAGATATTTCAGTACAAAAAATTAAGTAAGATAAACTACCCTGATTAAACTACCCTTAACCCTAAGAACTACATGCCCCACCCACCCCCCTAAAAATATCCTTATATCTACGTTTAAAAAAAAAATGTTGTTATGCTCCGGTAATATGAATCATCTTGTATGGCTGGTATTGAGAGAGAGAGAAGCATATCTATCAACCCATATTGTTTACCCGTATTCTTGTACAGAGAAATTTAGTTTTTAGGTCCATGTGGTGTACAGCTGTTTCAATGCGGGCAATTTTTCTTGTCTTTGTGTTTCTCCCTTGTGATGGGACTTTATAGGATGAACGGTGAAATGTATAAGGGGCACGTGGTGACCAATAAGGTCTGAATTGGTCTGTAATAAGGTAGGCACTGATAAGGGGTTGACAGGTTTGGAGAAGTGAATCCGTTTTGTCACCAAGGGTGGTGGTGGGGCTGGGTGGTCCGCGGTAATGTTTCCATCGGCTGAGTGGTCCACACGCCAAAAAGTTTCGAGAAACACTGGCCTAAGGGGATGCAAGCCTCAGCAATGGGAATGTGTTATTTCCACCACTGCTCCAGGGCTGTGAAGAGGAGATGAGCATTGCTTACACGCTCATCAGAGCAGAGAACTACTTGAAGTTTTTGGCTTCTTTGCCGTGACCTTCATAGTAATGTCTTTCCGTGTGACTGCAGTGACTTTGGATACTACAAAGATGGTGGCAAATGTTTAGAAGAGTGGAAATTCAACAAAACCTCGCTGTTCGTGTGCCTTACTGAACAAGAGCAGCTGGTCCAGACAGAGGGGTACGTTACAACGTTGTACTTTTGTCTTGCAATTGTAAGCAGTGTGAAGTTGGTTTGAAATTACAAAAAATATTTATCACGTGTTTGACACTGGATGGATACAAAAAGTGGTTTAGTATGCGTGACAAATTAGTATTACGTTTAGTTTTTTCTTGTTATTTGGAGTGGTATTTTCAGTAGCATTTCAGAGTATGGAATGTCGTTTTAAAATAAGTTAAATGCTTGAAATGGGGTGAAAAGATCTCGGTTAAAAATAGCAATCATCAGACTAAACTAAAATTGTCGTAATCCTAATCTGAATTCTGCAGTCTCTTTGAACCAACCAATAAATAATACACAGATCCCTGGGAAATTGTAAATAAGTTAGATGATTGGCAATAACTTTCATATTAACGTAACATGTAGATTTTCACAGCCAGTTTTATGATTCAGAATAGATATGTGGGTTAGGCCACATGTAACGATCTGGACAAATTTGTGTTGCAAGACCCTCCACCACCCGACTCGACCAAAGAAATGAAATTGTCACACGGAGCACAGGCGGTTAACAACGTGCAGATTATTTAAATTTTTCAAAATCTTCGGTCATTTGAAAGACCCTATTCTCACAGCAAAACAATTAGATACGACTGTTTCACTTGAAATTTCGCCAAGCATCAGAACAGTAAAAGTCTCAATCGCTGCACGCTAAATTAATATCTATTGTTCCATTAATCTGTCCATTCTACATTACAATATTGCTTTTTTAGTCAGTCTTTAAATGACACCGGGCCAAGTTCACGAATCATTTTGAACACGTCAAGGGGCAGTTTTGCAGTCGTTCTGCCATTGGATTGGGAGCATGTGTGGAGGTCTTAAGAATTCGGAGCGGTGTTGGTGAGGATTCTGGCTGCTGCATCTCATATCGTTCGTCCCGTGCATCAAGGTACCGCAAGGTGCCAGGAGACAAATGCCAGGGAGGGGTGCAGCACAACAGCACGAGGAAGGTGACGTCGATAACGTGCACGCACACCCTCATCAAACCCTATGTCGAACCCATGTTCACGACAGCGGCATCGTCATATAAGGTACGTCAATTTTACCCTTTCCCATTCCGACACATCTGACAGTTGCAGGGTGGGGTCCCGTTTACCGCTGAATCTTGGGACGCGTAAGCGGTTAGCGTTCGTTTTATTTAGAGAGGCATAGCGCCGTTGTTTTTAAACACATTATACTCACCGCAGAGAACTGTAGCGACATAACCGCACTATGATAGATGGTACCAAACTGTGCCACACGCCCTCCGGCATGGCATTGTGGGAGCCTCGGGGTACGTCTTCTGACCTCAAGACGTACCTAGAAAGTTATTTCATTATCTTCTTGGTTCTTTCGGTAAAGTCACGTAGAAGGAAAATAATAAAATAATAAAAGTAAAACATAATAAAATAATTCTCACGACGTTTCGGCCACAACGCAAGCAGCCGTCTTCAGGTGGAGAACAGGTCTGTCGAAAAAGGCAGAGTCTGAATGCTTTCTCGACAGTCTTGTCAGATCTCGGAAGCTAAGCAGCTCACAACCTGCACAGAGCTAGTGTGGGTAACCACCATACGTGCGCGACTGGTCGTTATCGGTTGTGGGGCTTACACGGTGGGCAGCAACAGAGGGCAGTGCAGCACAATCCATTGTTGTACTGCGCTTCTATGCCCCTGCGTTAATGCTCCCCGTCTTCAGAAACCCGCACTGACAACGAACCTCTAACGATACGCATGGTGCAGGGGAAGACCTCATCCGACAAGTGATTGTATTGTATTAATCACTGAATCATTTTTCCGGTGCAGCAGTTCAAACAATGGTGCAAAGTTCTTAAATCCCCCCCCCCCCTCTCATATCCACGCAGCGCTCTCGATGGGTGCGCCACAGTGTGTTGATTGGAAGCGTATTATTAAATAATACATATTACAATTCCTTATAGGGGAAACAAATGCTAATTAACTGATTACTAACGTAGCATACAATTACAATAACACACATTACAAATGATTACTAATCTACAACTCGCATCATAACAATTGCCTGATTACCAATCTAGTATATAATTACAATAACCTCCACCTCAAATCGTTGCACCTGATGAGTTAAATGATGATGTCACCCTGCTGCTGCTGCTCTATTTAAGACCGGGAGCAAGAGCAGAGCCTCACCATTCTGGCGAATTGCCCGATGATGCTGGATGCAATTATCAGCGAAACGTCGTACTCAAAAAATTGTAAATGTTGTGGTTTCACTCTTCAACACACCGGTGGGCTAAAGCAGTGAACTATTTGTCTTTTGTCAACGTGACACTTTTTTGCTGATTGGCCGTGTCGGGTGGTGGAGGGTTACGACACATTTATAAATGACGCGATCTAAACCCAAACACGTTGATTATGAGGTCGATTGTGGTGGGCAAAGCGTGAGCGACCCGCACCAATTTTTTTATTTGTGATTTGTTTGCCTTTCCTTTACTTTGCGCTCCTGTCGTGTTTTGTTTGTTGTTGTAACGTTCTTACCCCGTACCTACTGGACGTCTGTACAAAAACGAGCTTTGTAGCTCATCAGATTCTTCCAATATAAATAAAGATTTTGATTCCGATCCTATTCGACGACGTCTGGTTGGCATGGAAGATTAGGCCAAATACCGTTTAGGGAGGGGCTCTACAGAGCTTCCGATAATGGAAGCCCTCCTGCTAGCAGCAGCATGAGCGAGCAATTTTAGGGCCTACACTTTTACCGTTTGCCACCTATCGTAGCAATGGTGTGATGGTGGTGTTTGGTGTTTTGCAGCCAATCTCACAGAACAACCACGGAGGAGTGATCGCTCTCGTCGTTCTTTTCGTCTTGGTCATCATCGGCGCGCTCGTCGTTGCGGCGAGGAGGAGCCAAGCCTTCAAGGACCGGTGAGTGCTTAGAGCTGCGGCCTACTGTGCCTCCAAAGCCGCGCCAGCCTTCCACATTCCGCGAGGTCAACGGTGACGACGGCCGCCCCATGGCCGCTGCCCAGAGGTCGCAATCGGGTACCCGATACCCGTACCCTACCCGATACCTGGCTACCCGTACCCGGTCGGGTACGGGTACCCGTTTGTGACCCTGGTGCGGCCGGGTACGGGTACGGGTAGGCCGTGAGTCACTGGTGAGTAACCGTTTGTTACTCATTTCCCAACGTCTTGTCTTGTCTCACAATTCAAGTTCCTAGAATCAACCCACCCGCGCCTGGAACATGACTTCATCCCAGAGGTCGCAATCGGGTACCCGATACCCGTACCCTACCCGATACCCGGCTACACGTACCCGGCCGGGTATCCGGTACGGGTACAGGTACCAGTTTGCGACCCTGGTGCGGCCGGGTACGGTTACGGGTAAGGAATCAAAACCCGTTTGCGACCTCTGCCGCTGCCTCCTCATCCATCTCACTCCTGCACGTGAACGTACAATCGCTCTTCTCTTGTAGAGATAGGAATCTCGTCCGTGTGTTCTAAGCTGGCTGACATGAGTTCACATTTCCAGATGTATGTATGGTGAGCTTCTTTCACACCGTACGTAGCTAACCGTACTCATCGGAGGTGCGGGGGGGGGGGGAAGAACGACAACAAAAAAGATTTCCTCCCTGCATCTCCATGGTGGATATCTTCTTAGCTGGCTTCTCTCCGTTGTCTGCCATTCTGTCACCAGTCTAATGCGCACTGTATGTTCTGTCCAAAATCGTAAATAATATTCATTCTGTACATTTAGTATTCGCGCCTATTCTTGTAGCGCAAGGCTTTTACAAAGGCGCAATGTTTCACAGAAGGTCTGCAGCAATTTCACAGCCAGGGAGCGATATTTAATCCAGTTTGGTACTTTAGTTTGAATGTGGAAAATTTGGACCATGACACTTGCGCACAATGGCCTGCTCGTTTCGAATGACATGAGGGGATCTTTATCATCCACCTTGGAAGCATACAGCATGTATTTTTTTTATGGTTAATACACCACCGCAGTGTTAACCAGGGCGGTCTGCTAGATTCGAGCCACGAACCTGTGCAACAAGCGGCAAACGAACTGCTGCTGGGCCGTGTCACCGCCCAGAGTTAACAGATCGACGAAAAGTTCCGTGCACTCATCGCGCTGTGCCGCGTAGCATGTGTGCACCAAAATAACGTTGCATGTCGTGTTTTGCAGATGTAACTCCATTCGATACCTGATTCTACGAGAAGAACAAGTCAATCTCTGAATCCGTTCGCAAGAAGAAACCAAAAGCCTTGCTGCCTCGATGAAGTGAGACCTTTTTGCAACAAAACAGAAAGGCGGTAAAGGTTTTCCATGGTTATCACACACAACAACCCGAGACGGCTACAGCATGTAAACATGTGGTTATCAATGCACAAAGTTCGACTAGAGTTTGTTTGAGGTTCTATTACGGGTTATCTTGCGCAAAACCTTGCTTTGGGTTTGCACGCACGGCTTCACGGCACAGATTTGGATTGTGTTTTGCTGTGCACGTGATTAAAAACACAAATTGGATTCCGGTATATAAATGGTTTGCCTAAATTACATAACAATTGCCAATTGTGTTTGCAGTGGTCTTTGCGTTCATAGCTTCCAAAATGATCTTATCAAGCTGCTGGTGCTAATCAGATACATAATTACAAATTACAGAGATACGTCTTCTGCTATAGGCTGCGACTATCAAAATATAATTTCTGATGCACTCTACATGAAGCCATTTGCATCGCAGCAGGGAAGGTATACATATAAGGTTATGCGTTGTTTAATAGTTAAAGAAGTGAAAGTTATTTCCTGCTCAAAAAAGAGGCGGTGCTCAACTCCCACTCGCAGGCTTGAGCCATTGGTGGAAATTCCTCATTCCTATGGTGGCAACAAGTCCCCTCCACAGGATAAACCTCTTCTCAAAGTGGTACTTTATAGGTCCCCTTGGGGTGATTATAGGCTGAATTGGTTCATATCACTGTTTCATTGACCACGGACAATGTGATCTTTAGACATCAACTATTATTTCATCTTGATATGCGAGCTAGTGATTTGGCTAAATTTGAACAATTTACTCGGGTGTTTCCTTAACAAGAAAGGTACGAGTGAGTTTAACGCTGACAGTGTAAAAAAGTGCGTCGGTTAATTCTGCCTTTTAACAACCGGGGTGGGAGGGGGGTGTCCTGGAAAGTCGATAACGCAGGTATATTTATTTTCAGATCGCGAATGTCAGCTTCATTGGAACAGCTTATCATCCACTTTTGATAGTTTATTGTATCATCCCCTTGCAGATGGCCATGCAATGAACGTATGAATTAACTTGGTTTGTCAACTTTATCTGCCTACTTTCAACAGAAGCCTACTTTCTGGACAATTAAATGTCTTGCCTTATCGAGTTTGTTAGGGCACACCTCTGTTGTTTAACAGAGATTGTGTACAAAAGCACATGCAGGTACTTGCACCCACATGACCCTATCAACTTGTAATTTAATCAAAATCATCCAAAGTTTAAGCCTTTGCCTTTATAAATATGTCTGTATGTGCATCGACTGCTGGTTATTTACGTAATTCCTAGCTTATTATTTCACTGTAATAAAATCACGATATTTGATTACTTATTTACGCGCATGATTTAAATGCCCGTATTTTAGGTGTGTCATTTAGCGCAGGGTAAAGGACTATCGAGTATGCGCAGTTTGTGTGATATGGCAACTTGTTTTCCAGCGTGTTGTTTTGCTTGTGAAGCCTCGCGATATTTAAGTGAAGACGCAGCCGATCTAAGCGTGGATTATTTTCTAGATTTTGGTGGAAGGCCAGGGGGATATTGGAAGCCTTGGCGACAATTATATCCCACTTACATATATTTTAGCTTGGATACTATTTCATAAGGGAGAGGGGGTAAACATAGTTCCCTCCGTTTATTATTGTACATCTTACACTTTATTGAAGACTCTTTTTTTTGCTGATACTGACAACAGAAACTAGCCTATTGCTTTACGTGGCAACAACTTTACAACAGCTACTACACATTGGTAATTAGCAAAATAAATTATTGTGAGGCTATAGAAATTGAGCAATTGCTATTTGTAAAATGCGTGGCGATTTCTCAGTTTCCAGCTACACACAAGCGTTCTTAAATGCATATAATTATACAAATCCTCATAGATCCATGCACGATAGATTACCTGCTGAAACGCTGTAACCATTACAGTTCTCTATCTTCCGGTATTGTTGCAGATGAGACGAATCTGTTACCTAAATACCTGCACAAACATCCTGATGGTAATGGAAAAAATAACATCAACAGCTCAATACAGTTGGTGTTAACATTGCTGCATGTTTATAGGCCTACAGATATTTAGGCTTTGCCATCTGCATGATACGGGAACGCTAACTACAGCACTTTGGGCACGTCGCTCCTCGCTTGCCCTTGGCTAACTCTGCCTGCCAGGTTCTCTGTGTGAAAGAATCTCGTGGGTGGAGAAGGTCAAAGGGTTGGCCACAGACAGTATGGATGAACGCATCGGATTGACCACTACTGTTGACATTTGGGGGATCTAAAGGGGGGTACAGCTCGTTAACTTTGCCAAGTACCCCGAGGAATTGGCGCCGGGTGGTGGATGCTGCCACACACGCTGTCTCGGCGTATGCTCCCACACTTGACTTTAAGTCCATTCAAAATAAATGTATCCCAGAAGTGCATTTCGCAGTTGAAGAAATGCTTCGATGTGGCGAGTGGATTGCACGCAAACAACCGTGCGGCGTGGGTGGCATGCAGTAGCAGTAGAGAGAAAATAAGCTCATGGCTGTGAGTTCGAATGAGGTTCAGCGGCTCTGACAAGCAGCAATAGCAGGAGCATAGCGGCCCAAGTGATGGTGCAGGGATTGCAGTGAGGCAGACAGACAAACAGCGCAGGTGATAATGTCGTTTTGGCAGATGGGCACTTTAGCTTCGTGCAGTGGTTCTCAAAGTGTGGTCCACTCTGGTCCTTCAGGTGGTCCGCGGGGTTGTGATGCAAATGCCGGTTGATCTGGAACTAATTAATCAATAATTTGGTCATGATATTTAATTAACAAAAAAATGAAGTTAGGTAAACTTCACTGATTAAACTACTCTAACCGAACGGTCAACATTTTTTTAATGTTTTTGTTATGCTAATATCAATCATTTTGTATTGCTGGTGTTTGGAGAGAAGCGAATGCGTTTTGTTACCAGCAGAGGGGCGGCTGGGTGGTTCGTGGAAATGTTTGAGAAACACCGGCTTAATATAATACGAAGGTAGAAATGACCTTCCTACTGACTTGTTAACTTAGAATGTGTTGGAGTACGCTTCGTTGAGGCTCTGGAAAGTACAAGGCATCGTTACAGCCATAGTTTATGAAGCTGTTATATTTTTCACATCTGCACTATAAGATAAATGGCACTGTATAGAGGTAGCTTCCAATATTACCACAAACGTGTGTGTAAATAGCTCGTGTGAATTTGAATTATTAGAAACTATATATCATACAATATATTGGTATGGCAGAATTATATAACCGTTTTATTTGGTGTGAATATATGGTTCGTAACTTGACCTTAACATTTTTAAATGTCTTCGTTTGCTTAAGGGAATTTACATTCAAGACTTTTAGGGGTATTAAAATATGAACATGCATTCATAGGAAACTACGCAAGTGGTACAATCAAGGCGCTTGATGTCTTCGAGTAACACCAAGGAGACAAAGGGGAACACGAGCGAACGTATGTCGGATAGACACGTCGTTTAATCAAAGTGCGTTCAAGTAGGACACGTTCCTCAGAGGGATGGCAAGTGGTCGAGACTAATGATAGAGTTGCAACCAAGGGATGGAACGCGCACAATAGTCTCACGGAGATGGAGCAATGAAATCACTTCGTGTGTGTAGGTGCCATGTGATTTGTTAGATTGCAGGGCGATGGGAGAGAGCAATGGACTAGGAGAAGGCCTTCACACAGCAGTGAATTGATCGTGGCTGATGATGAAAATGATGATGACCGTAGAAAAATACAGTAATCGCTTTATTGTGAGCAAGTGGAGGAATTGTCCAGGCTTTTTGCGAGTTTAGCTAAGGAATCGAGCAATGGCCGTTATGTAAAACCAGGTGGGAGCCCTTTGAGAGCCGTAGTAGTCCGAGGCCTTGGTTTAAATACAGTGAAGCTGCAAATTCAACAATTTGGGAATGTTGCAGCGAATTAGGATTGTATAATAATGCTTTTATTTTATATAACGTCATTCATGCTAATAGCATCCATTAACGCCGTATATTAATTATATATGGAGACCAAATCCCATATACAGCACTACCAAGCAAATGAAAACCCTACTACTACAAAGCAAAATAAAAAATAAACTAATTAAGAAATGGCTCGAAAACAAAATGCACAAGCAGCTATCACAACAGAGAAATTAGTCCATTCAATCACATCCCACGTTTGAGATTATAAGACAAAACTATCTTGCGTGCCTTATTTTAATGTTACTATCTACTTTACGCTAAGCATAGGATAAGTAAGGCCTGCCATTGTGATTTTGATCAAGGGACAGGCTCTGAGCGATGGTTATGATGGCATGCTAAAGAGACCGCATTATGGTCAGACTTTTTGTGGCTATATTTAGTTAGTCGTCTCGTATTGTAAAGCCTTGGCTTGTTTTGGTTGACAGGCTTGTACATTTTATGGTTGGGCGATAAGATTGTTATGGTCCTGGCTTGACATTCGGATTACGGCTAAAAAAAGTCCTATTTAACCAGAGTTGTGGTTTGCTTAACAATGTATTTTTTTGTGCATGGTGACATATATGACGCAGGGTTGATGGATCCACGATAGCATCGTGTGTGTGACACTCCTGGAAGGAGATCGGGTGCCTTTTTAAAAGGCAGTACAGCAAGTAGGTTTAAGACCTGTCTTATATGGCCTTTGTGTGTCTTCTAACGGATATGGGTTTCTCAGGGTGTTCTGGTTTCCTGCCACAAGTATAAGTACTGTGCTTGTAATAATTTCCCAAGTATCTCGCGTCAAGCAGGAACCCCTGTAAGAATGTGAATGATACTCGGTGAGGCTTTTTCAGAAGCAATAAACAAAAACATCCGTATCATTTACAGCAGTAATCAGAAATAACACGAGACTTTATAAAATGTCTACGGTTTTCTTATTCTGATTCCCATGGCACTATTCCCAAATCAGTTGCTGTGCTGTTAAAAATTCCATTGTCAGTTTATTTTAATGCATAAAAAAAACTGCTAAGTCTGTAAAATGTAGATGTCTTCCTTTGATTGCCCAAAATTTTAAGTGGATCTGGAAAAGTCACAAAAAACATAATTGGAAATGTGCCAAATTGGTTTTTCAACGGGAAATGTAAGTTTCCAATGGGCATTTCGACACAAGTGTGTACATTTTATTTAAAAAAAACTAATTTTTAAACGCAGCATTATGATGTTTGTTTTCAAATGCCACTGCCAATGCATTATTGACCTCACTACTTGGATAGGTGCCGGACGTAGAGCTCCGCGGTGTGTCCAGGTTGTACCGCGTGTTGTTTCGGCACGGGCAAGCGCCCAGAACGTGGTAGCGAAACGTCAGACATCCCGCCAAACAACACGTGGTTCGGCCCAAAAAACACACGGCGGAGCATTGTAACTTTTAATGATGATGAAAATGATGATGACCGTAGAAAAACACCGTAATTGCTTTGCTGTGAGCAAGTGGAGGAATTGTCCAGGCTTTTTGCGAGTTTAGCTAAGGACTCGCGCAATGGCCGTTATGTAAAACCAGGTGGGAGCCCATTGAGAACCGTAGTAGTCCGAGGTCTTGGTTTAAATACAGTGAAGCTGCAAATTCAACAATTTGTGAATGTTGCGTTGTGAATGTTGCGTTCTTTTATGTGGAGCCATGAGAACACGGGACGACTTTTGTACTCAACGGAACGTTCGGACTCGAGTGTGTAAGGCTCGCGGTTGCACACCAACCAATTGGAATCGACGTTATTTGTTTCACGTTTGTAAATAAGCACTCGAAATAATAACCTCATTGCCCACACAATGTGCCTCAAGTCTTCGTTGCAAATGCGATTACGTACATATTTAGTTGTACTCGTGAATTACAACGCAAGTCCAGTTTCTGTTTTTTTTTGTGTTAAGCCAAACCTAAATTAATTTGAACGTTTCCTTAAAACGACGTAGTAAAAGTGGTGTGAACAATTGCAGGGCTGTAGCTATCTGTAAAACTTGGCCTTTAACCAGGTTTCTAAAACAGCTGGAAGCCGATGATCCTAAAAATAATTGCCATCGAGTTTCGGGTCTTCAGGGTAGAGTGTAGTTGATGGAACGCAACATTAATTTTGTTGGCCACAAGTGTTGTGAGATTTTTATTATGTCACGGTTAGCTTTTAAAGCAGCTTTGCTCTCTCCGCTTCAAAATTGTAATGAAAGTAGTTGTGATGTGCGAACGTATACCGCCAAATGTGTAATTGTGAAGGTTACATCGGTATATTTGTACATATTTGTTATATTCCAAGTTGTCACGTGTCACGTGGGATATTGCTGATGGATGTGGTGTCCAGCTTGCCTTATTCAGTTTTAACGCTGCACTGTAAACAATTATCTGCATTGACTTTTCGCCATGTGTTGACATATTAAGACGATCACAAGGGACGGGGACAACTCGTTGTGCACGCGATTGAATAAGTCGCACAGAACTGTGTATTGATTTTAGGGGTTTTGATTGGTTACAAAATTTAAGTCAATTCTAGATTAGAAGTTTTCGTGACTGCAAGGATCCATACTCTTTGGTTCTTTCGGTAAAGTCACGTCGATGATGCTTGTGTTGCGCCCAAAACGTCGTGATTTTATTTAGTTATTTTCATTTTTATTTTATATTTTTAATTTCACCTACGTGACTTTACCGAAAGAACCAAAAATTAAATCTACTTTCCACAGCCTGTTTAGAAAATATGTTGATTGCCCTAGAAATAACGCAGGGCTTGAACTCAAAACATTACAGGGGCTTGATTTATTGTTCTGCACACTTCATTTTAGCGTGCATTGGATTTTCTTAATCATTTATTTCCCATTGCAATGTTTATTGTCTGGGTTTACTGGTGTTTGGAGCGAAGCGCCAGTCTCTCGAGAAAGCCCCAACGATTTTAAATGAATCTCGCGTCCAAATGCAAGCGCATATAAAGACCGTTTCCAAACAAAGTGACGACGGGATGACGGCGGAAACTTTGGGTTGTGAAGCGTAAACTCCCCATCGGTGTACAAGCCGCGTCGACGCACGGTTACGTTGGGATTTAACGCTTACGGGTTTTTGTGTTCCGACTCTCACCAATCCGTTACCCCACTCCATCACAAAGAAACGCCTCTGAGCAAAAAGCAACAGCCCTGGAATGAGAACTGACACGGCTGTCCGTCGCCCCCTGTGTCTTATTCAGTGAATGTACTTTATCTGCCGCGTAGAGCGCATTGGCATCAGACTCGTGCCATTCTCTGACGTTTTTATAAGGTCATGCCATCCGAGTTGAAGATCACTTAATATGGGTTTCATGCATTCAACTAAACAACCTGTTGACTAGCAAATATAACGCATGATACACGTTTGTTTAGCCGTGTTACTAAACCCAGGGGCTTGAATCCAGACATACCATTGCAGTTGGGTTTTTTAGTTTTTTATGTGCACTGTTACACAATATCACAGTTGAAGGGAACTGCAGTAAGGTGCAAATGAGAACTCCTAAAAACACAACGCACCACGCCCCTCTTCTTTATTTTCCGTGTGCTGGAATGCTACGTGCACAGGAGATAGCCTAATTCAGGTATCGGTGTATAATAATCCTTTTTTGTATTTTTGTGCAAATTTTATTTGTGGTAATGTTAACTATCAATGTTGATACGGTATATACTTTAGCTTTTGAAAAAGTTATTGTCAATAGAGGCATTTTACTTAGCCAAGCTAAGTTTCTTACCATATATTTTGCTGGGGAATGTTATTAATCATTATAAGGTATACCCCCATATTAACAATGCTCCTTATCTGTTTCAGGGATTATCGAACTGATAAATATTTGGAATATTGTGAAAGTTTGGCTATGTTTAAACGGCCTCTATCCTTTTGCTGTGTGCGTGCACCACCGATGTGTGACCAGGGCTAGAATAACACACGAGGGTTAAAAATTAACCCGTAAAAACAAAGTTTTTCACTATAAATCCTTTATATGCGTGGCGGCTAGAGTCCTCTCGTCCTCTGGCTTGAGATGGCTGCCACCTATGGGTCAGATGATTGCCTGCCACCATTAAGCAATTGGTAATTAAATATAAAAAAAATTTCCTAAAAAGTGTAAAGTTATGGAAATTTTGAACGAAAAGAAATTGTCACGCACAACGAGTCTGTGTGCAAAATGTCAGCTCGATTGGATCACGGGAAGTGGGTTAAAAAACGACCGAAAGATTTGCACAGTCGTAAGCGCGCAAGCAAGCAAGCAAGTGAACTTAATATAAAGGATTTAAAAATACATCTTAATATAATTCACCAGTGCCACGTAGCCGTTTGCAAGTAGCATTTGGTACGGCGGCGTCATTTTCAAAATATCGCCCGTGTGTGCCTTCCCTTCAAAGTACTGGATGGGATAAAACAAAATTTTAACACCCTTCTCAACAACACTGTCTTATTCATAATAAACGTTTTTGGGTTAGATCGCGTTATTTATAAATGTCGTAACCCTCCACCACCCGACATTTACAATTGTAAATGTTGTGGTTTCACTCTTCAACACACCGGTGGGCTAAAGTAGTGAACTATTTGTCTTTTGTCAACGTGACACTTTTTTTGCTGATTGGCCGTGTCGGGTGGTGGAGGGTTACGACACATTTATAAATAACGCGATCTAACCCAAAAACGTTTATTATGAATATTGGTCGCGAAAGCCTACACGTGTTAAACTAACACTGTCTTAAAATATGAATATAATCGGCAACACTGAAAAGCGGTGTTATTGACGAGTGCTTTATATATATCAATATTCATGGATGAAAAGTTTTGTTGTGGCACATCTGAGCTGTGTGGTGGATGGGGTTTGAACCGTGCTTTTGACATCTGGATACTCAGGCTCGTTTGCAATCTGTTCTGTCACCTGAATGTCTCGACATATTTAGCTAATGTGAACTTTAAATGCCTCCAAGCATTGCAAACATCACTGTTTAAACCTTGTGTAAGGAAGCAATACATTTATTTGCAACAACAAAAAACTTTGATTGTAACCCTCAATTTCGCTTCCATCAATGTGTGCCTTTTTTAAATGAATGGAAACCTCAATAAACCCTGTTTTTAAAGGTGATCTATACGTTGTGGTTATCAAACGACTGCACTTGATGTGTCTGGATTCTTCTTTCGTATGGCTGATGTAGATGCAGAGCAACAACTACAATTTCGCATTCAGGTTGATCAAGCCAGACAGATGCGTCACGAGCAGCAGAGTCGTATTTGTGGATCGGGGAATTGCGTCGTCATATGTTGCATCGTCTGTTATGGATGACCACAGTTGCACACAAATGGAGAGTTTTACTGGTAGGAACCCACTGCACGTTTCATTTTGACTTTATATTACTTTAGCTTCATGGAACTTCAAAGTCACGTCAGAAAAGGCGGCAGTGCAGCCCTGGTGTGTACTTGCAATAAAAAAACAGCTGTTTGTTTTACGAGTTTAGTTTTCCTTTAATTCACAAAAGAACGCCCGTTATAGCCGTTATAGCGGCGCTGAACAATACCACACGAAATTGATTCAACAGTACGACCCATTAAATATTCACAAAAATATTTACGGCGAATGTCCTTTTAATGCCTTATACTTCAGTCTTAACGACTCCTCCCACACAACCACTCGCAATTGCAGAACACATCACGCTGCATTGGTTTGCGTGACGAACCACCCCGTGACAAGGCGATCAATCACATGAGATGCTTGGCTTCTCCAAATAAAATTCCTCCCTTCGAAACACAGAAGCATTAGCAAGGCGGCCCGTACAGGACTGACGTCATACAAATATTAACTTTTTTCGCACCATAAATATCCAACCGTGCTAATCGGGGGAAATCACTTTACATGTACAGTATGTTGAACTTCTTTTGCACCGTACGTAGCCAACCGTGCACCTACTCGCCAGAGCATGGCAAATAATTATTCGTGCAACGTCACAAAAACGGCTTCATTTGTTATGCCGCCTACTGACCATGTGGGACCAGCAATGCAGCACTGGCGATTCCGTTATCTATGATAGGGTAGAAATAAATACATGACATCCTGATTACAAACGTTGGGTTACCCCTTACAGGTTGTATAGGTTTCATATGGGATTCTTTATATACTAGTGGCACCTCGGTGAACAAAAACATACCATGAATCCAGAACCATGTCAGTCGTGTCTATCAAGCGAAAATAAAAATGTTCAGATTTTTTCGTGAACGTTTTTACAACTGTGTTTGGTATAACGTCATTAGATGAGGTGTCAAATCATTTCTGTCGCAGGCCGGTGGACGGTCCATAGAAGCGGGTATCAGAGAGCTACCTCTGAGGTCCCTTCAATCGACTTTTGGTTCACAGGAGGGGGAAGCACTTCCCCACCCGCCCTGCAACAGAACAATGTGCGGAGCATGACAGTGCAGCTCGCGTATTATGAAACTTCAGAGCTGAAATAAAACCAACTTAAGTACAAACCGAAATGTTATGCGATTGTGTTAATGTGCAGTAGTTGTTGAACTCACTGCACTTGAGGACTCAATACACCGGCAGATGTCTGGATTCAACCTACGACCCTCAGCAGTGTCATCTCTCAGCATTCTTAAGGACCCACCCTTGTCCCTTGAGGCTACGCCCCTTTCTCGACACACAGGCTTGTGCGTTGAAAGCTGCTTTTTCTCTGCACGAGACTTGGCAACTCTGGGCCACACCTAGTTGATTTGAGTGAAAGACGGCGCGTGGGTGGTGGTGGGGGTTGCGGAAGGGCAGAGGGGTAGTTCGTATGCGCAGCAATTTAATAGATAACAGAAAATAACCGTAACTTAAAGCTTTCGTGACTGCAGGAATTCATATTCTTGGGTCTTTCAGTAAAGTCATGTAGATAGCTTCAAAGAGAATAACAAAAAAGAACAAAAAACTACGTTTCGATCGCAACACAAGCAATCGTAATCATTCTCCTGATCATTCTCCTGATGATGATTGCTTGTGTTGCGATCAAAACGTCGTAGTTTTTTGTTATTTTATTTGAACCTATCTACGTGACTTTACCGAAAAACCCAAGAATAAGAAAATAACCGGTAGAGATACTTTCCGGTGTGCTTTCGGGCTGCACCACATGTTGTACGCGTAATTTCGGATGACTGCCTCCACGTGCCAGGAGCTTCTTCAGACTCCGAACTGAGCCTCTCCAAACCTCAATTACGTAGAACTGCTGGTGTTGCTGATTGGTTCAGCTCTCGGACATGTAGGCTGGCCAGGGTTCATTGTTTTCCCTGTGGTCTACATAGCAAACCAAATTGTCAGTTGGTTCATTCAAAGGCAGGGTTATGCATTTTACACGAAGCTCTGGCGAGCCTTGGTAAAATATTTTGTGAGGTCCCACATTTCAACGATGTGGCATAAATACTTTTAACCGTGGAATTCTCACCTACCCGGCGTGATGTTCATAGAAATCGGTACAAACGGTGAACTGGGTTGAGCGACTGCCGTGCGTGATTGCATCGAGGCTCCACGATGTTTCTCGGCGTGGTCGTGCAACGTCAATGAGAGAAAGCCTCTTGCCACTTTTTGTAAAGTTAGTCCGCGTTGTTCTTCGTGGTTGAACGCGATGAGAACGTCTCCGTGGAACACGGCGCTGTGCTTGCCCTTGTATTCCACTGTACGCACAAAGATAAAAAAAAAGCACAATACATCATTCACATCGCATTGTCACGTGATATAACAGAGAGACAGATACACAAAGCTACTACTGTTTGACTGTATAGACCAGATGTGGCCAAGCATCCTGACCCTATGAGCCGCACGTCAAAGTCTTCATATGGCAAACGAGCCACAAGACACTGACCAGGTCACATGGGGTGGTCACATGGGGTGGTCACATGGGCATTTAATTTGTGTAGATCATGTGGTAGGTTCACTCGTGCTGGTTCGGTGTGGAGTTGGAAGTAAAACATCTGCAGGAGCACCCCAGGAGTGAAACTAAACTATACACAATGTTTACTTTACCAGGTAAGGTCCACCAGTGTGAAAATATTTAATATCTTCACACTGGTGGAATGGCCCCATAGTTAAAGGGTTATAGGGTGGATAAAACGGGTACCGCCTTGTGAGAAATGTAAGTGATCATCTTTTGTATGGACTTGCGTCTACGATCACAGGGATACCCTCTAGAGGGATTCTTCCTCGAGTGGACCCCCTTCCGCTAGCAATGGCGTGAGCAAGTAATTGCAGGGCTGCACCTTTGCCTTGACCTCTCAGCACTGCAAACAGGAGGTGAGTATCACTCCATGCTCAAACAATCATTGAAGCCACCGGTCAAGGAGTTGTATGAGAAACCCAGTGAAAACAAAGCCAAGTAAAGACCACAGACGCACCGAATTCAATGTCGCCGGCCAATCATCACTCTTCTCCTCCTCCTCGTCATCCAATATGATGATTTCCTCAGCGGGGTCATGTCGCGCAGGAGCGGGCGTCCACGGCGCCTCAGCTGGCCGCCTGAGGTATGGGGCGAGCGGGCAGTCGCGGCGGCGGTAGAAGAGAAGGTAGGCGTGACGCGACATCACCTGGCTCTCGTTCACCATCGTCACCGTGCTGTCGTCGAACCAGCGCCAGCCTGCTCGCGACACGCGACGGCAGCCGTGAACAACCGCTCGCTCGCGTCCACGTGAGGGCAGCCAGAGTTACAATGCACAGAGTGGGCACGGTCAAAGGTACAGTTGCAGGCATTTAACACGTAGGCTTTCACGACCAATATTAATAATTAGGGTTTTTTGGGTTTTTTTGGGTTAGATCGCGTACATATAAATAAACACCACCCGACACAACCAATTTACCGGCGTGTTGGAAAATAAACCCACAAGATTTAGAATTTGAGTACGATGTTTCGCTGGTGGCAAATCGTCTGATGAAGCTGATTGTAAAAGTTGTGGGTTTACTCTCCAGCACACCGGTGTGCTCAAGTAGTCACTAATTGGCACGTTTTGTTTACGTGACAAACCTTACCCCTTGGCTGTGTCGGGTGGCGGCGGTTTTAACGAAACATTTGCATTTCCACGATCTAACCCAAAAAACCTTGCTTAGGAGTTGCCGCCGTGCAGTTTCTTGCGTACGCCACCGGTGGTGGAAGGATCTACACTGCAAGGGAACGCTACGAGAGAGTCCTTTGTAGAGGGAATATTTGGCCTACTCTTCCACTACCTGCGATGCACCCATTCACACCGCTGGGAAGGGGGCGGATTTAAGAAAATTGCAGGACATAGAATCGAACCGGCCGAGTTCTGGATTGCAAGTCTCCTGTGCAGCTAACCATAACATTACACCACAGCAGCTCAATTTTATAGATTTATGTAACCAGCAGCATCTCTACAGGAGGTGCCACATAATTATCATTATTGGCTACGTACGGTTGGCCCGCACCTCAGATTGGCACGGTTGGCTACGTACTGTGCAAAAGAAGTTCAACATACACATGTAAACAAGTAGAAAAACTATGACTTTGGAATCCACGTACCCATGTCACTGCACTGGCTGTTGCGGGCGCAGGGCAGCCGTGCGTACGCCGTGTAGTGTCCACCGATGAGGCCCCCGTAGTGGTTGATGGCGGCGTAGAGGTCGTAGACTGCGGCCCCGCCGGCGTCGCCGCCGGCACCCCCAGAAGCCGCCTCCACGCAGAACTCGCTAAGGTCAAGACCCCTGGTGGCACGGAGATGGGGTAAGGAAAGCGACGCTCCCTTCGTCCCCTTCTCGCAGCTGGGACAAGGGGCTGTTGTTGTTGAGTGTGCGCTGTGACCCGCCCCCACCCCCGCCTGTCTAACGCCAAGGGGATTTAAAGGAGATGAAATTTGATGTTACCACTTTAGACAACGAATTAGCTAGCACGGTAATTAATAGTGCAATGACAGTGGTGGGGTGGGGAAGAGGTTAGAAAGCAAACTGAGAGAAAATCCTTGAAACTGCAAGATACGTTGAGAAAGCTTCGGAATATAAAGCGATGGGAGATTCAGTGGTTGGGTTTTGGATTGCCTCACCCCTACCACAGTAATGTGCAATTGAAATAAAATGCAATGGCTCAATATCAGTGGCTTGGGGGATGTAAAAGAGATACGCACCCCTCCAAGCTCGTTTGAAAGGGAAGCTATGATGGTCATACTGTGAAATTCCCCATCAGTTAATTTTGAGATTAAGTTTCATTCCGATGCTGAGTCGACCTAGAGAAGGCGCCCAGGGAAAGTGCTGTTAGTGAGTACCTATGAAGACCGGCACGTCACACGAGGGGGTGGGTGGCCAGCACCACACCCGGTTATCTTTGTCTCTCTAGAATGATGTATACACACGCCACCAATTACTCATTTGAGGCCGAGTCGACCTTAGGCAGGCCCAAGACTGGTGCAGATAATCATCACTGATGTTGGCCATGATCGGAGTTTGAAGCACATCAAATCACACAACTACGCACACGCAACCTGTCGAAAACATCTGAAAAATATAGGCCAGCATATCGTGGTTTGGTTCTGGCTCAGATCGGGCAAATGGCCAGTGGAACACTGCCCATACCGTGATGGCCCTGCGCGGGTACGGCTTGGATGTGCCAGTGGAAAGCAGTACACACAAGTGGCTTACCGGATAGGGAAGGTGACCAAGTTGGAGATTTTCTCTCGCCACACGAAGCTGCAGAACGAGAAGCGTTTGAGCTGCACAACGAGCACGGGCGGCAACCGCCACAGCATCAGTTGCTTGAGTGCCTCTCTGGGTTGCTCGCACTGGGGACACAACCTGCAATGACAGCGAGACGCGGAGCAAGGGGCAGCGGTTACAGCTTTAACAAGGACTGCGTAACCGACAAACACAGACACTGGCCAAGCAGTGGTGTGGTCGGCGGTGGACGGTGACATGGGGGAACAGTAGCACAATTGCCGCTTGCTGCAGAGGTTCACAGCTCGAAGGCAGCGTCGGTCACGGTTAAGACTGCGGTTGTATTCGCCCTTTTCCGTTCCGAGACGACTGAAAACTGCTGGGTGGGTGTCCCGTTAACCGCTGATCTCGTTCGTGAGTGTGGGGTGAGGAGTCTGGCTGCTTCACGTTGTATCGCTCGTCCCGTGCATCAAGTTATCACAAGGTGCCAGGGGACAAATGCGAGGGAGGGGTGCAATACAACAGCATGAGGATGGTGACGTCGATAACGTGCACGCACACCCTCATCAAACCCCAGGTCGACCCGGTGTTCACGACAACGGCATCGTCAGAGCAGGTACGTCAAGTTAACCCTTTCCCATTCCGACACATCTGACAGTTGCAGGGTGGGGTCCCATTCACCGCTGAATCTTGCGACGCGTAAGCGGTTAGCGTTAGTTTTATTTAAAGAGGCATAGCGCCGTTGTTTTTAAAGATATTGTACTCACCGCAGAGAACTGTAGCGACACGGCCACACTCTATGATAGCAGGCGCCAAACTGTGTCACATGCCTTCCCACATGGCCTTGTGGGAGCCTCGTTACCGATAAAGTAATTTTATATTTTCTTCCGGTTCCGTTCAGATGACGTACACGTATGTCATCGGAATTGGAATGGGTTAACAAAGAGAACACTACGTGCCATCAAAACAACTTTAGGCCATGTGTGTCGTCGGTGTCAGTCCAGATTTTCTAAATTTGAAACTGCTTGTAAGTGAACTAATTGGGAAAAAACCATGTAGCAACATCGCCCCCTACTGTGAAAATATTGCAAACAAAACAAATCTGTGAAACAGCGCCATCACGTGATAGCCTGACGATATAAGAATGGCATGAATACCAAATGTGCTCATCTAACAACGATTTGAATTCGAACTAGTATTACTTTCTAATAATTAAAAAGTGGTTGTCCTATGCTGCAATTGACCCCTGGCTAAAGAAATGTGGAATTTCCACCAATGACTAAGGGCCATGAATGTAGATGAGCACTGCCCGATGGATGTTTAAGCAGGGAAATCCAGACAGAAATATTGATTTATACAATCTGAATGTATGTGGTTATGTGTACAGGCCTTCCTTGGCTCTTGTGAAATAGCGTAATTCCACAGCGGTGCAGATACAAAGCTTGGAATCACAATGCAAATGTTGGGCCACGGAGGTTTCCAGTGTCACTCTAGCCCAGGATTAGAGACTGGGTGGATTACAATTTGGTTCCTTCACCGCATTGTGCGCAAGTGTTATTGTACATTTATTGAGTGGGTGGAGTGTCTGATTATACCTCGTGATTAATGGCAGCAACTACTGCTGCTACAGCTGTGTGTTTAGACTCAAATGTTCACATAGATGAAGTCATGAATGATCTCGTTAGTGTAGGGGAGCCAGTGGTGTAGTCATAAGAGCATTGCACTATAATTCTGGAGCACAAAAGTTTGATTCCAACTCACGGTTAACATCGGTAACGAATGTCTGAACCGGTTCTGGATCTTCCCTATATCAGCTCAGCCTTGAACCTGTTGTTGTGTAAACACCAGCACTGGGCAGAGATATGCCAGGTGTGGCACTGGCTACAACACCCTCTCATACTCCGTACTAGGATTCATAAGTGCTCACTACCAACACATGTGTGTATGCATGTTGAAGTTCTTTCACACCGTACGTAGCCAAACAGTCCGTGTACGCTCTACAGGGGATCTATGCCGTTGCTTTGCACGTGTGTGTGTGTGTGGACAAACCAGGCATCCTCTGGCGTGAGCTTCTCGGGCTTGGTGAAGAGCTTTAGACAGTGGTGCAGGGAGATGGGCATTGAGTCTTTGAGGTCCCTGCTACTCGCGTGGTCCTGTGGAGAGTAGTGCACAGGAAGCCTTTACGATGCGGTTGGGGAGCACAAGGCCTTCGGGTTTGCCACCTGTCCTGCTTTCCCCAGGATTGTCCTATTTTTGAGATAGCCATCCTGGAAAATCTGTAAATCTTCCCCGGAAAATTAAAAGTTCAAGTTTTTTTGTCAATTGTTGAATAATGGTTATATAACACCACTCAAGACAATTCACACACATGTAGTTCCCTCTTACGATTTTGTGATAAGATTCCTCTTCCCATGATGTGTTCCAGTTTTTTGTAACTCAAGAGGTGGCAACCCTATACGGTCTGCAACTTGAACAGAATCCTCGGTGGTGATGCAGAGAGAAATGCGTGCACCACCTCTGTGGGCAACTCCTCGTCGCAGTCCAACTCCCGCGGCTGAACCATCACGTAGCCCTGCTGCTTGCTATTGTTGTTCCAGTCCATGGCCAGCTGGGCCCCATCAGGAATGTCCAACAAGCAGTCTCCTGCACAGATCAGATGCATTTCAGCGTAGTGGTTATTATCGCGCTCTTTTAGCCACTACCCCCCTGTGTCGTCTGGAACTCCCTTCCCAGGCATTTTCCCCCAGTCCCCCCTACCCTCCCTCCCACCTCTCTCTCTCTGCTTTCAAGGCTCTCCTCAAAATCTTCTTCTTCAACCGTCAGTTCGGGCCGCCTTCATTGCTTCCTTTCCCTCCTTCAGTCCATGAGCCAGAGCAGAATTTGCTACCGCTAGAGGTCGCACATAAGTTGGAAGCATGTATGTTGAACTTCTTTCGCACTGTACGTAGCCAACCGTGCTGATTGGAGATGTGGGCGAAGGACAATAAACTAAACACAAAAGCAGTTCTAAAGAAATGTGTTTTCAATCTAGATTTAAAAGTGCATAACTGCATTCCAGACGGCCGCAGAAGCACATTTGAAAGCGCGCGATGCAGTGAGCATCTTTGTGATACCCATTTCTGCATGTGGCTATTTAAAGGTGGATTGTGATGACATACTTACAAAGCAAGATTATGGCATAATTCACCTTTTCTTAGCATTTCATTAAAGTTGGTACAACTCATTAATAAGATGGTACCAACAAACAAAATATTTTATTTGGTTTCATGAACTACATCCCTTGCTCGGTCCCTCTCGTTGGTTGTGTGCAGTCCGGTGCCGGAGCCATCTGTTACATCATGGGGGCATCACCAATGCACGCAGTTGTGTCATTGTCACTAACGCATTTCTTAAACGAGGATCGTTAAAGGTATTTAGGTGGCTCAAGGAGCTAAAACCACATCTGAGCACAGAGCCAGCACCGCTGAGAGATCCTGGAATAAAAGCCAGGCAACTACCCATAATTAAATGCGTTTGTGCAGCGTATCACCATCGATGGTTGAAGTATAGTCACTGATAACTAAACAAAAAAATTAATTACGTCAAATTTTCTTTGCACTTAATGTGGCTTATTCAATTTCTGAGAATGTAAATTTTCATCTTGACTGCAATTCAATGAACACCCTTTGCACATGTACAGCCTTTTTTTCTTCAATCAACCGATGAAAGAGGGCCTCCCCAGGTCACATGGGTCATGATGGTTGTTTGACTAAGCTTCACCATGCCGGTCAGTGCGGGTTGGTGAAGGTGGGAGGCATAGACGCCGTAAATGGTCACGTACCTCGGTGGTTCAATGTTTTTTCCACGTTGTTGTCAATAACCTTGATGGAAAACTGTGGTGTCCAGCCCTGCCATGATTTGTCCTGCTGCTGCAGCCCATGAACTGCAGCTGTGGCACAGAGGACAACCGCATAATTTGTAAACAGGGCAGCAAGGAGGGCAAGGATGCCATGAACACGTAATATCAGTGGCGACAGAAACAAGTAAATCAATTGTATTGTACTTTGCAAGAGTACTGAACACACAGATGTACTGCCCTTTGTCAATCCACTGTCAGATGAGAGCCTCTCTTAACCTTGCGGATCATGGGGGTTACTTTACCATAATTCACCGCACTGGTCAGTGTGGGTTGAAGGCGGGGGGGGGGGACACTGACATAAGCGAATAGACGCAACAGAATTACCCAAAGGCAAAGAAGAGAGCTTTAGCAGCAAAGAGCAGTCGCCAATTCACAGTTGCTGTTTAAAGTTTTCACATACACACACACAGTATTGTAAAGACGTCATGTGCCACACCTTCAGGCTTCAATGGCTTCTTGGTCCCAGACCCATCCTTTTCCTCCACCCTGGAATGGGGGGAGGAGCTCTCAACCCGTGCTTCCAAGAGCGATGACGCTGCTGCCACCCGCTCCTGCATCCTCCTGTGGCCCAATACGTGGCAGCCACTGCCAATGTCTCGCTTCAATTCGACGCCATCTTCACCTCTCAGTGTCTCGAGCTCGTCTGCTTGCGGATCGTCACTCTGCCTAAGTTGAATAAAACAAGAGGTACATTCCAAGGGATGATTATCAAAGACGTATAACACTGTGTAACACAATTTTTGCTCCTGGGTAGTAAGTGTTATTTTGTAATTGCTAATGCCTAAAAAGTATAGAAAATGGCTATCATTCCCCACAAACTTTACTTTTGTGACCAGGACAGTGATATTTTGAAATTTACCTATTTTCAATGAGAAAACGGGCGAATTTGTGTCTTTTCGTTCACATAAAGTCAGAAAAAAACAACATATGTCAATCCATTGCTGGATGAGGGCCTCTCTGTGCCATGCGGGTCACGGAGGTTATTTGACCATTCTTCACCAAGATGTTCAGTGCAGGTTGGTAATGGCGACGAGCACAGATGTAGGCACATGGAAATAGGACCTGCGATTCTGCCATCAGCCAGTAGCTCGATTAGTAGATTGGGAAAAGTAAAATATTTTAAAATATAAACATGCATAACCCACTAACCAGTCTCAAAATCATGATGTATGCTACCACAGTGACTACGCCAAGATCATTATAACTCGCTTACACCGAAGAACATGGCTGCTGCTTCCCGTTAATTAAAACCATGAGACCTCAGTGCTGCCAGCTCAATGCTTCATGCCTCACTTTGGGTCTCCCTTGCAGGCGGGCAAAAGCGTGGGGGTTTCACGAGACCGAACACTTGCGGCCGGCAAGATTGGCTTGAAGAGCGGAGAATCCGGCTCCTCCGCCCATTCCGCATTTTTCCACTCGCACTTCCGCTGCTCGCCCCGAGTCGTAGCTTGCGGCCCGGAGGCCGGGAGGCCCTGGCCTTCGTTGTCGATCTCGGACGGCAGTTGCGTCTCCAGGCAGGGTTGCTCCGCGTAGCTCTGCCCGGAGCAGGAAGCTGGCGATGGGGGCGGTGGGGAGACCTCGGACCAAGTGGGGGACGGATCTTGGAGGAAGGCCGTGCTGGGCTGAACAGGAGGCTGGAACACGTTCACGGAATACCTGCGCAGGTAACGATTCGCTTCGTCAGTAAGCTAAGCTGAGTTTGGCCGATGCATTCGTGTTATTGTGCACGCAAGATTAAATCACAAGTACCGAGAAAAGCTCACGCATATGAGAGATGAACACTCAAGGATCCACACAGTTGGAATCAAGAATCACGATGTATGTGGTTTAACGCCTTTAATGTATTTTTTTCTCATTAGTGACACGCTCAACCCATGCCAGACAGTATGTGACACACAGTATAGTTTTGCAGCTGCAGAAAAAGCTATCGGTTTGTGTTGTTGTTGTAGGTTGCTCACCTTGCGTACGCCTCCATGATCTGTGCAAGTCGGTGAAAAGTAAGCCGAGACTCAGGGATGCTCACGAGGAACGGCAGGCCGATTGCCTCGGGCTCGCATTCACTTTTGTGTTCGACCCAGTGGTTTCTCTGGCAATTCCTACCAGTGAAAGTTAGAGATGCAAGACAGAGATTTAAGACATCTGTACAACTGAGGTGTGAGCATATTCAACACGAAAGCCCAAACCTTACGCGACTAGTCGCAAGTGTTAAGCACAACAGCACATGTTTATGGATAATGATTCACCCCCAGCATAACTCCCGGGAGGGATACATCATGATTCAGAAGTCACAATGCAATTCACAAAATGGGAACGGTTGGCTATGTGCAGTGCGAAAAAGGTTCAAAATACATTCATACACGTAGAATTTACAGTGGTAGGAATCAATAGTGATACAATTAACTTCATTATATGGGTGGATTAATCACGTCCATCGTGTCTTTTTGCATGCGTGCCGGTTTAATTATTAGCTGCTCCTGACTTGTCGGGTCAGTGGCTCAAATTACACCTGGCCACAAACATATTTGAAAGAAAACCGATCATTCACAAGAGGCCATTATATTTGGGTGTCAAACATCAAATAAAAAAATAAGCTTGCCGAATAATCCGTGCCATTTCTCTCGGCAAGAAACCCTACATCTGACAATGTAGGTTACTGATTGGACAAACTGCCAGGGGCAATACTTGACACTTAAACAAGGATATAGTTTTGACCGTTACTATCTTCCATTCACCACGTCATTATAATACTACGTTCATAATTACAAATATTTCTAAATTCAGACAAATTAAGTTTAGGATTTGCATTTGGAGAGCACTTAAATGGCCCAGCATCTACAAGCACCTTACACCTCATCTCAACAATTACAATGGCCTGCGGCAGCATAGCCTTGTGGATCCCGGGAGCAATTTGTCCCTGTGTGGCACAAGGTGAAATAATAATTTAGATTTGTATAGCGCCCTTCAGCAATCAATCTTAAGAGTACCATGTAAGTAAAGGAGGAAGAAAGAACAATAACCTTGCCAAAATAAATACTATAGTGTACATAGCACCGGCCTACACGTGAGTATAGTTTGCTAGTAGGGGAAGACGTTACTGTGTGGGCTTTCCCCAATTAAAACATTTGCAGGCAATCTTTATGCTAGTAAATTTGGATGATAACGCCAGCATACATGGCCTGCTGTGTTTAATACAGTTACAAACAACTCACATGTTGCAATATCCCACGCGGTAGCAGTTCATGCAGCGACGCAGCCTGAGGTGGAGAGGGCTCGTCTTCTGGCAATTGGCGCAATGCGTCACGGGCTTGTCCGGGATCTTCCGTCTCTGGACAAAAGGCAGAATTGAAATCTTCGTTTAACTTTTTAGCATTTTCTCCAGCACTTCCAATCAAAAGAAGACAGTGCAAGGCTTTCGAGTTTCACCACACAAGTCTGCGTTAGTTTCAGAGTAGAGCGGGGCACTCATCATTTTGTGTTCTCCTATTTGAGTTAGTTGTGGGTAATTTTCAAATTTGTAAAATTATGGACTATTCTTTTTTTCGGAGAATGTAACAGGGTCTTTAACGTCGTGTGTTATTGATGCAACCCTTCATGTTCGAGAATGGCCCGTGGAAGCGGATATCACGAAGCTATCTCCGAGATACTCTAATTTGATTCATGGCCCACACAGTCGGGGGCAGCCTTTTCCCACTCGTCCTGCCACAGAGTACTCTTTCTTGGATGACAGTCAAACCCACATTTTTTTCACTGTCAGCTACGTAAAAAGGCAAGACTACATTTAAGGTGATGGTTTTCTTGTGCAGTCATTGGTGACCGGCATCAGACCATCAACTCAGTTTCCTCAAAGGTGGTTTGCCAAGATTAAACCAACGATCTAAGTTGCGTCGTATCAGCGCTCTGACGTGCGAGCCACTCAGCCACCCACACATCACCACACTAATTTTCTATAATACTTATTTTTATTGATGCAATGAGCGGGCCTGATACATCACGTTGTGACGCACGTGCACACTGTCAACAGAAGCCAAACCGGTTATGAAAAGCAGGGGATATAGACAGATGGGTAACGGTCTCGCTGCCCCAAACCATACGGGGGGTCCCACTGAAGGGCGAAAGGGTAACTTCATTTTAAGTAAAGGGGAAGGGATAATAAGGGGTATAGCCAAAATACACCTGCTATAAAGAAAATAAAAACATGAGGCGGCCTAAACGAGAATTTTTCTTTCCACCCCTCTGAATCTGGCTCCCTGCAAATCTGCGGTGGGTATGCCCCTGATCCTCGGTCCCTGTCTCCCGACCCTCCATCCTGTAAACTTATTTCAGGTGTTGTATGAGGCAGGGAGCATCTGGAATCGAATTCCCCCTCCTTTGGCCTTGAGCTTATGGCTCAGACACATCGCCACACTTCTTAGCAAGTAGTGTTTCATCTACGTTGAGAATATTAAACCATGGGTTGGATTGAGAGGCCTGGGCAGGTGCGCTACCTGTTTTACGGGCAGCACTCGCACCCTCTCGCCAGCCAGCTCTCGGCTGAGCACCTCGCAACAGAAGACCATGTCGGACGACCCAACTTGCTCCAAGGAGGTAGTCGCCTGCACGAACCGCTCAAAGCGTGCCTTGTCCACCTGCTCAGAGCCGTCGCAGGCAAAGGTGCAACGTGTGAATCAACTTTGGAGTGCTCGCAGCGTGGACACGCTGAGGGCAGTAACATGGCTGAGCGCAGCCACCTCCGATAAGGTTAACACTGCAGGTGCATGAACCAAAAACACCACACGCCATTTTATTCACAGTGGAAGTTAAAGATCCCGTGACGTCATTCGAAAAAGACATGCCACGTGTGCCGGCATCATGGTCCACATTTGGCAAATTTGAGAATAACTCACAATTTACCCGATTACGTGAAACCACACAGCAACATCGCTCCCTACTTAGAAACTAGTGCAGGTTATACCCATTCGTGAAACAACACCTAACATGATAGATTTACGCGATAAGAATGGTCAAAGTTAATTCCTATTCATCACAGCGCTGAGTCAGTGGTGCAAATTCAACAATCCTATGATGGGGGCGAGTCTATCCACGGGATAACCACTGTTGACTTCCCCACAAAGTGGCACCTGTTTTATCGACTACAGAAAAATTATCGGCTGAGTGAACCCCCTCGAAAACCAGAGTTTGAAGTCGCTTGCCCCATCGCGGAGTCAACTGGTTGAACTAGCACAACATATTTGATTGACATGAGTTTAACATGTTTGCTATGCAAAAACCCATTAAAATGATTATGTAAGGCAGGGGTGGAGAGACTTGTGGCTCACCACTTGGTTTGTGAACAATATTACTGGTAGGAACCTCTGGTTACACCAGCTCACAGGGGATTATTCTGTCCGTCCGTCGTGCAGGGAGGGGCTGGGTGGGGAGGGGCTGGGTGGGGAGGGGAGGGTGGGGAGGGGCTGGGTGAGGAGGGTGGGGAGGGGCTGGGTGGGGAGGGTGGGGCTGGGTGGGGGGGGTGGGGCTGGGTGGGGGGGGTGGGGCTGGGTGGGAATGGGCTGGTCACCCCGTGGTGCCCTTATAAAAATCAACGTTTAACCTACTCACGCCGGCTTGTGCCCGCCCTCACAGTCGGGCATATTTGCGGAATACACCACGCCGCCGTTGACCCTGGCCATTGACCGAGCAACCCAACGTTCCTACCAGCTCCATCTGCAGGAATGTGTTACCCATCACTTCAAGCATCTTAGCTAAACTAATCAGGCAATAGAATGAAACATTTTCAACCTGGAAACAGTTTCTAACTATTGTTATAAGACTCTGTAAAGAGAGAGACAGTCAATCACATGGAAGGTCACATGTTGCGAAAACGACTCGGCCTATCATCCCTCCATGTTTGGCAATAGCAATGCCGATTTGTGGCAAGGCAGCAATCGCTGTACAGAGCGACGTGATATAATCTCATTGCTGTGACTCACCTGAACCAGCCTTAGGTTGTCTGGGTGCACCTTCATCCTTTCAGCCACGAACTTTATCACTTCCGTTCCATGTGCATTCACCTGCCTCACTCTGACCGACAGCTGATGAGATACATGACAATTACACAGAAGGAATACAGAGGTATGACCTGGTTCCAAAAGAGCATCATCATTATCAGCAGCACTATCCATGATCCATCACCCAAATCTAATGATATACCCATGTCACTCTTTCCAAAGAGATTATCATGAATTCCTGAAGTCTAACCTGGCCAAACTAATAAACTGGGCATTATCACGTGGGCTCAGCGGCTCGCACAGCTGCCTCCTGTGCTCCCATGGGAGAAATGAGGTGCAGCAGTAAAATCTCTCCTTCGTGATATCGCACGGTGACATAAAAAATGAATGCAACCCACGTGCGTGCTAGTTCATTAGGTTCAACCGTGCAATTGTGTCTGACAGTCTGTGCGACACGGCCAAGGTGTGTTTTTTTTTAGCTCTCTGTCCTTACGTGTGACATGCTCAAACACGCAACTTCAAATTTAGCACTTGAAAATGGGGACAAACTTGCACAAGTAGCACGTGTACCAATCACATTGAGCAACCGAGTCGTATTGAAGAGTGCGAGTTTGTGAAATCAGATGAATCCCTCCGAGTGGTAAATCATGGTTTAAACACACGTGATCACAGCTATGCTGACTCAGTGTTCTTACATAATTGCTGAAAATGCTATGGAACAGCTTATCCGCAAATATAACTAATGCACCCATAATTAATCATTTTCAGACTAAATTTACTTCATTATTTCAGACATTACGTGAAGAGCTCAAAGTGTATGAAATAACTATTTGCTTTGTGCATTGCCTTGACTCTGTTTTTTACACATCACATTTGGGCTGCAATCGCATCTTTACTGAGTAGTGACGTGAAACCTTTGTTCTGGCACCACGAGATGCACTGCAATGGAAGTGAGTTCTAAACATAAAATGACGATGGCAACGATATGGCCATCGCCACTCGCCAGAGATGGACACGTAATCACATGCAATTTAAATATTTAACATCGTTACATTTTTAAAGGGGTGCCTGGTATACATACAGGAGGCCATGGCTTCGATCCCAACCCTGCTGCATGTTCTCCCTGTGGTTGCGTGGATTTTCCTCCGGGTCCTCCAGTTTTTTCTTCCACATTTATAAACATGAGTTTATAGAGTATTCGAATACTATGAATGTCCACGTGATAATCCACTCCGTTGAGCTATCATTTGTGGCCTGGCCGCATCTGAAAAAGAGCTATATAGCTCAGTAAGCCTTACCTGGTAAAATAAAAATAGCAAGATAAATAATTTACTGGTTTATTAAATCTTCCCCAGTAATATAACGTTAGCATTTATTTTGCCCATTCTCCGCTGGCCGCCTCGCAAGATAGGTACCTTGACAGGGCGGCGGTAGGGCTCACGGGGCAGGAAGTAAACGGGCAGCACCCGTTGCCTCTGGGGCAGTGGCACCGGCAAGTACAAGAACGGGTCAAACGTGATGGACACCTGCAGCGCAAGCACACAACATTTAATGGGGTAAAGAACCGATACGTCAATCAATGTCATCACTTTCTAGCTGCACACCGCTGCTGCTTAAAATGTCAAAGGGTAAAAGTTTTTTTTTTATGCTTGGATAAGCGTGCAGCAATGCTGATCTACAGGTTGGCAGCGCAGGTGAAGGGGTGACAATTCCACATTCCTATGGCAGGGGTGAATCTGTCCAAAGGACAACTGCAACCACAAAGTAGTAAAAAAGGGACAAAAAAAATCCCCCAAAAGCATCCCCATTGTAAGCAGTGCTCTAAGTAAATTACAAAAATGTTACAACTTCACAAATATACATTATTTCGAATAACCAGTAATTACATATTTAAACCAAAAATTATTTTATTTTGCACCGACGATTTTTCATTACTAGCTTTTAACTGTGCTTGTGCACCCTCTGTTAACACAATCCCTTTACATGGCCATTTGCTGTTCTGCCCTCCAACATGCACTTTTGTTGCCCTGCAGTTGACTTGCCTAATTCACATTTATAAATTTAAAAAGACCCCACAAAGTGACCGCGTGGAGGTGCGAGTGAGTGTACGTACATGACCACACACTGGGCAAACAAGCTTGGACTTGTAGAGGCCATGGAAGAGGTGTACGATAAAAGAGTCATTCCATGCCTTGTGCCTGGCCCACGCTCGTTCCGCCATATGCTGCACATAGAAAACAAGTGCCATTCGTTCCGCTTTATATTATTATATGATATTTTAACGTATGCAGTATTCGTTCAATCTCAGAAACGATGATTCGGAGGCGCGGGAAATCACAGACAAGTGAAAAGGCAGCCAGAACTGGTGCCAGGTCACTTTCATTCCACCCACAATGGCTTTCTCATGGGGCCCAATGCATGAACTTTTAGGGGCATTTTTGAAATCCTTTTTGGCCAAAATGTACAAATGTGCTCAACATTTAACATTTTTACAGTATAATGGGACGTCATTTTTGTCATTACACAAGAACACCTTTTCTTGGGTCTTTTTCTCCAAGTTTAATCGGACCGTGTTATTGGTAACACATCACAAGATGAATAATCCACTTGAATCTCTCCGCGTTGCTGTGGAGCATTATGGGTAGAGGCAAATATAAACAAAATTAACATACATACGAACATGCTCTCGTCCATTCACCAATTGGCTTCTCAGACCAATATTTTACACTTACCCAGAATGCTCCAAGGCAATGCAGTAAAAAAAGGTGCAAGTGTCTGCAATCGCCCCGCCTCTGTCCACCAGGCAGTGTAAATGGATACCACCATGAGTTAGTGGATCGGCAGGTCGCGTGTGGTGGGGTAAAGTGTGGTTACTCCCACCTCTTCCTGTAAGAAGTGTAGGCCATAAACACTCCCTCTAGAGGGCCTCTCTGGAACTTCCTCTAGAGAAGGCCCTTCCACCAGCGGTGACGAGAGCAAGCAATCGCAGCCCTGCACCATTGCCTTCACCGAGCGTGACCCATACATTATGAGAAGGCGTTGGCACCTGGTCGGAGAGGCTGCCGTGTGGCTCTGGGTACTGCTGGGGAGTCGGAGAGTTTGCCGCCAGGTTCAGGTCCTCGTGCAGACCGTCCAGCAGGAAGGCCAGAAACTCCTGGGCGTCGTGCTGTGAGAAGCCAGAGAACTGGCTGGCTTTATTCGACACAATCTCCTGTGAGGCAAGCACACACATACCGACCCGAGGCACGGGAACACAACAAACGATTTAAGCCTCGGCCAAAGCATCTCCCTAAGCTACCCAATGGGTGACAGTCCTCTCCATTAGGGACCTTGAAGTTAGTGCAAAAATAATCCACATTCCCATGGCAGTACTCAGCCTGTCTACGAATCAATCGTCTGTTGATTTTTGAGGCAAAACTTGTTGTGATCTCAAAGGGATGATAAGACTGAGTCAAACGCCAATAGGGATATAAATTTGCATCCTTCCCAATGGGAATGTAGCAGGCAGGTTTTTGCAGCCACTCATAATCCAGGATTGGTCTTTCGGGTAAGGCCACATGTTGAGCATTTCTTCTTTTAAGCTTGATCCGTGAACTACTGTTGGCATCTTCAGGAGTTGAATATGCTTGATTGAAGATGTCCACAGTAGTGCATGGCGAAAGCTCGAAAAAAGATATGTTCAGCACACCACCTAAGCTAGAAGACAACAGTGGTCTTACCAATGAAAGTCCAGTACTCCAAGTTGCACTGAACTGGATTATGAGTGAAGCTAAGGGACATGCCAATGTCCCACCTCAAGGCAGTCCAGAGATTGGTAGGGGAATGCTCACCTTGAGCTTGGACGGAGAGAATGCATAGTGGGTCCCTTTCCAAAGGGTTTGAAGAATGATTGCCAAGCTGACAGCCAACCGTCCCCCCGTTCCCAGGACGTTGGAGTAATTTATATCGGCCTTAAATGCCGAGTCTGCTGGCGAGGGCAAAACATCAATGATTAAAGCAGCAAGAATAATTAAATTAATACGAATAATCAATTGTAACAAAAAAATTGCCAAGTTTGTTATCAACACTGCCTTTATGCAAGTCAAGCCTATCACTAAATCACCCAGGATGCACCTGATCTTGTCAGATATTGGAAGCTAAGCAGTTTTAAGCCTGGATAATGATTGGATGGGCAACCACCATGCCTTACACGTGTTATAGGGTCGGGGTGGATAGTCCAGCAATGGAAATTCCAAGTTGTCATGGCAGGTAGAGTGCTACTGAAATAATACTGTACGTACAGAAAACATCCAGCAATGTTTGACAAGTGCTCAGATAGCAAGCGCAGTGGCAAACTGAGAGCGTGACAAAAGATCCCCCATCAAGTGTTCGCTATTAGAGAGCACCTATGAAGGCTAACGTGGCACACTAGCGGGGTGGTGTGGCCAGCACCAAGCTCGGCCACCTTTGTTTAACAAGTGGCAATGTTTACACACCACACCAGCGACTCATTTATGATTGAGTCGACCCAGGGAAGGCCCAGGACTGATTCAGATAATCGTCACCGATGTTGGCTGTGAGCGTGATTCTAACTCGGGTTGTTGAGTTCGTAGCGCAGCTCAGTAGCCGCTACGTCAGTGTTCTTAATTGCAAGGCCCGCGGGCTGCAAGCGGCCCCTGGCGGCCTTTAGTTCGGCCCCTGACGTACGGCCCCCAACAAAAAACAAATGTGAAGACACCCTCATCATCGTGCTGTCAAACACCAACGGCCTTCACACTGATGATGTCTTATCAGCGAAGTGGCCGACCTCTGAAAATTAACGAAGAACACTGCATTATGCTAACACTCCCCACAGAGGGTACGACAAAGATGTAGCCCCCCCCCCCCAACCATGGCCTCAACAGACTTTTTACGACACGTGTGCAAGATGCAATCAGCGCGGCCCCCACCGTGCAGGTAGTCGCGCAGCTCGCGCGTGTTGGACAGCGCCTGGATCACGCTGTTCATGAAGCACGTGTTGCCCAGGTTGATGAGCCCCGTGAAGCCCGGCACACACACCTGCTCCGCCTCCTCCCCCTCCCCCCTGCTGCTCGCCATGATGGGCGGAACCTTGCACATGGGCTTAGCCTGGTGGCGCACGCAACACCTCGTCAGGAGCGGCAGCAGACGCGATAACGGCAGCACCAGTGTCATGCATGGGCTTCGGTAGCAGCACAAGCAGCGGCGTCAACATTAGCAGTGGCACCAGCAGCGGCGCCACAAGTAGCACGAGCAGTTGTACCAGCAGTAGCACCAGCAGCAGCAGTATTCTCAGCACCAGCACTAGCAATGCACAGGCACCACCAGCAGTAGCATCAGCACAAGAGCAGCAAAAGCAACACTAGTGGCAGCACTGGCAGTAGCACCAGCAATAGCACTAGTAGCAGCAGCACCAGCAACAGCACCAGCACTAGCTCGAGCAGTATTCTCAGTACCAGCACTATCTGCACTAGCACCAGCACCAAGAGCAGCACAAGCAACACTAGCGGCAGCACTGGTAGTAGCACCAGTAGCAGCAGCACCAGCAGCACTAGCAACAGAAGCATCGGAAGGGTAACGTTTTTAATTAATAGGTCACAACTCGAGGTCTTAGAATGGAAATTATTCTCATACTTGTTTACATTTGGAGTAACATAGTCTGACCAACTGATTGCTTTTTTCAAATGAATGTACGTTATAATACATGTAATCTGGTATTTATTGTACTGTGCTTCTATGCATCCCCACCTATGCTGTCCACCTTCACCAACTCGCACTAATCAGCGTGAAGAATGGTCAAATAGCCCCACCATGAGCTGCACGGCATGGAGAGGACCTCATCCACAGGTGGATTGACAAGTGGGCTGTACACGCACACATGTATGTACGTTTAACGTCTTTCGCACCGTACGCAGCCAACCGGGCTAATAGGAGGCACACATGTGCACAGTGACAACACTAACTAATGTACTTTTTGGGGAGTGGGGGTAAAGGGTTATATCCAATAGGGGCTGGCAAGGTCTCACCGTGCATGCGGTGGCGGATTCCGATGACTGCGAGGTGCAACGCTCGGGGAGGTCGGCGAGAACGTGGTGTGTGGCGGAGCCACGGACGGGCCCAGCAGCCGCCCCCAACGCAGGCGTCGCCTTCCTTGCCTCCGCGGGGCTACGCGGCGGCAGTGCCTCCCGCACGGGCTTTTCGGGTGCTGAAGTAAACGCAACGACAACACGACACACGTACCACCCTCCTTTCCACCGCACGACCGAAGGTGAACCAAAGGTCGCAAACGGGTTTTGATTCCTTACCCGTACCCGTACCCGGCCGCACCAGGGTTGCAAATGGGTACCCGTACCCGGCCGGGTACAGGTTCCCGTTCCCTACCCGTACCCTACCCGAAATGAGTGACTCACGGCCTACCCGTACCCGTACCCGGCCGCACCAGGGTCGCAAACGGCTACCCGTACCCGGCCGGGTACGGGTTCCCGTTCCCTACCCGTACCCTACCCGAAATGAGTGACTCACGGCCTACCCGTACCCGTACCCGGCCGCACCAGGGTCGCAAACGGCTACCCGTACCCAGCCGGGTACGGGTAGCCGGGTATCGGGTAGGGTACGGGTATCGGGTACCCGATTGCGACCTCTGAGATGAACCCAGAGGGGAGCTGTGCCAAGCCAAGCCCGGTGTGGCTGACGAGGAACTGGATTGTTGGCGGTGATGCGGTCCGGCGGTAGCGCGTTCGCCGATTTTGGAAAGGTTCATGGATTGAATATGCTAGGCCACCGTGGTTAATACTACAGCGTGTACTAGCTATAATTTACACGCCGTCTGCTTTACAGTAGATGTTAATGGATAGTGTGCCAGCGTCGTGGTCCAAATTTTCCATATTTGAAAAATTACTGAATGGAAAATACACAGAAATCGTCACCACCTACGGTGAAACTTAGCAGGTCCCTCCTGAAAAAAAACCATCCTGAGGCTTAATATTCAGCCGCTTCCTTGGGTAAACAACCATTATAACAGTAGTATATGCTTACTTTTGCAGAAGGGCTCGTCTGTTGGCTTCCAGCGCTGGCCATCCTTCTTCCGTAAGCTGATCTCTAGGTAACTAGTCCGGAGGGTATAGGAGCTCTGCTCAGGATCAATCACGTGCCTGAAAGGAAGAGTAAAGCATTAATGAAGCTCGGTGGCTGAATTAATCCGTAACTGATTTGCAGCTCCATTACCATAGGATACATGGTCACCAACAAAATCCATTGTTAGTTATCTTCACCAACCCAACACGGTGCCCAGAATAACCCAGCCTTCCTGCTGGACGCTCGAAGCAAGGACCTGAAGCTGGTGTGGAACAAAAACGACTCGCAAGCAGCAGTACCCTGAGTCACAAGGCAGCCCCACTGACCGCCATAAAGAATCTGGTCACGTGAAATACGGCCAAATAACCTCCACTGCCCACATAACATGCGGAGGCCCTCAACCAGCAGCGGACTGACAAGTGGGCTGTACAATACAATACAATATTACCATGCAGCCATTGTAGCTAGTGCTGAAACAACTGACAGGTTAGGATGATTGAGCAAATATAATAAGACAAATGTAATAATTGTCAGCAGGCACTCTCCCTTTTCTACAGGAAATGCATTTGTGCTCAACGCCAATTGCGAGAAACTCGCAAGCTGCGTTCTCGGTTGGATGTATCGAAGGTGAACAACACAAAGGCACAAAAATTAAGGTGCATTTCGGCAAAATTTCTGCCCAAGAGGTGGTTCTTACAAAAGTTCCAGTGTCCACTGGAAGCGGCTCTCTGGTGTGGCGTTTTCATGCTGCTTGAGAAACCTCTCATCTCTATCGGAAAACAGAAATCACAGGTAATGTACACAAGAGCAGTGGCCCAATAAATCAAATCAATTCATTAGAATTCACACTTTTCCTTTCCACCATCTCTTGTAACCTGGCTACGTTAAAGTGACATGTGCACTCTTTATCTATTGCAACTTTGATAAGTGCTGTTTTGTCGCGAGCCGTTTGACATTTGGCCTATCGGTCCTGTGCTCAGCAATTAGTTTAAATAAAAATTCCTACAGCACAAGGCCGTGATGAATGTGCCACGTTTCACACAGCACGGGGGTGACGTTGCCATTTGGTTTGACCCATTTAATTATGCCCAGGTAATCTATACAAATTTGGAACGTGATTCCAGCACCGATGGGCCTCCTCTTCTTCGAATGTCAAGGGATCTTTAGCGGCCCAATGCGAAGTAGACAGCGTGTAATGTATGGTTAATACACAGGCGGCATTCACGAGGATGACCATTGGCCTCGAACCATAAAGCCCTGCAACAAGCGACAAACTCGCCTTCACTTGGCAAGGTCATGTCCAAGTCAGCCTGCACCATCGTTCATATTTTGAATTGTTGCGCATTGCGCCTGCCACCAATTATCAGGTCATGAGGTCGTTACGTCAGTGAATCGTGTAGGGACACCAGAACTGAGATTTTAAGAGGTAAATGTCCCTTATTTATCAAGGAGAGTCTGCGACTTTGGCAGTTCCTTTTTAACGAGTGTTTTGGAATTGAGGAAAATTGGGAGTACCTTGAAAAAAAAACCCAAGCAAACAAAAATACAAGGCTCAGGAGGTCTTGCCATCTCATGGACCTACCTTGCAGCCCAGTGATTTTGAAAATTTCACATATCAAAATGATACACCCACCCTCACCTTCAAAATGCTCGATTACAGGCATGTGCCACCCCCATCCAGAAGCTATTTGTTCTGCTACCACCTTTGTAGCGCACTGGGTTTAGGAGTTTTGACCGCCAGTGTCTAATTTCAGCCGGAACAGTCTGGAATGCTTTCTCCAGCAATTATTTTGGCAAGGTACATCCATCTCGCCTTATTTTGTTCTCAGCCCGTTCAGTGGATTACAGCAATACTGTATTGGGTACAATGTTAGATTAATATAGAAGGGCAAAACATTGTGCTCTCGTGGTAGTACCTTACACTGATAATCCCTACACCAATCCAACCCAGCAGCGATCTGGAATATACCACGTGAGAAATTAAGCCCTGTTGACAGCAGATTATGATCTCCACGTGATCCATCAACCCTACCTTCGGAGCACTGCAGTGTACATTCTAGCAAGAGCCACGTCGCGCTCGGAAATCAGAATCTTTATTTGGGCTGGAAGAATCCGATGAGCTCCGAAGTTCTTTTTCACAGACGTCCAGTCGGGGCGCGTCAGCAAGAATCGTATCGGGAGACGCACATCAAGCCAGCAGGCAGCTCACCGTGTCTGAAACACCACCGTCAGGTGATGGGGCGAGAACATGACGCGAAACCTATCGAGCTGCACCTGCTTCAGGTAAACGTTCACCACGATCACCTCCGCGCTCTTCTTGTACCAGTTCTTGTTAATGCTGCAAACACTCACACAGCCCCCGGGCGTGCCCGCTGCTCCACGTGGCAGGAGGACACACGCGCGCACGCACGAAGAGAGAACGGAACACACTGCTGGTGAGTCTGTGGCCCAAACTTTCAGTTGCATTCACATTTAAGGTTTGGTTTAAAAACAAGTGTGTTCACATTAGCAACATGCACTAAATTATTATTGTTTCCTATTGTTACAGGGTTTATTACATTTATCAGACTATAAGCGATACACACCTTCGTCAACATGCTTTTTAGAAATATCCGCCTTCAATGCTCCCTTGATGTGCACAGGGGATAGCTGGTAGTTTCCAACGAGACACATCTTGTTTCTGTCCTGTATTGTCGTCTGTACAGTCAACACCTTCCCCGCAATCTGTAGCAACAAGGGCGGATGGGATTGTGTTTCAAAACCATCACGTTATAGTTGCATTGCAGGGCAACAGAGACATTGCTTCGAAAGAATGTTTCATATGTTGTATGTTTCACTTCTTTCACACCGTACATAGCCAACTGTGCTAATCGGAGGTGCGAAAATTATATTAATATATTTCAAAATTACAATGACATACATAAAGAGGAATATGCAGATTAGAGAACATACCCAGGTAAAGGACATCATTCTGTTGATAAAAGAACGTGGGCTTGGGCAGGAAATCATGATGAGACCGGCTCCACAATTATTAATCAATTACTCTATCAATTATCGGTTGGAATTACTCGACTATTCCGAGTGCACAAATCAATAAAGTTTGAAAAAACGAAAGCGTCACCTCTGTTCACAGGTGTGCCACTGTACGGTAGGTGATGAACACGACTTAGTGATGTTACCTGCATTATCATCAGCCGCGTCACGCTGGGCGTGGTTTGTGGGGGGTTTCGTGCCTTTGAGAGGCAGGGTGTAGGGACGACCGAGTAATCAACCACAGAAAGGTAGTTGACGAATAATACAGTCCTCCTTTGTTATTCGCGACGGCTATGTTCTGGAGATGCTTGCGAATGGCGAATTTTGCAAATGTTGGCCTCGAAATGACTTACCTTGGATAAATACATAAATAAGCTATTAAATACATGAACAGTATAATTTCTCTCATTACTTTATCTCTCATCACTTTCGCGCATCACATTCTCTCTCATCACTTCATCACGTAATTTCTTTCTCTCTCTCGATGCAGTCGTGTAGAGTTCCAGATGCGATTTTCGCGGATAGCCAAAATCGCAGATATCAAGTTTCGTAAATAACGAGGGAATACTATAAACAGCTTGTCCCGGCTCTAGGTACTATTATAATTGTGCAGATAGGTGCGAGTCACCGATTGTTCGTCGGCTGGCAGCTTGTCCCGCTCAGTGGTGCTTGGCCATTTGGCTGCGAGGCTGTCTGCAGTCCTCCCGGGCTTTAGGTTTTTCTCCACATGTCCTGCCTCCCTCCAACTGGCAGCCTGTTCCATTAAGAGGTTGCCAGGACCCTCGAGACAGGACTGCCGTGCACTGGAGGCGTCAAATGCCAGGTCGGCCGAACTCTTTGGATCTCCTGCATCGTTGTTCGGCTGCGGACAGGTAATAATTCACAGTCCTTCATCAATCCACCGCCTCCCAATGCCGTGAAGGCTTCCCAATGCCGTGTCGGTCTTTAAGAGTTGTTCGGACATAATTCACGTTAGTCGGTGCGAGTTGGTGAAGGCAAGGGCCCAGGACTGGTTCAGATATCATCCGTAACTTATGTTAGCCATGCCCGGGAATGGAACTAGAGCACAAGCAAATCAGAAAAGTCATATTGAATGTTGAGCAGGGAATGTCGCTTGAAGGGACCACAAATAGAAAGGTTGTATGTTTGTTGTCGAAATAAACATGTCGGCAACAACAACAAAAACTACACGCATTATGAACAAAGCATCAAAACCCTTCTGCCACCAACATGTAATGCATCATAGGGCAAGTTAAAACAAGGTAAAGGGGATATCATGTCGACCATCATCTCTCACGATCCTGCAATGTACCATTCTACATAGCAACTACACGCAAGCTGATACCATCACTCCATCGCCCTGACCAGGGGTGGTTACACCTGCGGCTCCGGAGCTGCATGGCGTCTCTTTAGGGACTGCTTCTGTGACGTTATTTATTAAGGACCCACCGTCTCGTATAGTCACGTGCTCTTTAAATATTGAGGGGTTTTTTTTACCGAATTTAGAAAAAAATATAGCTCTTCTTGTTATTTTGATGCCGACCCCTAGCCTAGGTGGACATTCTCTCAGGTGAGTTCCATTCCTCAACTACAACTCCAACCATCAGCCATCGTCACTTCTAGGAGACATGTCCAGCCGAAGCCCACTTAAATTCTAAACAGTCTTAACGATGTGTGTATGCATGTATGTTGAACTTCTTTCACACCGTATGAAGCCAAGCATGCTAATCGGAGGTGTTCGGGGAAGGACAACTAAACACAAAAAACTATTCTAAATAAATGTATTTTCTTTTTAGATTTAAAAGCGCATAGCTCCAGTAGCTTCCTAAAATCAGGTGTTCCAGACAGCTGCAGAAGCGCATTTGAAAGCACGCGATGCAAAAAGGATGTAATTAACCTGCATAGATTCCACTTTCTGTCTCTTAATGTTGATGATTATGAGCAAAATTGTGAGTCCTGTAGGTCCACATTTTTGCGAGCGCAATACTCACGAACAGGGTAGGCCAATCCTCATGTTCGCGTTTCTTCTGCAAGTTTAGGATGAGCTGTCGATCTCGCTCCCGACACTGCACCTTGCTGCACGAAGCCTCGATCTCCCCGTAAAACGTACACCTCCACACGAATCCTCCTGCCGGGTCAACAAAGCAAACTCGTCACTGGCAATAGAGAGGACATTTAATTGTATCATTCATTATAATATTTGGGTTATGCCTTGTCATGATCTGGCCAAATTTGTGTCATTAAGGTCCCTCCACCATCCAGCACAGGCAAATAAATTCAATTGTGACATGTACAAGTATTTAATAATCAAAATTTTATTGTTTCAGCTTACCGGTAAGTTGTGTCAAATGGTGGAGGGTTATAACAACACAAATTGGGTAATATCATTACGTGATCTAATACCACATTGCCGGCCCCATAATCATTGTAAGAGCGAGTGGCGCGGTACCTGGAAACGCAACGGAACAATCTCTATTGGACAGGATCACGTTCACGTCCTTCAGCCTCACGGCTCCGCTGCTTACGAGCCGGATGTTGAGGTTGCTTCCGTGCTGATTCCACTTGCATTGGACCTCTGCGGGCCCGCCAGATGTCACACGCAACACAAGACAATTATTAGCAACTACCCCAAGATGTCAACGTGGCCAAAGCCGCTGATGCCACCACACACCTCACCAACGCTAACCTCTGCCAGATCCCCCATCCACTGCACAGTAGACACAAGACCTGCAAAACCTGCACAAACAGTATCCATAATCTGGTCTTAGGTCTTTCATTTCCCCTTGGTAACCAATCATCCTATAAAATATAGGACTGCATTGGCAGTGGCACACACGCAAAAAAAACACTAACGCACTTGTCGTTAATACTGCCTCAGTCCAGAAAAATATAAAATAGATTAACATTACGCGCAATTGCTATGCCCTAGAGACTGAAGTTATGCATAATTCCTCAAGTGGTATCTGTCCCTTTGAATGCAGGTGCGTACAGCGGAGGTCAGCAATTTAATTTCTGAATAGAGTAAGCAACTTCGAATTTTTGCATCGAATGTAACAGCAAAGTGCAGTAGACATATCATGAAGAGGAAGCTCTGCTAGGTAGGGCACACATGCAGGATGCAGGAGGGAAGGTTACTGAGGCATGCAATGGAAATATGTTGAATTTATTTCCCACCGGACATAGCCAACCAAGCTAATTGGAGGTGCGGGGGAAGGACAACAAACTAAACACAAAAAGCAGTTCTAAAGAAATGAGTTTTCAATCTAGATTTAAAAGTGCATAGCTCCAGTGGATTTATAAAATCGAAGGTAGAGTATTCCATATGGCCGCAGAAGCGCATCTCAAAGCGTGCGACGCAGTGACCGCCTTTGTTCGATGGCTAGCCAAAAGCCGCTGCAAGGATGACTGGAGTTTGTGTGATTGTTTATGTTCCTTGACGAGATCACCAAGGTTACAAATGACTGTCCCAGCAGACCTTGTTTGGTCAGGCATCAACTGTGCACAGCTGAGATGATTACCATACGCATAGGACAGCCTGGTGCAGTGTGGCATCAAAAGCAATTGCCAAAATTACTTCACCAGCTTGACTCTGCTACCTACAGCCCATTAAACTGCGGTGCGGTCACTACCCTCTGCAGTGATGAATTTGTCTCCAGAAGCCTTGCACGCATGGTTACTCTTGTCCTTAAGCTTTTTCTTGCACTCGGCACTCCTTGCCCTGGTGATTATGCCACCGCCGTCGCCACGACTTCCGCTGGGTTGTGGAGGGCAGGTAGACGACGCTGGTGGGCACGTGGGTCCGGGCTCGCGTTGCGAGCCGGGCGGAGAGGGCAACAGCAGCATGGAGACGCAGAGTTGCTTCAAAGGCCTGCCGCCAGGGTCCCACGCGGGCCCTCGCTTCCTTCCTGCACCGGCAATCTTGGCAGTTGCGCGAGTGGGGCGCAGTCCTGCCCCCGTCACACTAACGTGAAAAATAATATGGTCAGTAAGCAAAGTGAATAAATGCCATTCCGTTGTCATGATCGAGTTCCAGTCAGCATGTTCCACCTCTGTATTTTATTTATTCACACGTGTATCCTGTTACAAATCACAAATGTTCACCAATGATGTGTGTTTACATGCAATGTGTGGAACGTGTCAATAATGTGCGCGCTCACTACTCGAATCAACCCCGTTGTTCACCATGTCCCTACCCGTTGTCACTCTCTCATGCTTACACCCCTCCACCGCATTCGATTCCTCGACAGGGCCCGCGTTCCGACACTCACCTCCCCATGATTACCCAGTCCCTTGCAGCGCTGGTGGGACCATCCCTCCCGGTCCAGCCCCCCTCCCCCCCCACTTCTCGCGCTCTCACTCGCAGCCTGCGGGTTCCGCACTGTTTTCTTTCCGTTCCTTCAGCCTCCCGACACATCTTCATGTCCAGTTTAGCTATCTAACCTCTTCCGTGGCCCAGCACCACCTTTAATTTCTCCCTCAATTGTCTCCCATGCCAATATTCCTTACCCAATATTGATATATTTAGTTTCCAATGCCAACATTCAGTTTCCCCTGCTACTGTTCTCTGATCTCCTAATGGACTGACTTTCCAGCACGCCAAGCCCGTGGCTTCCTGGTAGAATGCTCCCTATGAGTGCAACTTCCTGAAGCTATGGACCCATTGTAAGTGTTGCACACCGTCTGCGTCGGTCGTAGCCGTCCAGAATAAACACTTCCTCATTCGAGACCCAAACATCGCACCTCTGCCTGGCTTTGACATTCCTACTCGAAGACACTGGTGGTGGAACTATCAACCGCATCATCAGAACATCAAAAGGCCAAGGTGCAACATCTCTTAAGTGGAAAATTAAAATACAAGCCACCACAGTAGTGCAATTACATACTTGTCAACCCATACGGTTTACCCATATTCCTGTCCAGGGAAATTGAGTTTTCAGGTCCATACGGCATACAGCCGTTTCAATACGGGTAAAAAAATGTGTTTTGTCTATTTGTTTGTGTTACTCCCCTGCGATTGGACTTTGTAGGATGAACGTTGATATTTATAAGGACACGGGGTGACCAAAGGTCTGAATTGGTCTGTAATAAGGTAGGCACCGATAAGGGGTTGACGGGTATGCAATTGTGTCCCTGCAACCCAAACCATGGTCCGTGTAATTAACCACTGTAGTCTCCGTGCCGTCAACGCACGAATAGCAAAACTACACGAACCCTCTCCTGAAGAAGCATTTGCCTCGTGGCCAGCAGACCTCAACATTGGCATTTAGCCTCTGGACACATTGTCATAGGTAAGAATAGAATAGTTATGGGCATTCAAGTCATTATGACGGTTGTGTAAAAGTATAATGCGCGACTTCTGCGACACGTCGTGTAGAGGGTACTTCTTCATTATTACTCACTGGGCACAACACAGGCCAATACTTGTTCTTCCTCACACCGAGAATAACTCTAGGTATTAACACCTCTTGTGGCTACACACACAGCCGATCACTCGGCGTGGTCCCATCGCCCTCACTCGGCCACGCCGCTGGCTGGCGGCGTGACGATGACGGCGATGGAAACCACGCAGGAGATCTTCCACGTTGCCAGATGACAGAGATGTCGGCGAGCAGCGATGCAGCCAGGACCCAGGACCCCACACACGAGCCCCGGGTCCGCTCCCCCTTATATCCCCCCAGGCGTGGCTGGGCCCCGCCTCCGGCTACGCCCCCTCGTGGAACCTTCCAGCAGATTCCGGAAGAATCTCGGCTAACCCCACCTGTTACCTGTGCCCCAGATACACCTTCTCTGATTGGTTGGAACTTAACCGTGCTCGTACCCGTGATTCCCTTTCCGACCAGCAGGTGTCACCCTGTCATTACAAAAGAATGACGTGTATTTATTCAGGGTAATATGCTGCATTAATTTACACTCACGTTGTGTAACCAATGTCAAATATTATTGTTTGCATGTTCACAACAAGTACGTGAGGGCTAATGCAGACATGGTTCCTTGCAAAAGGTTTCTATTTGGTGTTTGAACATCTTAACACCTATTCTTTGGTTCTTTCGGTAAAGTCACGTAGATAGAAAATAAAATAAAAAATATAAAAAACACGTTTTGATCGCAAGCGGTCGTCATCAGACGCCTGTATCTTTACCGAAAGAACCAAATAATAACTTTTGATTTAAAGCTTTCGTGACTGCAGGGATTCATATTATTGGTTCTTTCGGTAAAGTCACGTATAAGGGAAATAATAAAATAACAAAAATATAAAACAATAAAAATTCTCACGACGTTTCGACTGCAACACAAGCAATCATCATCAGGTGTGAAATCCACAGCAAGAAAATTTACCGCCACTTTTCTCAAATTTTCTTGCTGTGGATGTCACACCTGATGATGATTGCTTGTGTTTCAGTCGAAACGTCGTGAGAATTTTTATTGTTTTATATTTTTATTATTGAAATATTTCTCTTCTACGTGACTTTACCGAAAGAACCAAGAATACAAATAATAACTGTTTTATTGCCGGAAAGGGTAAACCCTATTCTTATTTTTTTTTTATCACAATTGAAAATAGACCAAGTCTAATTTGCAAGATTAGCCTGGGTAATCAGTGGTACACTGTGTTTGTATTTAATGTTTTCATTTTAAATAAAATTACTGCACAAAAAATCAACAAAAACATCGAATAGTAAATTATACCGTAGAAAAAACTAACAAAAATAAGTTTACGTATTTAATGAGAGATTATAATCGCACGCTTAATGCAAGAATAACAGTTTATATAGTGTAAGCATTATAACCCACACACGTGCATTCAACACACGACTGATTGAAACCATCATTGGCTGTGGTGCAAAGGCAAAATCACAAATGAACGAAAACTCAATACGTTAAATCAGTAACAGTGGCCTTAACAAACAAATAAAATGCGTAAGATATTAAGTTATAAGCAACGAGCGCGTGTGTGTGTGTTATAGGAGTAATAATACGCCTTGAACATGCAACGGCACTGACCGCAAGGCGACTTTTAGTTGCTTCAACTGAAGTCGTCTTCAACAAAAGGCAAAAAGTTTACCTCAGATAAAATCGTAACAAGCAATAGTTAAAATGCGAACGCCGGCTAATGATGCGAGCACGGCCCCCCACATACGGAGGAGCGACTGCCCGACTCGTCGTTAATGTTGTCACCGCGTAGCGGATGTATCGATCCGCAGTTTATAATCTATTAGTCGTCGATTCCCTTGTTCTACCGTTAACTTGCATGGGGGAATCGATTGCGTGATTTACTTCGCGAATCGGGGGCGGAGGGAATGGACGCAGCGGGTTGTGGAATCGATGGATCGATCCGCGTTGTTATCTCGCGATTCCTTGCGGTAACACTGAGGTGGGGGGAGCACGGGGGGGGGGGGGCTGACGACAAATTTGACCAATCAGAGAGCGGCAGGAAAGGGCGGGAACGATGAGCTACTATAGTTACCCAATCACAAGGCGGCATGCTGAAGAAGGGGCGTGGCGATTAACCGAACCGGCCAATCAGAAAGCGAACTGTCGAGCAGGCGGTGTGGGGTGAATTATGGGGGTTATACCCGTCAACCCTTTTATCAGTGCTGCCTACCTTATTACAGATCAATTCACACCTTATTGGTCACCCCGTGCCCCTTATAAAATTCAACGTTCATCCTACAAAGTCCCATCACAAGGGAGAAACTGCTGTGCGCGGTATGGGCCTGTTAACTAAATTTCCCTGTACAAGAATCCGGGCTAAACCGTGTGGGTTGACAGCTAAATGAAATGAAATAAATGAAACTATGACACGGGGGAAGGGGGAGGGAGGAAAGTTGGGGGGGGGGGGGGGGTGGTGGATGGGGAGGACGGGGGGTGGAAGAGGTGGGTGGTGGTGACTTGGGGGGGTGAATGGGGGGGGGTGAATGGGGGGGGTGAATGGGAGTGGTGAATGGGGGGGGGGGAATGGGGGGGGTGAATGGGGGGGTGAATGGGGGGGGGGTGAATGGGGGGGGTGAATGGGGGTGGTGAATGGGGGGGGGGGGAATGGGGGGGGGTGAATGGGGGGGTGACTGGGGGGGGTGAATGGGGGGGGTGAATGGGGGGGAGTGAATGGGGGGGGGGGTGAATGGGGGGGGGTGAATCGGGGGGTGAATGGGGGGGGGTGAATAGGGGAGGGGTGAATGGGGGGGGTGTGAATGGGGGGGGGTGAATGGGGAAGGGGTGAATGGGGAGGGGTGAATGGGGGTGGTGAATGGGGGGGTGAATGGGGGAGGGGTGAATGGGGGGGTGTGAATGGGGGGGGGGTGAATGGGGGGGGGTGAATGGGGGGGGGTGACTGGGGGAGGTGAATGGGGGTGGTGAATGGGGGGGGGGTGAATGGGGGGTGTGTGAATAGGGGGGGTGAATGGGGGGGGTGAATGGGGAGGGGGTGAATGGGGGGTGAATGGCGGGGGGTGAATTGGGGGGGGGGGGGTTCCGGTTGTTCCGGAAGTCACTGCTCATTCACCCGGCGTGCCCCGCGCGCAATGGACGCGGAGGGTGAGTGGCGCTCCGCGCGGGTGTCGCGCCAACAACTTGGTGTTGGGACGTCTCGACATTTCACGAGGGGACTGCGAATGTCGAAAGGCACAACGCGTTTCGAGAAGTACAGGCGAACCTCTGCACCTAATTGCTTAGAGAGAGAAAACACACCGTTGTCTATTTCACCCATTCCATTTGAATGATCGGGCACATTTAAAAGGCCACATGAGGAGGAGGGAGGTAGAGGGGAGTGATGAGGAGGTGTTTGCAGGGCCACGACTAAGTGGTAATGGGGGGCGGCTACTATAACGAAGCAACTCGGCGGGTTTTAGAAGATGACACGACGAGGAATGGGGCAATTGTGTACTAGCGAGGTGGAGGAGGAAGGGCGAAGCGGGTCGGGTAACCGAATGAGAGCGCCCGGTGGCGGGAAATGAGGAAGAGGGCGCGCGTGGTGATTGATTGATTGATTATTGATTTGAAGCATTCGTGATTGCAAGAATCCATACCCTTAAAACAGTCTGCATCAGCAGCAGGCCGTGCTTCCCCACCTGATGATACGTGACAAACCTTACTAATTTGGCTGCGTTGGGTGGTGGCGGGTTTAACGATACATTTATATATTTACGCGATCGAACCCAAAACTATTGACCGTATCGTGTTCACGTGCATTGCGGCTCTTGAAATATTGAGGTTTTTTATCGAATTCGACAAAAAAACTTTGTTATTTTGGTTGTCGACCCCTGCCCTATGGCAATAAAGTTGTACAAATATAGCTCACGGATTATACGCCTCCCCTCAAACGTTTGCTTTAAAATACAAGAGGAAAAGGGCACCTGATAATCAAGAACAGGACCCTGCGGGGTGGGCTGGTAGGAATAATACTTAGTACCGGTACAGAGATATCGACCGGGTATAGAGGAGTTAAAGAAAAAATTACTGTATTCTAGTGTAACGTTAATTAAAAGTGCTTGTTTTGACAAGAAACGCTGTGAGATTTAAAGACTCGTAGTCTTTCATTTCCAACACCACCCTCAACACCACCCCTCGGACGGACGGACGGACACATTAATCTATTGGTGGTCTGGTCCACTTCGTTCCTACCAGTAAAATACGGTGTATCTCAACCAGACTTGGGACTAAGAAGAGTGTGATTTCCCTCTCGTCGTCGTGATTATTTTTCCAGACAATGACCTGGAAGGAGAACCTGGTTCAGCAGCTGTGGGCAGCGCAGACGTGAGGCGCTCCATCCCCATCAAGCTGATCTCGGAGCGTGGTGCAGCTGCCTCCCGCTCCGGTGGCCTCCCCTGGGCTATGTACAAAAGCCCCAGGCACCCATCTCCCGACAGAGGTGGGCGTGTGGCTCTTCCAGGACGGAAGGACATTAGACTTGTATTTGTAGACACGACTCAGGCATGGCTCAGGCTCAAGGGAGCCCGCTCAAAGCCATGCTTAACTTGAGCCGGCTCTGAGCATTGTTTCCCAGCCATGCTTAAGATTTTCATGAGCTGAGCCGCTTGTGCAACTTTGAAAGCAACTGAAACCAGAGCTGAGTGACTAAGAATATGACCCTAAGACTGTCTGCTGAGTTGCTGTTTATAACAAGTACGTTTGTTATTTGCGTCATTATAGCACGAAGACTATCATGAAGGTGCTATATTTATGCTTTGTAGGCTCCACGAAATATTTCTGTCTTTGAGTCTATTGGCTGACAGTTCTGCTGGACTGGAGGAACTTTTTCCATTCGGACGGCTGAATAGGTGAAGGTGCAGCCCTTCAAGTGCATGCTCATGCCACTGCTTGCATGAGGTCCTCCACTGGTATTTGGCCTTCTATTCATCATAATGATCGTTAGTTATTGTGCTCAATCAAGGCCCTTTCCCATGCTATTGCAGTCCAGCAATGTGATTGATCTCACTCCTGCACATTAACTGATCTCATTGCTCCAACCTATAGAGTCGTTATCCTCTCAAGCACGTTCTTTTTCACTTGTAAATTAAACTTTGGCGCAAATAATAGTTTCCCTGTATTAGAAAGCAAAAATCATGAATACTTCTTATAATTCGGGAGGTGTGTGTGATCAGATTTGTTTAACTTTATTGATACGAGCATAATTTTATTCCATGTCTCACTTTACATAGCATCTTATCATCTGGAGAATACGGTATTAAATAAAAAAGTATGTCAGATGATTGAAAACAACATATACAGGTAGTCCTCTATTTACGATGGAGATGCGTTAGAACGACCTCATCGTAAGTCAAAAATATCGTAAGTCGAAGATGGCCTAGCCTACCCAGAAGTCTTAAATAATGGTGATAATTTAGCAAAACAGCAATTTACAGTACCGTACTGTATAAACTATATACCGTATGTATTTATGAATTACAATACTGTATTGCACAGTAAAATGTAAAGTTAAAAAAACAAGGTAAATTCTTAGCCTACCTATATGGACTGCAGTTTAATAGAAAGTTTTATTAGGAAACAATCTGTTATAAAAACTTTTTTACATTCATTGAACGTAACATATCGCTATCGTAAGATCGGAATATCGTTAGTCGGACCATCGTAACTCGGGGACTTTCTGTATGTGGAAATACTAACTTTGCCTTTGTGCAGAAGGGGCAGGTGAGTATGCGGATGAAAGCTTTCGGGTGCATGAAGATTATGGCAGAGATCACGACAAACATCCCAAGACCATCATATGGGATTGTAAGGTATAAGATATAGTTTCACAATGATTTGTTCTTTGGTATTTTGGTTCAATAACAGAAATTAAATCATTTTCAAGTGAATGTTTTTTATTAAGCCTTTATTCTATTCAAAGTGAGGTGGTTGGCGCATCGCTGTAATTCAGTGCTTTGGAGGAAAGGTTCGCAGTATAATTTGGGCAGCAGGGTGGGTGCAGTCGTAACATTTGCGCCTCCCAGCAAGAACAACCTGGTTGTCATTCCTGACTGGCACCTCTCCATATGGAGTTTGTACTCTGTCTACTCACATTTCCTTCCACTTGGAAAACATCCCAAAAACCTTGACGCCAACTTGAGCTTTTCTTAAACAAATAACAACGTGACAATTTTACCAGTTTGGTTGAATCTCGCAGTCAGCCGTCACTCCACATTGGTCAGTGCGAACATGGTGAGTGACATGATGTCGAAATATAATGCTAAGTGTTGCGTGTGTCTGTTTCTTGCAGATTAACATATTTGGGAAGAAAGATGACATTCCGGTACATTTTTGCGACAAGTGTGGCCTGCCAATTAAAATCTATGGTCGAATGGTCAGTACTTATTAATTTTACACAGTCATCACATGTGCATAATTGAAAATTAAAGATATTGTTATTGTCTAGGTTTTTGCATATTTTATGTCCAGCTCTAATTTGTTTCTGCGTTGTACCAAATGGTATAGGACAATCCTCTCCATGTGTTGGGGAGTTTTTTTGGGCCTATAAGAACACGTAGTTTTCATCTCCAGAAATAGTTTATGCATTTTTTTAAATGTTTAATTATTGTCGAGATAACAGAGCTTTGACAAATTAGATGGTACAGACTATTTAAACAAGACAATAGGCAAGAGAGATGGACCAAACGAGGCAATACAGTCAAGACAGATAAACTTCGAGAAACAATGGAAACTAATTTGTACAAAAGATGGTATAGACAGTATGTGACTACACTGTGCTAATGCAAAATAATATTGATTGTAAGTTGCATAATTATCTTCAACCATGGCAATTCATCACATCACTCTTGTCAGGTGTGAATTGATACATGTCGACATTTAACCCTTGAATGACTGACAATGTAACTGCTTTAAATCACAGATTCCTTGCAAGCATGTCTTCTGCTTCGACTGTGCCAGTCTCCATGAGCAACGGGGAGACAAAAGTTGCCCAGGGTAAGACATGCACATGCAACAGGTCCCACACATTGATAAATGCATGTCCTTCATCTATCCATATATAGTGTTGTATGCTTTAATCATGTGCAGTAGATTTTCCCTATAAAGTAAAACCTTGGATTGCGAGTAACTTGGTCTGCGAGTGTTTTGCAAGACGAGCAAAATTTTTAAGTATATATAGTAATTTTGATAAACGAGCGAGGTCTTGCAATACGAGTAGTACGTATATATGCTTTGTCTGCCGAGCGTTATGTGATCACAACTGATATACGAGTGCTTTGGATTACAAACACGTTTCCGGAACGAATTATGCTCGCAACCCAAGGTTTTATTATCCCCAGCAAGATCCGAATCTTAGTTTTTTTTTAAGTAGTATTAAATTATTGTTTTTTTATTTAACGAGGTGAGAACTCAAGGGACCAGGATTTTTTCATTTGCAAGAGGGACCTGCGGAAATAATCTTACAGTGGGGGGCAATGATTGCGGTGTATAGTTCCAATTGAATAATTTTGCGGGTAATTTTCAAACTTTTTAAAATTTGAACCTTGAATCCGGCACACAATGGCTTCTTTCGAATGACATCAGGGGATCTTTAAGATCCACTTATACGCAGAGGGCACATGTTATTATCGTTATTACACCTGCAACAATAATCAGGTAAGGTGTAATGAAGTAGGTCATTTAAATATATTTGTTGCACTTTGTACATTTGGGGTAATAATTACCCACTTGCTTCAGGACCGTCGTCTCCGTGTACACCGACCCAATGGCAAGCGCACTGCCTGCTAGGTCACCCAGGTACACAGCAAGGTAATGGACTTCATATGGGCGGTGATGTGACTGAGCAATGGTGTGTTCGCAGCTTGTTGCATAGGTTCGTGGTCTGAACCGTGCGGCCCCGCTAGTTAATACTGCATGTTGTTCGCTATGAGTATGCGCCGTCTCTGCTTCGCAGTGGACGCCAACGATTGGTCTTTGAAAAGGAATAAGAATAGGCCACGTATGTCAGCGTCATTATACAAATTTGAGAATTTACCTGCCAGAGTACTCGACCTTTTCCCGTTCCGATGACGTACGTGCGCGTCATTGGTTTTTCTTCCGAGTCCGTTCCGATGACGAAATCAAATCGATTTCGAACGGAATCTGAAGTAAAAGGCCATGCAGGAGGGCGCGTGGCACAGTTTGGCGCCAGCCATCACAGAGTGTGGTCGTGTCGCTGCAGTTCTCTGTGGTGAGTACAGTACAATGTATTTAAAAACAGCAGCGCTATGCGTCTCTAAATAAAAATTAATGCAAACCGCTTGCGCGTTCTGAGATTCAGTGGTGAACGGGACCCACCCTGCAACTTTTCAGATGTCTCGGAACGGGAAATGGTTAAGAGAGAATATACGTAGCAATGTCGACTCCCACTGTGAAACTACTGCAGCCCGTTGTGTTAGCCTTGCGCTGTTAATAATTCCGTGCATACCAAATGATTTGATTGACGATGTGAGTTGATTCTTCAAAGCCAAATGTCCCGTTGTGGTATGGGGGTGGTGGGCTGCTTTGTTTGCAGGTGCGTGGACCAGGTGCAGCGTATAGAGCAGTGCTTGCGTGGCACCGTCTTTCTGTGCAACGTGGTGTCGGGCTGCAAGCGCACATACCTGTCGCAGCGGGACCTGCAGGCACACATCAACCACCGGCATGTGCGGCACACCAAGCCGCAGCAACGGCCCCTCGATCCGCCACCCGGTAATTCTTTCTGTGGCTTAGCTGTGGCCTGGCTGGGTGGGTCGTGTCTTTGATTTTCCGCGCTTCTTCTTAGGCAAGGGTTGGTGGATCGCACACATTTGTAAAAACTTTCAGACCCACTAGCTTACTTGGGGCTGAACTCATCTATGATAATATTAACATTTTATCGACCTCACACCCTTGGATTGTTCACAAAGCCCGATTTAAATTCCGGAGGGTTCTGCATTGGGATGTTTGGCCATCTTAAGAAGAAGTATTTTGCCTGTTAAAGGAAACATAAGTATAATGCATCGTGGGGGATTTTGTTTTCATCGAAAGTGAAGCCAGTTCTTGCCGACTTTTGGAGATGATCACCAATTTAACGGCATGCGCAGACACCCCACCCCCTGACTCATCGCATTCTCCCCTTCCCTGTGCAGCTGTGGGGCAGATGCATCCCAGCGTTGTCAGCGAAGAGCACCATGTGGTGGCCCCGGGGCCGGGCGTGCACGACCACTACCAGAAGCCACCCAACATCGCTCATGATGAGTCGGCTCCCCCTCCACCCGACATGCCGCCCCACCCCCCCATCGTACCCCCATCCGCCGCGGCAGTGGCGGCGGCCGTGGCATCGGCGGCCGCAGCGGCCGCGGCAGCGGCGGCCGTCCCATCGCCGCGCTGCGCCCCGCAAGAGAGCTACCGCATCACCACCATAACGACGGCGCGCAAACACTGCAACCTCATCACCGTGCCCATCCAGGGCCAGGAGGGCGGGCAGGGCCACGGCCCGCCCTCCGGTGGGGGCGGCGGCGCATACGCCGAAGTGGGCCGCCGCGTGGACTACCCGGCGCAGGCGCCGCCCAACGGCCCCCCGCCGCCACCGCCCCCTCCGCCGCAGCCGCCCCGCCCGCCCCACCACATGCACTTCGTGGCGCCACCCTCCATTCCCATGAGCCACCCGCCGGCGCACATGGCCTACAGCCAGCCGCCCCCGCCCATTGTCGGCCAGAGACCGCCTGTGCCCTTCATGGGCCAGCCGCCGCCCCCGCTGCACTACACGCCGCCGCCGCCCGGCCCGCTCACGCCACCCTACAGCCAGCCGCCCTCCGTGGGCCTGTGGGGTGCGGCGAGGCCGCCGCCCCCCGTGCCCCCGCCCCCCCGGGGCCCCGTGCCTCCGCCCGGTTCACTACCCCCATCCGTAACAGCGCCACCGGATCAGACGCGGTACAGGCCCTATTACCAATAGCTAGGCTTGTGGGAGCGGTGGTGTCACGCGCGTGTGAGTGCCACCGGCCATAGGGGATTTTCTAGGGTCTGAGTTGCGCTCCGTGACACTAAGACTGAGGGTGGGCGAGCGAGCGTGCGGTGTGCTGTGTACCCCCCGCACCCAGTGATTAATCGTGGCTGCGATTAATTGACTTGATTGAACGCCGCTTAAACATTGTACTGGTCCTGAGTGGGATGCATTTTTTCATTGACGTATACTTTTCTTATGCATCTTATTGATTTTCAAGCTTTTATGTAAATTAACAGAACGATGTTTAGAATTGGATGTTATCCAGTGACAGATTAAATGTATTAAAATTATTTTACCTCCTTCAGAAGACTTTTCTCCCTCAGGACCTGGGCAAATGCACTGGGGTCCCATGAGAGCCAGGTAAATGTCTGCATCTTCCTGCTAAATACAAGCAATGGATGGCATTCATCTCATTTGGAGGACCTGAGTTGTGTAAATTCCACATTGCAATGCCATTGTCTTGTCTATCGCCAGTACTCACTTCTTTGACCCAGCTTGGAATTATTTTTTTACTCACAATCTCTCGGGTTCTTGGTCAGAGCTGTACTGGAAATTGTAGAACATATAATTAATGTAATAAAGTGGTTACTAAGCCAAAGATTAAAAAGCCCCATTCAAAATATTTGGAATCGCGTGACAAGCGGTGTTTGGCACAAGAAAATATCTAACCAATGTTGCACCAGTGCATAAGGCATCAATGGTGAGGTAAAGCAGTGAAAGGAAATGGTAAATGAGCTGACTTTTCTTGAAATATTAAAATGGTAAAAACAGTTTTAGGGCAAAACCACATGTCCATTTAATTACCATTGCTGCACAACACATTCCTGCGGAGGGAGCTGGTAGGAACGTTGGGTTGCTCGGTCAATGCCAGGGTCAACGGCGGCGTGGTGTATTCCGCAAATATGCCCGACTGTGAGGGCGGGCACAAGCCGGCGTGAGTAGGTTAAACGTTGAGTTTTATAAGGGCACCACGGGGTGACCAGCCCCTCCCCACCGAGCCCCACCCCTCCCACCCCCCACCCAGCCCCTCCCCACCTTCCCCTCTCCACCCAGCCCCACCCCTCCCATTTTTGGATGCATGACGGATGGACGGACACAATAAACTGCTGTGGGCTGGTGTAATCAGGAGGTTCCTACCAGTAGAATATACATTGTTTAGTGTGTTGTCCTTCCCCTGCACCTTTGATTATCATGGTTGGCTATGTACGGTATAAAAGAAGTACAACGTACATACAATAGAGTAAGTTCCCTTGACGGAGTCTTAAAATCTACAACTAATGTTCACAAACTATAGCTCAAACCACGTGTTTTTTTTACTCCCAACCGACAGGGCTGCATGCTGGTCAGGAGGTGGCAGCACAATAAATCAGTGGCTGCCAGATTCTTGAGCGTCGTCACCTTGTATGCATGCGTTTTTTTCAGTGTATTCCAGTTCATTCCCATACAAAAGTTTGCTTTTAAAGGGACAAAAACATCGCAACAACAAATAGCTCCGTTAGACACTTATTTGGACTGTTTATGAGACTCCCTGATAAAATTTACAGATTTTGTTGTTATTCTGGTCTATTGGACTGTCATGATTCTGTCGTGATATCACCGCATGTCCATTAATATCTGGGAGGACGTCGCAGAGTTTTCACACCTCAATGTACTTTGACATTTTTTTTTCTCAATGAAACCTCAAACTCATTGGATACGTAGTTAATTTTTGGTGAGGCCACGTAATGATCTAACCAAGTCTTTACAGTTAACCCTTTACTACCCAACAGCCAAACAAATTAATTGTCACGTTTACACGAGTTTAATGCGCAAATTATAGTTGGTTTTGGTTCGCTGCTAAATTCGAGAGCAATCCTCGCAAACGAAGTTGGAAACGACGTTTAGTTTGAAACTATGTCCAACATCAGCAAAACGAGATTCAAAAAGTCAAGACCAATGGGCTTGCATAATGCGCATGCATAATGTATGTTTACTCATTAATCCCCCCCCCCCCCCCCGTTTTGCGTAAGAGCGCAGAAAGGTGGTCACCACATCTACACCTCTAAGGAATGAAACAGGTGGACTTCACAAATCTGGCTGTCACCTGATGAAGCTAGTTGTAATTACTGGTGAAACATTGTACTCGGAATGTAAATGGTGTGACTTGGCTCACCAACGCACCGGTGTGCTGTACTAGTGACGAATTGCCATTTTCTGTTTATGTGACAACCCTTACTCGTTGGCTGTGGCGGGTTTAACGAGACATTTATATATTTATGCGATCTAACCCAAAAAACGCTATTATGGAGATCCAAAAGTCAGTAACAATGCAGGACGTCTGGCGGGTGGTGCGGGGTTCTTAACGATACAGATTTGGTCAGATAATAACATGTCTTACTCAAAAAACTATGACTTTAAACTTTAGTGACTGCAGGAATTCGTATTATTTGGTTCTTTCGGTAAAGTCCCGAAGATAAAATAGAGTGGAAAAAAACCACGACGTTTCTAAAGGCAAACTGTTAATAAAGGTTTAGAGATGGGTGTAGCCCAAGTGTGTCAGCAGCATGGGCGGGGCAGCTAATGTTAATGTAGGAGAAAGCAATGCCAACGCAGTGGGTCCACTCATGAAAAGGGCCACCAGCAGGGGTCGGCAACCAAAATAACAAGAAGAGCCATTTCTTTCCAATTCGGTAAAAAATTCAGTATTTCAAGAGCCGCAATGCATCTGAGTACAATACTGTACTCACGTACATATCGTCAAGAAGCAGCCCGTAAAGAGCCGCATGCGGCTCCGGAGCCGTAGGTTGCCGACCCCTGGCCACCAGGAAATCATTTGCGCCTCGCTCCACATATCCACGCTGCTGACGATGGAGGTTGACAAGAAAACACAAATTAAGTCATGACCCAAAGTGGGTGAAATGTGAGTGACTCCATCAGATTACTCAGCCGGCTTGTGCCTGCCGATTTATTACTAATAAACCCCAATGATCCGATCGAAATTATGGATTTATATCGGATCATTGGGGGGGCACGTGTCACCCCACCCCCCACTGACTCCGCCAGTGGCAACAGTCAAAGGTACAGCATAACATGGGGGGCGACCCGCACCACACACAGTGATGTACATGGGCGGAATTTGGGGGTGACAACCCCCCCCCCTTCCCCCCTCAAACTGAGCACCTTCATTAATTTATTTTCAGTATACAATTAAGATTTAAATATAAATTAATTATATCCACCCGCGATTCCTAATGCGAGGGACAAAGCGAACCCCTGCCCCCCCCCCCCCCAAACATAGAAGTCACACTCCGCCGATGGTGATGTCCATGTAACAACGGGGTTCCCACCTCGAGAGCGGCGGTCAATGCGTTGTGCGTTTACTGACGACGCTGTGTTGCGTGTCACGTTCAGGCCGCATGGATGCCTCGGTAAGGGCGGGCACAAGCCGGCGTGAGTAGGTTAAACGTTGAGTTTTATAAGGGCACCACGGGGTGACCAGTCCCTCCCCACCCAGCCCCACCCCTCCCACCCCCCACCCAGCCCCACCCCTCCCACCCCCCACCCAGCCCCTCCCTGCACGACGGACATAATAATCCCCTGTGGGCTGGTGTAACCTGGCGGTTCCTACCAGTATAAACAATAGCTAGAGATGAGCGAGGCGTAGGCAAGATCGACATTCTAGATTTGAAGCTTTCGTGACTGCAATGATCCACACTCTTTGGTTTTTTCGGTAAAGTCACGTAGGTTAAAAAAGAAAACAAATAAATTAAACCACGACGTTTCGGAGGCAACACAAGCCACCGTTTTCAGGTGGAACCGTCACAACAAAATTACTTAAGCCACTTGATACAGTAATTTTGCTGTGACGGTTCCACCTGAAGACGGAGGCTTGTGTTGCCTCCGAAACGTCGTGATTTAATTTATTTGTTTTCTTTTAACCTACGTGACTTTACCGAAATAACCAAAGAGTATAGACATATCAGTTAATGGCAGCATGATAAACGACGGAGAGATGAGAGGTGTAGACAGAAAATAAAATAGTGGTCACGTTTGATACCGCTGAGGTAAATATATTAACCTGGATGTTTTTTCTACACAATCTTAATGCAGATGTGTATAGTATGTAAGTGCAGGTCACATCTCTCTAGCAGGTTGCCTGTAGATTATTCAGTTAATCCCATCGAGATTGAACAACGTGACCTCGTATAAAGTAACACCCCAAATGATTGTCTTGATTTGATTGAGAATTGTACCCGTTAATTGGAACATCGTAGCAAGAACTGTACTGCTGACAGTGATTTAATAACTTTACTGGCTCGTTTCAAGTTTCTCCTATGACCAAATCGCCTGGAATGTGCCCGTGATCGTATTGTGGAAGCTAAGCAAGTATGAGCCTGTGTAGTGCTTGAACGGGTGACCACCACGCACAATCAGCATCTCATAGGCGACGATGAGGCTGCAACTACATTAGCAGCAGAGATTAGTGCAGAAAAATCAATGTTGTACTGATATTCTATGCTCCCACGTCTAAGCTCTCGGGACTTCACCAACCCGCGCTGACCAATTTGGTGAAGTACATAATAGCCCCATGACCTGCAAGTCATCCAGAGGTGCCTCATCCAGCAGTTAATTGAAGAACACTCTGTCCGTGTACATATTGTGTCATTACGATTAAAAACTGTCTCCGAAAAATGGAACACCAGTTACAGATGTAATGCGGGCGTAAACGGCCCTCCGGAGGTGACGTCAGGAGGGGAGGAGTTAGGTCACGTGGGGGGGTGAGGGGTTAGGCTATAGAAGGAGGGGAACCGGAAGAGAACGAGGAGGGACGGGGAACCAGGAACAGAGAGAGGCCACGAAGGGCGAAGCGGAGGGTGGCGAGATCGCCACGAACACGGGGGAGCGAGGATCGGCACCGTTGGCCAGCGGTGACCGACCCGAAGCAGCGAGGAGGCTGCAGTCAGCAGCGGGGCTGCACAGAGAGTCAGCAGCGGGGCTGCATACAGAGTCAGCAGCGGGTCTGCATACGGTAGCAGCCAGAGGGTCTGCATATAGGGGTAGCAGCGGGAGTCTGCATAGGGGTAGCAGCGAGTCTGCAGGGAGAGAACAGAGGTTACGGTAGATGAAGCAGAGAGTCTGCGGGAAGAGAAGGGAAGCTATAAAAGCAGTCAACAGCCGGGGGCTACAAGTACAGAGTTATAACAGAGTGCCGTGTGGGAGAAGACAAGAACCCAATAAAGGACACGAAGACAGAAAGAAGTGTCTGAGTCCTTTTATTACACTGGAGTCAGAAGTGAAACGGCATGGCGAAACAATTGAGGAAAAAGAATATTCCATCTCCGGCGTCGGCTTCATCTTCGGACGACGACGATCTTCCTCCTGCGGTCGGCTTCGCTTCGGCGGAGGGAGAGATCCGTGAGGGCCCGGGTGTCGAGGAGGTTGCCGCTTCGCCCGACCCATCTGCGTTGAAGGACGAGGATTTAAGATGGACTCGGATGGCGGAGCAACTGGCAACTCTCAAAAATGTCATCACTGAGTTGTGTGACCTTGTCACGCCAAGGGCGGCGTTGGATGGTGAGGGTGGTGATCGGCAGGAGCCCGGATTGTCTTCGATGGCGCCGCCATCGGCCACGCGGCGTGAAGACGCCATCTTTGGCGTGGCGCACCACGGAAGGCGGGAAGCCGCCATTTTGGGGCCGCCGCGAGGATCGTCCGCCATCTTGGCGACACCGCGTTGCGACGCCTTGCTGAACTTACCGCCGGAAGAGTCAGTAACGGACGGAAGCAAGCCAAGGAGTCGCAGTCGTCACCTTACAACCGTCAAAGAATTCTCCATCGGGGGCGATTGGAGTGCGTTCGCCTGTAGATTTTTGGCGGCGGTACGTACGGCAAGGTGGACGGACGCTGAGGCACTGGAGGTGCTCCCGACTCTTCTTGATGATGAGTCTGTTCGTTTTTTTCGCTCTATAAAAGCTGCGAAGAAGAAAACTCTGCGAGGGGTGTTCGATGAAATGGCGGACGCGTACGAGCCACCGGATGACGCCCATCGCCGATTCGTGCAGCGGCAACGCGCACCTGAGGAGTCACCTGTAGCGTACAGGGGCGCCGTGTTGGAACTCGCTATGGCCGCTTACCCGGAGACGGAGCCTGACCTGCTGGAACCACTCATCTTGGGGAAGATGTTGGAGTTGTCCCGAGATCTTGGCATTCCTATGCCGGCGTGCGGTCACGAAAAGCTCACGTCCCGGGCCGCGGCAAAGTGTTTGGACGCCCAGTTCAATCTCCGCCGCTGGAAACAGGTGACGGCGTGGACGGGCGGTCCTGTCGTCGATGGGGGGGCCGTAGGGTGGGACCCTACAAAGGCCGTGTACGTGCCGGATGCGACCGGCCAGAAGGAGTTGTCGGCTGCCTCTGCTCCGTGGCCGGCCCGGAGCGGGCCGGGGCCGCGGGCTCCGCCGCCGATGCGGCCGCGTCGGGACGGGGTGCCCGCTGCGCGCCGCCCTGACGTCGACTGCTTCCGCTGCGGCCGTCGGGGCCACTATGCCAGGGACTGCTGGGCCCGGGTTCCGGGGCCGCCCCAGCAGGAGGCCTCGACAGCGGACGCCCCAAAGAAAGACCCTCCGGCACAGGCAAGTCGGTGCGCACCAGACACCCGGCAAGGCCCGACACCTCACTCATCGCCGTTGGTATGCGACGCGGATGTTGTAAAATACGGGAGGCCAGTATCTGCGCCTTGTCGTTCGATAACGCAGTGGCGTAAGCTGGCTCGGCGGGTTGTCGCGGCCGCTACCGGGTCGTCCACTGTCCCGGGGTCGATTCAAGGGGTGGACGTACGTATTTTGGTGGATTCCGGGGCGTCCGCGACCATTATTTCGGATGTGATATTCCATCTTTTGAACATCCCACCGGGGGCCGTGAGGCCGGCTTACGCTTCCTGTATCGCTGCGAACGGGGGTAGTATGGGCATCGTGGGACAGGTGGACGCTAACATTTCTATCGGGGGTGTCTCGGCCTCGGGCGTTGTGTTAATTTCAAGGTCCCTGGCGGTTCCTTGCCTGTTGGGTACGGATTTTTTGGCTAAGATGCCCATTCTAATTAGAATCAATGAAAATTGCATTGAACTACCAGGGGGCCGGAAATTGGCGTTCTTACAGTCCGCCTGGGGGCGACCGGCTCCGGTTGCCCAGGTGCAGGCGTTATCGGAAGTTTCGGTTGATATTCCACCTGGCTCTCAGATGCTCATTCCCTTACGATACCGGAAGCCGGTTCCGGGTCGGCAGGGTGCGTTTGGGATTTTGCTGTCGCCGTCCGCCGCTGTTACGGGCGGACTGGCACTGGTGGGGGCGCAAACTATTGTCCGCCCAGATCAGCGCCCGTTTTTGCAGGTGTTAAATGCGAGTACTGAAAGTGTGTGTGTGCCGGCTGGTACCGTTGTGGCACACGCCACTACGGCGTTTACGGCTCAGAGTGACCTGCCGGACGGGGGGCTGGTGGGTGGTGTTTCACACGATGGAGGGGTGGATGATCGTTGGATCGCCGAATTATGTGGGGGAAATTCGGCCCTTTCCGCCGAGCAGCGTTGTGCAATTCATAAATTATTATCGAGCTATTCCGATGTGTTTAGCTCGGACGATT